GCCCCAAGGCTATCGACTGTCTACGCCCTCCCAATCACCTAACCTGGCCAAATTTCAAACGGAGCTGATGGCCAAAGCGATGAACAATCGCGATCAGAATCATGCTTGCCGCCACAATGCAAGCTTGAGTCCCAAAGCTTACATCGTAGCCAACCTTGGCTCCCCACGGCTGCTGGTAGTAACCAACGCTAAAGCCACTCAAAGCTCGGAACACGTTGGTCAGGCCACAGACTTCTGCAGGAGCAGATGGGTACGCATCCAAGAGGTATGAAGCAACGGCGACAGATGTGAGCATGATTCCGAAAGCATGCATACCCCAACCTACGACGATTGCTGCGACAGAGAGATGCTTATGCAGGGCTTGTCCCATCAAGACGAGGCCGGCAATCATGGGGACAGCCGAGATGTAGATGGTCATAAGACGAGCCTCGGGCTCAAAGACACCGTTGTGCTTTCGAACATAGCGTCGAGTAAGGTGATCGTTGAAGAAATGACCAAATATCTCGCCTAGGAAGACGCCCACGATGGGGGCAAAGTGTAGGTATCCCAGCTGAGTAAAGCTGTAGCCATAACCTCCCATAGCCTGAGGAAGACCGAAGAGAATGGCGGTCGAGATATTAACACCGATCGCCCATGCAAAGCACATGAAACTAGGGACATTTTGTTAGTCCCTGGGTTGTTACAGAAGAGACGCATAACAGACTTACTAAGCAGCGAGTACAAGGAGAATAACAGGCTTCGACAAGATTAGGAGGACTCTCTTGTAAGCATCGTAAACAGACTCGAAGTATCCAGAATGATGCTTGATCTGCCATAGACCAGTAAGCCGAAGCAGCCGAGAGAAGAAACCTTGGCCTCGGGATGGCTGAGCAGATGACGGCAAATCACGATTGTACCAAGTCTCATCCAAAAAAGCCAAGATGAGAAGCAAGCTGATACCATTGACCCCGACCCCCAGCCAAAAGGCATCCTGCCATTGATGGGTCTCACCAATGACAAAGTTGGCAAGTAGTGGACCCCAGTACGGAGATGTGATGTACATGAGAGCCCAAAGGCCGATCTTTCGAGCTCGTTCATGGAAGAAGAAGATATCTTTAATGAAGGCGATCGCGATCGTCTGGCCAGATGTAAGGAAGAGGCCTTGAATGGCTCGGACGCCCATGAACATCTCGAAGTTGGTGGAAACGGATGAAAGGATCGAGAAGATCAGACCGAGGAAGGTGGACCAAAACAAGGTCGGTGCTCGTCCAATGATGGAAGTCATGGGAACCCAGATCAAACCACCAATGGCCCTGGGAACAAATGAGCAAAAGTCATGACAAGAAGCAAGGTAAGAGCTGCTTACATCATGAGGACGTTGATGCTGTTATTATGATTAACCGAGTTTGGAGACTTGTGCCATTCGGCAGCCTGAAGAATGACCGGGGCGCTACCAGCAGCGGATGTAAAATCTGAAGTGAGAGCAGCCCAGGCCACAACCAGAAGAATGAGGTGCTTCTTTCGCGATGACCAGTTCAAGGGGTCGTTGGGATCATCCGTCGGCTGGGGCAAAAGCACGGTCTAGATTGAATGCGACTGTCAGCAGTCATGGCAGCCTGTGAATTGCAAGACTTACATGTCCATCTTCAGCAAGACGCAGAGAGGTCCCTTCAGTACATTCAACCTGGAGGAGAACTCCAGCTTCAGCTCGAGCCTCTGGCGGGAACTTGTCTACAACGCGAGAGCCGTCTGACTTCTCGTCGTTGGAAATGTGCTCGACCTCAGGCTTCTCCATGATGGCTTTGAAGTCGTGTTTAGTTGCTGATGCAAGATCTCGAGCTTTGAAAGTCGAATGCTGCGGGACATTGATGCCGCCGACTGTCTATACAAATACGATTTGGGTTGTTCAAGTCATGGCAGTCTAGAACAAACGCAGGCTGGAAGTTCCGAAATTGCGAAATCCGGGGCCCCGTGGGGTAGAGTGGCTTCCCGTTGTGTGACGGGGAAGCCAAAGGCTAGCTTGGCTAGCCTGTTCAGAACTTCTGGAGGGCCCCTTGACTTCCGGCGACCCGGCCAGTCCAGAGCGCCAAGCTCAAATCTTGTCTCCGGTGTGCGCCACCACATCTCTAGTACCTAGTACCTGGTGAGGTCTCTGGCTTGATGGAACGCACTTGAATGCAGTTCCTTCTACATTATACCTGTAAGTACTTCACATGTAGGACGTCATTGGTGTCTGATTTGGGTGACTGTTGTTGGGTTGCTAATCTGAGACTGTATTCCACCAGACTGATGATCAAGGGTCTGTAAAAAGATAACCAAGACGCGGGGATCGCTTATCTTGAGGCGGAGCCGACACGAGGCCAGACCACTGTGGACTGCCGCACTAACGTGGCATGTGAGCCAAGAGTACTGGGATCTATTTAGCACAGTTGTACACCAATTTCTAGGCGGAATAGCAATTCCGGCTTGCGAATAGGTGCACAATGGAAAATCCGTTGCCATGTACAGTGTTTACACGATCATCATACGGAGATCGATCAATGGTTAGGATCGCTGGATGCCAACAGAAATATTTCATGATGGTTGTCAACTAAGGGCAGCGAAGGAGGAGCATGAGTCGAAGTCAGGTGGTGAATTTGAAGTCAACATGCCATTTTCATCGAGACGAGGGGCAGAAGATCGCTAGGACATGGCGATGCAAAAGATGAGTCTGAATAGAGTAATTCATAGCTTGAGATGCGTCGCTACAAATAGATAAGATAAACTGTAATTGTATGAGAAAACGCGATTGTTGACGGTAAGAGAAGAAGAAGTCAACGCGAGTCAACACTGTAAACATCATCATACTAAAAGAACACAAATTGTAGTTGTACCTGGAACACAAACTCTCCAATCGCTGCCTCAAACTTTCACTGCCAGATCCTCATTCTCAACATGTCCGTTCTGGAAACCATTTTCAAGCCCATTCTTCAACCCATCGTGGTTGACACCATTAGTCGCTACGCCATTCTGCTCCTTCTTGACCTTTGCCTTCAGCAGAGTGACAGCATCATAAGGATGAGGAGCAAGACTGGCCTGCGCAGCCTGACCTTTATTCTCAGCTCGCAAGACATCCGCATACGGCAAAACACCCGCATTCTCAAAGGCGCGGAAAGTCTCGACGTACGTGTCGTAAGTATCGTCGTAGCGCTTCCAGCCAAACTTGCGCGCTTTGCCTACGCTGCCAATGGTCAACCAGGCCTTTCCAACGGCCCAATCGAAGAAGTCCCAGGTACCCCACTCGAAAGCTTCGAGTTGGCCGCCGTACTTGGCTACTACTCTCTCCCATACTTGCTTCTTGTCCTTATGCCACTCAGTCATGAGGAAATTGTTCGCCATACGCTGTTGGTCTCCCTCGGCTGCCCACTCGGTGAACTCGGGAACCTGAAGATAGTTAGTCACAGGAAACCAAGGGTGCCCGTGAATTGACTAACCTCGATGCCAAAATATTGTCCAAGCTTGCCCCAAAGCTGTTTCCAGACAAAGACGTCGCCATTCTGGTGGTTAAATGCCTCGTTCTCGGTGTGCTCGTCGGTGACAGCCCAAACACTCAGATCAGCGATGCTGGGAGCGTAGGAGGAATCATCGACGCATTGGTTGAAGAAGAACTTGTTGCCCGGGAACATGGGAGGTACTCCCATCTCGCGGCAGATCAACATGTAGATCGCCAATGTGAGCGCCATCGACATGCCGTTTCCTATAATTGGAGTTAGCCAGCTATTACGCTGTTATCTTTGGCATTACAGCCATACCTGCAGGTGTATAGCCGATAATGGCATTCGGGCGGATGACGTTCCAGTTCCAGGAGCGCTTAGCTGCCAGAGTAGAGAGAAAATCTTCCTGCGGATAGTAAAAGTTCTCGCCTTTGTCCTCGTACCGGCCCATTTCTTCATGAAGAGGGACTTCAGTTGGTCCAAGGTGCGGACCATAATACTGAACACTCTCGTTAGTCCGCGACGAGAGATGGTTGAGTGACATTTACTGACCTTTCCGCCGGTTTGGAGACAGACTCGTTGCAGTGTGCTTGCTGCAACAATATCTATAGCGACGAGAAAGTTGTGAAACAAGGGAATGTTACTATCGCGCAGCTTGGCAAAGTCGGCTGTGTGAACGTAGGACGTGAAGAATGCGTGAGTAACGTCGTGGCACAGAGGTGCCATACGTTGGATCAATTCTTCTACGGGGTTCAAAAAGTCGAGAGCAATGAACCTGATTCGGTGGTCTTGCCATAGGCTTTGCTTGGGAACTCTTCGGGATGTGATAATGATCTTGGACCTGCGTAATCCTCGTCAGTTATGCCCTTTTGACAAAATGGGTTGAGGGTTTCACCATTCGGACTCTGGCTTGCGGATAAGGTGCTCAATAATGGCATTGCCAGTGATACCGTTGGCGCCAGTAACGAAAGCGACTTTCCCTTTAGCAGGAGCCATGATTGTGAATGTGTATGCGTATGATAGCCTGATAGGTAAGATGCCAGAAAGTTTAGATAGACAATTAAGGTGTACATTGGTAACTGTAAATCTAGCTTTTATTTGTAGAGATTCAATGGAGCATATCATGAGCTCTACGGAAGTAAAGGAATAATGCCCGGAGCTTGGCGCTCAGCTTACCTGTCAGAGGCCGGAATTCTCGCCTAACCCGAGCTCCTACGACCGCCGACAACAACTAATAGTGTGCGGAGTATGGACGGAATGTCGGCGGAAGCTTAGCGCAATAGAGCCTAGAACAATACGTGTGATAGAACGAATTAAGCAAGAAGTGCGTTATCCACTATTCCCACTTGGCTCAAGCACATCAAGTGATTCAGCTTTCACTTCAATCGTAGAGAAAGAACCAGAGCTTGACGGAGCGTACGACGTAATTTTGGACGTATTGCAGTATTCCATGATGCCTATACTATAGTAAAAACAACAAATACAAGAAGACACAATCTAGCTTCTACTTCGGACACCAGTAATTGGCAAGGTCCAGCGCAACTTCGCTCAAACGCCCATCTTGGCATACAGCTTCTTGTGTTGCTCAAGAATCAGAAGCGTCAGGATAGTCTGAGGCCCAAGACGCAGAAAGCTAGGAACCCATCCTTTAAACACCCACAATGGACTTTCAGACAAGATTGATCGTTTTATGATCTGCCATACATGTTCCCCATTTGTTGACCCCATAATGCGAGTCTTGACCACGTCTACAGGCGAGCAAACAGTTGTCGCTACAATACCAGCAAGGGAAGAAGCTGCTAGATGAGTTATGATGTCATCATCCATCCCAAATGTCCTTATGCATGATGCCTTGGCCATGTCGTAAGAAGCCAGCTGCGAGGAGTTCATGAGAGATGCACGAAGGGCGTTGGCGCCTACTCCACGATAGAGAGAACTTAAACCCTCAGTCCTGGTGATATGTGTTATACCATCAAACACATGCTTGTAGTTCCTTTGCTCTGCTAGCGGTCTTGTCATGTCAGACTGCATCCGCACGTTGACAATGTCTGCTGGGTTACCAGCCATACCGCCAACAAAACCTGACAGAGCTGATAAAGAGATCAGCACCATGGGGGAGTGAGATGTCCTAGTATCATGACTTAGACGTAATTTGAGATCCTCATAGACTCCGAAGCGGATGGTTGAGTAGGTGAATTGTCTGAGAATGGCTGCACTCAAGCCAGCATAAAGACCAACATAGCCCTCACTGGTGATGACACGAGCGGTCATCCCTGCCATAGAGAGCCGAGCTGGCGTGATTGCGGACTGTATACGGACTTTTACTGCAAGTATGTGAGTGAAATGACGATGAGCGAGTGCAAAGTCTGACCTAGGTCCAGCGGATGGGTAAGCAAGGTAGCCATTGCGCTGGCGCTGCCTCCAAACCAGAAGGGATACTTGTTGGAAGAAGGCGTCGAGGCATCCAACGACGAAGGCCTCATCGTAATACTCATTCCATTAGACTTGAGAAGATAGTCTTCTTCTTTTTGAGTAGAGAGGTTTGATATGTGTCTTGACGATGTTACCCGAGGAACGAGGAAGGGAGATTGGTTCACAACAACATGAACATAACTACCGAACAAAATTACCAAAGGGTCAGAAGTCCAGTTATTCTCGCCAATAGAAATGTAAATTACTCTTTATTTTGGTTGCTAACATCGTAACGCGACACAAGATGAAGTGCACTGTCAAACTTAGGAACGGCATTATACACAATTCTGCCGAAGGTTTGTCCAGGAACGAATGACGCCCTCTTCGCAACGGCGGATTCCTTAGAAAATCACTTCTCGAGTCCCTAATATCAGACGGCCCTTGTCTGAATATGGACAGTCAAAGGTGGTTGTTGTGTGGCTGGCAGAAATTCCGAAATCCCGAAAAGCCGTGATCACGAGTCGATATCCACAAGGTTTCGTAGTGGCATGGCCTTTTTTCAGCGATAGATGGGTTCCAGAATTGTCAGAAACAGTAACCCGAGGTTTAAAAGATCAGAAAGTTTGACTTGTTACGGGATGCTAATCATTGACTGCAAAGGACTAAAGTCACTCGCATAGGGCGTGGGCACTATAGTATCTGCGCCTCCTAAAAGCTAAGGATGGCGAACTAATGGTAGACCAAGCCTTATAGAAGTGCGTTAATGAATAAACCAACTTGAGTTATTGAAGGTGTATTTAGATAAACCTAGCATGTTGAAGAGAAATACAATGTAATAGTACTGTGTGGCTAGGAATCACTTGCTTTCCGTTTATGTCATGAACATAGGAATGTCTGTTCTACCCGGCAGATGCAGGCCGAGGTTCCATGGAGACCTACCCCGCTGAGTCACGAGAAAAGTATAGTGCCTGAGTGACAGACTTGCAGAACTCTGTCCCGGCCTATAGGCGGAAATTGAGGCCCCTGTTCCGGCTGACCATTAGTAGAGTCGACGTGTAATATCGTATATTAGGAGTTAATTATTGTCAGCTTTTACACACAAAATAAAAGTTCAAGGATTGGATCAAGAGCTATCCCGATTCAGCCAATACCAAGTTTTAGTTTACATCCACCTGACGACTTGGCTTGAGCTCACACATATTGACCCAACCTACTTCTCAACAAGCAGAATCTCGCAACCGCTACCATGGTTACAACCATGAACTCTGAGTCAGCGTAAGTTTGAATGGTATTGCATTCGCTGTTTCAAAAAACTAAACTATTACCAGCCGTCTTGACTCCCAGTCATCACAATTGCCCGAGGTTGAAACAGATGTCCTGGTTGTAGGCGCTGGCGTATCTGGGCTATCCTTTGCAGCCATGCTGGCAGCTCTGGACATAAAAGTGTTCGCCATCGCAAAGCACAGCGGCACCGCGCCAGCTCCACGCGCCCACGTCACCAACCAGCGGACAATGGAGATCTTCCGCGATATGGGAATCGAAGAGCTCATCCAAGCCGCAGGAACCTGCATGCCCGATATTGGCAACATGGTCATGGCCACTAGTCTCACAGGCATGGAAATTGGACGCTACAGCTGCTACGGCGGAGGCGATCATCAGCTGACAGACTTCGCAAAGGCTAGCCCAAGCAAGATGTGGAACACGCCCCAGAACAACATGGAGCCTATCTTGCTGCACAGGGCACGAGAGAAAGGAGCTGACATACGCTTCTATCACGAGCTAGTGGATATTCAGCAGTCTGATGAGGGTGTTGTCGCCAGAGTGCGTGAAAGGACCAGCCAAGGAGAGTACATCGTCCGTGCCCGCTACGCTGTTGGCGCGGATGGAGCTAGGTCAATGGTGGCACAGAAAATCGGATTCGGTTTCGTTGGGGAGCCTGGGCTTATGCATATGATAAGTTCGTGGGTTGAGATGGATTTGGCCCAGTATGTCGCTTATCGCCCAGCCTGTATCTACTTGATGCTACAGCCCGGCGATGCGTACTGGGTTGGTTCGGGAACATGTATCCTCAAGAAGCCCTGGGACGAGTGGATTGTCAATCGGCAGTACAACGCCGCAGATGGGGAGCCCGACATGAGCGACGAAGCCATCATTGCCCATGCCCGTAGCGCGCTGGCCATTCCAGACGCTCTTCCGATCCGGGTGAAGCACAAGGGCAAGTGGCAAGTCAACCATGTTGTCGCGACTGAGTATCGTCACGGCCGGATTTTCCTTTCTGGAGATGCGGCACATCGTCACCCTCCCGCAAGTGGACTCGGAAGCAACACCTGTGTACAAGACGCTTACAACCTCTCGTGGAAGCTAGCCGCTGTCATCAAGGGACAGGCTGGTGAAGGTATTCTCGAGAGTTATAACCAGGAGAGACAGCCTGTCGGCAGACAGATTGTGGACCACGCAATCAAGACGCTTCACGACATGGCACTTCTTCCCGGCGCCCTCGGGTTTGAGCGAGGTCAGTCCCGAGAAGATGGTTTTGCGAAGCTCGAGGAGCTCTTCTCCGACGCTGATGACGCATCTGAGCGCCGCGAGTTTCTGAGGAAGACGATAGACCGTGGTAATCGTCGTTCCAACCCTCTTGGAGTACATCTGGGCCATCGTTATTCCAACTCGGTTGCTGTGGTTGATGACGGAACACCGTTCCCTGAACATGAGCGTGACCCTGTTCTGTTCTATCACCCCACGACTCACCCAGGCGCCTACATCCCGCATGCTTGGATAGAGCTCAACAAAAAACGCATCTCGGTCCTGGATATCTTTGAGCATGGCAGTTTTGGTCTTGTAGTTGGTATTGGCGGAAAGCCTTGGGAGGAGGCTGCTGCTGCTGTTAGCCAAGAGCTTGGCGTCAAGTTACCTGTGTACTCTGTTGGCCAGGGTTGTACTTATGCCGATGTCTTGGCTGAATGGACGAATCGACGTGAGATTAGTGACCGTGGGGCTCTTTTGGTTCGACCTGATCGTCATATTGGCTGGCGATCGTTTGATCGGCCCCAGAACCCTACCGCGACCTTGCGATCAGCTTTGCAGCAGGTTCTTTCACGCCACTAGATACTAGGCAGTCAGTCCGAAGTAGCAAAATAGAATGAATCATGATTTATACCCAAGGTTGTCTCGAGATGTGAAATTGGCGGTGCCATATAAGAAGTACCATTAATCTGGTATTTGATTCTTCTTGTATTTACCTGTCTCATACTCATGGTCTTCCTATCGACTGCTCAGTGACACCTTCCTCTGAGGTCTAAGGCTTCATGTCAGTTAAAATCGCGTCCCAAGATTGCTAGATGCATCAAGGATTGGCGGGCTACTAAAGTGATTCCCAAGAAAAAAGGACAAAGTAATTCATATTGTTTACTCGTCATGATATCTCCACATCTCAGCATTGCCATCCAATTCCTAACGCTAGTGCAAACAAGCCCTAGTTCCTTTCTACGTCAGTCAATCTCAGTCATGTTGGCATGTTGGGGCTCGCGCGTCCCAGATACATCTTCTCCCCACTAGAGCCTCACCGATGAGAGACGCTAACAAACCCAGAGTGGCAGAACAAAATGAAGTATTACGGCATCATTCGTTGGGCCATTCCCATCTCTCGTTGCAAGCCACGGATATTCCGTCCGAAATACCGAGTTCGTGCGAGAACGCCAACATGGCTAGTACTTATCGAGCTAGTGCGGAGTCCAGTCCGGAGATCATGGAATCGTGATCTCGCCCAGTGATCTCGCGGGTCTAGATTCCCCCGCATCTTTTTGTAGAACACGGGGCTCAGGCTTTCATATGTTAAGTACAGCAAAAGCTGACCCGGCATAATTGGGAATCTTTGCCGACAGACTACATCATGCAGATCGGAATTGCTTCTGAGTTCGGCCCCGTAGACTCCAAGCAGCGTAGTCTATAATTCTTCATTATGAAGACTGAAGGGGCATTAAATGGTGCAATAAAAAATAATTCTGCATAACAATTGTTGTCAACAGACTAAATCTTGCTCTACATCGCCAGCTCAGGTCCTAACTTAGGCTCACGTTCTCTCTTTTGAAGAAACTCCGAGCCAACACCAACAGCCAACATGTCCTTTCTTTTGCGCCGACGTGTTCAACCTCGGAACATTCTTGGAGTTGCCGCAGCAAGCCGCAGAACCCTTTCGTTGGCAAGCTTTGATTGGGAGGATCCTGTCTCTTCAAAGAGTTTGCTCACCTCGGAAGAACTTGGCATTCAGGAGACTGCTCGAGCATACTGCCAAGAGCGCCTGCTACCTCGAGTCCTCGGCAAGTAACTCGGCCTCGCAGTTTGAGCCCTACACTGACCTTCAAGAAAAGAGGCTTACCGAAGTGAGCATTATGACCGGAACATTCTCAGGGAAATGGGAGAGTTGGGCCTTCTTGGAGCCACAATATCGACCCATGGATGTGCGGGTGTTAGCAGTGTGGCCTCAGGTCTCATCACAAAAGAAGTCGAACGCGTCGATTCCGGTTACAGGTCCGGCATGTCTGTCCAAAGCTCTCTTGTTATGGGTCCCATTGCCGAACATGGCACAGAAGAGCAGAAGGACCGCTTTCTTCCCTCATTAGGTCAGGGAACCATGATTGGATGTTTTGGTTTGACAGAGCCAAATCACGGCTCTGATCCTGGGTCAATGGAGACTATCGCACGTCCACATCCAACAAAGAAAGGATACTTGTCAATTTCCGGAGCAAAGACTTGGATCACCAACTCTCCCATAGCTGATTTGCTTCTGGTCTGGGCCAAACTAGAGACCACGGGCAAGATTCGTGGGTTCCTCATAGAACGAGAACTCTGCCCTCCTGGAACTCTTGAAACGCCTGCGATCAAGGAGAAGAATGGCCTGAGAGCATCCATTACCGGCATGATCCAGCTCGATTCCTGCCCAGTGCCCGAAGAAAACATGCTTCAGGTGGAAGGTCTCAAGGGACCTTTCAGCTGTCTCAACTCAGCCAGATATGGCATCGCCTTTGGTACAATGGGAGCTCTGGAGGACTGCATTGACCGCGCAAGGACATATGCACTGGATAGAAAGCAGTTTGGTAACCCACTTGCGAAGTATCAGCTTGTACAGAAGAAACTCAGCGACGCGCTCACTGATGCAGCTTACGGCACTCTAGCAGCTATTCAAGTGGGAAGACTCAAGGATGAGGGCACGTTGGCACCTGAGATGATTTCGATCATCAAGAGACAGAATTGCGATCGGGCGCTGGCTGGTGCCCGCACGTAAGTTAAGCCACGTCACTTTCACGATACTTTACTGACCATGACTAGTCTGCAAGAGATCTTTGGAGGGTGAGGCTCTTGTCCCTTGTCATCTTGACTAACACTGACGATAGTCGCTAGAAATGCTGCCTCAGACGAATATCATATAGGTCAGCGATTTATAACTTCCCTTATCCGCATTTACTGGTGCTGACTCTAGAAGGACGTCATGTCGCAAATCTCTTCGTGGTGCAAACATACGAAGGACAGTCCGATATCCATTGTAAGACTCAATGCCGAGATTCAGTCACCATTCTAATATGGAAGTAGCTATGATTGTTGGAAAGGGTATTACAGGCTTGCAGGCCTTCTATTAGAGTGCCTAAGTAATGGCTTCAAACGCAGACATTGGACTGGGTGTGTATCCGTCAGTAAGTATAGCGGTATGGCTTTGTGAGAAACACAGTAGCTAGACTCAACCAATGAAGAGGACAAATACAGATTTTGTACCATTCACCCAAAAGTGATTACTTAATATTGGGGAGTAAAAGTAATCCAGGATATGTAATATCGCGACCTACAAGCCCAAGCGTCAAACGGAGCTGTAAAAGTGGCAAACTTAAAAGAGGTTGAAATCACAAGTGTTGGTAGGCAGTAAACATCGCGGATCAAGACCCTGGACCTTGACTATAAATTTCTCTTCTTTATCTAAAGTCTCACTGGAAGACCATCCGGTTGCATATAGTTCCAATCCCGCTGATGGAAACTTGTACAACATCCCCATCCTTTAACCATTTGGGCGGTTTCATTCCCAAAGCTACTCCACCCGGTGTGCCAGTCAGGATCACCGAGCCCTTTTCGAGTGTTGTACCCTGACTGACAAACGCAATGATCCTCTTTACGTCGAACACTAGATCACTGGTATTTGCCTCCTGGCGAACCTCCCCATTCACCTTGGTCTGTAGGGTGAGATCCCCAGCTGCGCTAAGGACCTATCTTCCGGTTAACTCAGATCTGAAACCTCGCCATTGATAGAACTCACGCTCGGGGACACAAGCACCGGACCCAGAGGAGCAAAGGAATCGAATCCTTTGGAGAAACACCACTGTGGGACCTCCCCAGCGAACTTGGGGTCCCTTTGCCATGTACGGGCTGAAACATCGTTTGCAACGGTATACCCTGACACGTAGCTCAATGCATCTTCAGCCGAGATATCTTTTCCTTCCCTCCCTATTACAATAGCCTAAGACAAGTCAGTATTTTTTAACTTTAGGTCATAGTTGAGAGACATACCAGTTCACCTTCATAGTCAAGTTGATCTTTCTGTGCGATCTTGGGGATAGGGATATCATCGTTCCAACCTGTGATTGAACTGGATGGCTTGATGAAGATTGTGGGATGCGGAGGTGGAGTCCTCCCTGTTTCCTTGACTACTATGGTCAGTATATAGTGCAAGAGTACTAGCGAAGAATGATGGTGAGGAAGTACTATGCTTTGCGTAATTCAAACCAACACAGCGTAGAATGGGCACGTCCCGAGGGGTCAAAGGCCCCAAAAGCGACTTGACTTTGACTATCTTGCCCGTCGGCTTTGCGTCAAATATGTCGTTTCCAGCTAACTTTTCGGCAGTGAGACTTCCAGCTTCCAAAAGACTCGCAAGGTCTTGGGCAGAGCTTGCAACTGCATCACCGAGACAGACCTGATCTTCATCATCGAGGAATCGGATTAAGCGGCTCCAGCTCATGTTGGGCTACAGGATGTCAGGGTTGTGAGATAGGGGTGATAGTGGTAGAGCACTGGTATGTAAAGTTAAGGTCAAGGTCACAGAGTCAACACAATGGATCAATATGTACTTAAATGTAGCGCATTTCTCGAGGGTGGGGCTTCCAGTATGTTACACCAGTTGCGCCATATAGGCCAGATCTATTCCAAGGCTTGCCTCGGGCCATTTTGGCCGAACCGGAATTGTAGTCTATCACGCCAATTTCTAGGTACCGAAATACCGTATGACCGATTTAACTGAAATCATGCTGGCTCTTATTTCCTGTAACGGCCCGAAGCACTCCGGCCTCTTCTGAAAGGCTTGCTGGACAATTCGGCTAGGACTATGTCCTGCCTTTGTACAACATAACAATTCATCACGGCCTTTGAAGTCACTTCTAGACAACCAAGAGTCATGCTAAGCGATCTGCTAATTCTTCAAAGCGTTCTGAATCTCCAGGGAAAGCGCCTCTACGTCAAAATCTCCAATAGGTCGATCAGCCCACTCCGCAATCTTCTTCACCACATCCAACACAGTCCTGACACATCCCACTGAGTTTCCTATCCCCAAAGTAGCTTTGATATGACTCTTTGTCTGTCGAGTAGCTCCCAATGCAGCGATAGAAGCTGCAATAATGAGATGAGACTCGTTTGGTTGGAACACTTCCTCGTTCGCCTTTGAGATAAGGTAACCCCATGTAACAACGGTCGAGCAAGTAACTGATGAAGGAAAGTCAGCAAAATAAAACAAGCAGGGTATGTACTGGGAGTGGCTTACATAGATCGGTAAAGTATTTGTCCATCAGACTAAAGATGCCTGAATTTCCGACACCACTGTATATGCGAGACTTGAGCTCAGTGCCCTTCCTGACGTCTTCTTCATCAATTGTCTTCTTTCTGAGCACTCTGCTAGATGCATAAGAAGGACCTTTGCGCTGCACAACGCCAATCATTCCATAGCATGCGGGAATACAGGTTGGCATTCCGACGTATGGGAAAACAATGGTGATGGCCTCTCTAATGGAAAGGAAAAGCTTCTCAGAAGCTTCTGTTGTTGAATCAAATGTGATATCATCGAAGAAGCGACCTACGACATCTGCACGACTGACAGCGCAACACACGGCAGCCTGCCAAACTTGTTAAAAGTCTTGACGCAAGACGGTGACCAATTTAATTTTTTAACGTACTATGATTGCATGACTGCAAGATTTCAACTCCGGATGAGACGAAGCTAGCTTTGAATTGAGTTCGAGGAACATGCCCCTGTCATATTTTCGTGCCTGGGGCTTGACGTTGGTGGAGACGTATTTTTCGTCCCATTCGGACATGAACAAGTCGTCGTTCCAGTCAAGCATCTTGATTATCTTTGCCAGAGCTGTAGAACTGAGATGTGTGACCAATAAATTACTAAAGATTTTGGAGATCCAGACCACGGTAGTATGTTTTAACATGCTGGGGTTAGCGTGGAGACCGCCGGGACTTTCGGAAAGCAGGCGGAAATTCCAGACCACGGGTCAAGGAAGCCAATTCCGGTTTAGTCCAAGTCGAGAGAGCATCAGCTCCATCAACCATCATCCGCTGGCTTCTGTAGCTATCGGTGTCTCAGTCATTGCGCTTCACTATGATTATATGCAAAACTGGAACTGTCGATAACGTTGCTTTAACCAGCCACATGACGCGCCCCAAAGGCAGACTGAGGAAATGCACGTATTGCGAACGTGTGTTCACGAAAGAGGAACACTTGAAGCGGCACGAGAGAAGTCGTGAGTTGCTCCACGGCATCACCGAGGTTCATTGCTAACAGCCAAAGACACCGGTGAGAAGCCTTTCAAGTGTTGTAAATGCGGTAGGAGCTATGCTAGAAGGTAATTCGCAAACAACTGCATATGTACCATGTGAATGGATGATGGCTAATTGTCAGGTGCAGTGACGTTCTATTCCGGCACTCTCAAACGCACTTCTCGACAAGCAACAACGGCCAAAACGAATATGGGCCTGGACACCCATCCTCAGATAGTATTCAGATTGGCCATGTTAATGAACCATGCCGCGATGATGGAAACATTTCAATCTCACTCCCAGAGCGACAAATAAGTGGATCTCTGGACCCAGCCGTTTCCAGGGCCCAACACCGCAAGTCCACAGCGTCACTTCGGCATTTGTCGTCCACTCCAAGCTCCGCGATGCCATTGCCAACTACAGAAACTCATGTAAACGATATTCTGGGGCCACAAAAGCGACAAAGGCTTTCACCGCACTCTCAGCATATTCCGGAAAATAGCCGAGGAAGTTCAATGGCTCAACCCACTTGCACAATCTCCGACATGCTTCTACCGCAGCTCAACATCGACCAAGTCTCGACCTTTACTGGGATAGGGTCTATAGAACTCAGCCAACAAGGTATCCCTGGAAGTTTTGACAACTCTAGCATGTTTTCGTTCGGGACGGGACAGATGCCAGGTTTCGGTGACATGCACTTTACCTACGATGCAATAGATGACACCGATTTGAATAATTCTGGCTTCCCATATTCGGTACCAACCACGAGTACTACCTCATGTAGCCAGGTGTCCAGAAGTGGTGGGCTCATGACCATATCAGCCTGTCAGATGCAGAAAGTACAACGAATCTGGGCGAGACAGCGACCCAAGGTGCTTGAACCTATCCATAGTCGTTTATGGGATGCAGTGATTGAGCATGATGCCGATAATATTTTCACGAAGCCACAGCAGAGCATCAACCTCAAAGACTATCCACCATCGGGACGCAATATGGATCAAGCATGTAGAAATCGTCTGATTCGGTACTGTGACAATCTTGACGGATCATATGGCTCGTCAACAACTCCTGATAAGGCTTTCGTGCCTTCTGTGGATCTACTCGACTCAAGTTTGGACTTGTATTTCCAATTCTTCCATCCGGTCTTGCCATTCATACACAGGAGCACTTTTGATGCTAGAGATGCGCCGAGCTCGCTGTTGCTGGCAATGTGTTTAGTTGGTATGTCCTACTTGGATCAAGCACAAACCAAGGGCTTCCTCACCAGATACCTCAGGGCAAGTTATCAATCGAGAAAATTATGAGAGTGGTTGTTAATTCTGTTGCAGAAATTGTTACCCGCCTGCCTCCACGATTTGATGTCTCATACACTGCTGAAGAGTGCATTACCTGATATCCTCACCATCCTCGCTACTGCACTCATCACAGCCTACTTATCCTTGGGCTTTCGCGTACATAGTCACCCTTTTCGAATCTCTGGAGCAGTCACTGAGTTTTCACAGGATGAGATTGATATACATGAATCATACACAGTCTGTATACAGATGCTTCGTGTAGGTCTACCATGTCCGACATCATTTACAGTGAACATGTCTAACTGAGCGTTCTTGATAGACGGCTGATGTACAAGGCCTCTTCATGGCTGGATATGGTGACGATCCGATTCTCAAAGTGAGACAAGAAGCACAAAACCCAGACAATCTCTGGAAGGCATGGGCACGAGTTGAATCTATTAAACGGTGAGTCTAACTGCCACCTCAGACCAACTTCTCTAACTCTGTACAGCCTTACATGCTGCCTTCTCTACTTAGACATGGCCTATTCCCGGCTGACGAGCACATCCGGGGTTATTGCAATAGAGAAGGTCGAAATATACTTGCCGTGTGACGATGCTCTGTTCGAAGATGTAACGACAACCACGGCTTTTTTTCGCTCGGTGCAGCAAGGTGCACGTATGACAATGCCTCGAATGAATTCCCGAAGTTTCCACGTCTTGTCACCGTCTAAGCTCAATCGAAATTCTACTCAGATCCTCCTCCGTTCTCTCTACCTCAGGTTGATAGCTGCCACAGCCAGACTTTCAGAAAGGAATGGGCGAAGCGACCATTTCCGGTCTAACAGCCTTGCTGAGAGCTTTCTAACGGCTGAGGATTACAAGGCCATCGTTGCTGACGTTGTATTGCTGCCAAAGGCGCATGCCAGCTTCTTGAGTGAACGACATCAGAACAATGCGCTAGGCTGGCATTATCTGTGCATTCTACTGACAACGGACGTTAACCTTTTGGAAATCGCGTGTGGTCGTGATGGGTTGGAAGCTGCTGAGGACTCTCTAATTCATGTTTTCAGATGGTCGCAGTCAGGTAGTGCTCGCAGGGCACTTCTCCATGCGGCACAAGTATTCAGCATCTTGGATTCGTGCCTCATCCGCGAATCATACCTGACTAGACCGGACTTGGTGCTATTTGTCTCGGCACTGGTTATAAGTCAATACTTTCTAGTTACGAGCTTCATGAATGGTGGCTCTGGTGGACCTGTTTTTGAGCTGTTGCGTGACGTAGATTGGAGTACCATCGGAGACGAAGGGTTTGGGCGAGTCACCGGGCATCTACCGCCAATCACTGAACGCGAAAGAGTCAAGTCAAACCCCATCCTTGAATTCATAAACAAAGGTGGTTCTGTCTCGTTTGCGGGAGAATTACAAGAGCTTGGGAGCGTGGCTGCTAAGAAGATTGCCAGGAAGTTTGCTCATCTTATGGATGGCTTTGGCAGATGGGATGGATGTAGCTATTCTCAACTCTTGAGAGTAATGACTGGGTTCACGCATGAATCTTAGTGAAAAATAAAACGTGGATATCAACTTAGGAATCGCTTTCGGCTTTCGTTATTAGCTGTGCTGTATTCAAAAAGCTGTTGCATACATCACATCAGCACTACTCCCTATGCCATGCTATAAAGATCCCACTTCAGCCAACCCTGCGGTCCTACTAGATCCCGTGAACAAATAACCGGTCCTCTATTGGAAGTGAGGTTTTACTATGCAGGGTGCTACCGGTCGGCTTGCCAAAGACTAATTGACCCTTCAGTGACCATTGTGGTGAGATATCCCATTCTCCAATGAGCCTTTGATCGATGATGGGATTGATGTGCTGCAGATTACACCCGAGCCCCTCTAGCGACAAAGCAGTCCACAAGTTTAGAGTCTGCATGGCATTGTTATGCTCAGAGAATTGCAAAAGATGTGTTGCGAATCGAGGGAACTTGGCCTGATACTCGCGAACAACATCCAAGTCTTCAAATAGTAGTATCTGCCATGCCTTTCGTCAGAAATGGCTAAGGAAACCGTTAACGCGAATCGATAGCTTACCGTTCCATAGCCCGCTTGGCGTTGTAGTAGTTTCTTTTCATATTCAGCGTAGATTCCTGGTTTCATGGTGGCCTTGAAGCACTCTTTTGCCAAAGCCCAGAACTTAACATGCTCGTCTTTAAGAAGGACTACCAGTCGAGTAGACTGGCAATTAAAAGAACTGGGCGTGTGCTTGACCACCTCCTGGGCTATTTCGATAATACGATCATCGCTGATTGGGGACTTGGCCTCAATCGAGTAACAAGTTCGACGGCTTTTGATCTCGGCAAGATATTGATCGGCCATTTTGTGAAGTAGAAGGCTGTGAGAGACTATTGGTGGCATCCGCAAAGGGGCGACAGTCAAGAAGCAATACCTGGGAGGCTTTCAACAGCAAGCCATATGGACATTTACTTATTGTATACAAATAGATTGGCAAACGTCCTGGAAGTTCGGGGCCCCACAAGTGGGGAGGCCCCATGTCCCCCACGCTGCGAGGTTGAGGCCCCATGGCCCCATCATATACTAGCAAGCCATGTCTACTGTCTTTTCGTATTTATCTTGACACAGTGACTTGAGTCAACCCCCTTAATCCATCCGTCTTGTCACCATCATAGCTCTACATCGCCCGTCTTACTTGGAGCTCCCATTCTCGTCTAAACCGTCTTAAGTCTCAATCCTCTGACGATGTCGAAAACTGTCTTAGTCCTCGGTGCCACTGGAACTCAAGGTGAGCCTAAGCAACATCTTTGGCTACGACTATTAGCAGGACAAACTGATAGACTGTTAAGGTGGATCAATTGCCAACCTATTAGTTCAATATCCGAACCAATATCTGGTACGATGCCTTACACGAAATCCCAGCTCGGACAAGGCAAAAGCCCTGGCCGCAAAGGGGGCGGAGCTCGTGAAGGCTGATTTGACTATCCCTTCCACCCTGCCAGAGGCGTTCAAGGGAGTCTGGGGTGTCTTTGCTGTCACAGACTTTTACGATACGGTTAGTCTCACATGGACTCGCACCACGATCTATACTTACTCCATAGGCTGTTCTTGATGATCCTATGAGCGAGGAGAAACAAGGACAGCATATCGTCGAGGCATCAGTGGCAGCTGGTGTTGAATGTTTCCTGTGGAGCACTTTGCCGAGCTCTAGAGAAATATCTGGTGGCAAGTTTGTCACAAGGCTGTATGAAGGTATTACACGCCAACACATTTTCCAATGGCACTGAGCTAACCCGGCTGCTCCAGGAAAACAGTCTGTTGATGCAGTCATTCGCGATGCAGGCCTCAAGGGTGCCTTCATTCGTACTGGTAACTTCTATGAGAACATGATCTCGCGAAAGTACGCTGCATATGACAAGGAGAATGATGTTATTACCATGACGCGACCCATTATCGGACCCGATGCTGAGCGTTAGTCCCTTTCTATGACTTTTGCCAGATATCTATGCTGACAAACGGCAATACAGTCACTTCCCTTTACGTCGAGAAAGACCTCGGGGCGGTTGCCAAAGCGCTGTTTGATCAGTGGGAGGAGAAGAAGGATACTCTTGATGGTAAATACTTTCTTGCAAGTGGAGCTCGGGAGACAATGGGTGATATCAATGCCATTCTTGAGAAAGGTATGCCTCCAATCCTTCGGAATCATCTACACGTATTTAGTCTGACTGGTACAGTGTCTGGTAAAAGGGTCATTTACAAGATCAAGCCAACATGTGGTATTTCGGATCGCGATATCATGTTGCAACTTTACAATAATGTAGGAATGTACCCCGGGGTTGATATTCCGACTCCAGAGGTGGCAATGTTGGGTGTGAAGCTTCACAATGCTGAGGATTTCATCCGGGAGAGGTTGCTCCCCCACCTTGGACTTGTCCAACGTAACTAGAATACCGTAGATCGCATGGCAGTCCTCGGAATATCATATGGTTACAATTTAGGAAGTTACGTACCGCTTGTTGAAAATTAAATTGCTTGCCCGAGAAGACCATGCTTTGCTGTCTCGTTCTCAAAATGGATGGCTTCAATTCTAAGAAACCATAACGAGATGTCCTACCCTAGATTCCCTCTTGTCGGAGCGATCCGCTTTGATGTGGTAGCCAATCAAAAGACAAAGCGAGTGCACTATGGGGCGACAAGGATGGCACAGAGTCTAGACTTTGGAGACCAACAAATTGAGCTAGCTGCTGACTGAATTCACTAGCCGAACTCTATCACACTGACTACATCCATGACGAGCCAATCAACTCGGGTCGCGGCCCCATTTTACGGAAATTCCAGCCAAATTCCGTCCAAAGAGTGGCAAGCCATACAAGGCGAGAGCTCCGCATGATCAGCCAGCAGCTTAGACGCTATGCCCCCCAGACACTACCACGAGCAACCAAGACTCAGTTTCGCGGGGAACCCTGACAATCATCTCGGCATCGGTGGCTAGATCAAATCCGACCTGGGAGAGTGTCTGGGGAAGAGGGGCAGTCCCCGCAGTAGCCCAGGCCCCGTGCATCAACCTGTCCAGCACTTGATTCACCAAGCTTCGTACTACAGTCTTGAATTGACTGAGCTTATGGAACCTGGCAGACTTCCATCTGCATTCAAAGTTCAGTCAGCGTAATGTCTCCATCTGATCTCCAGGACTGGGAGCCAGCCAGTGAGGCTGTAGACCAGACCGCTTCCGCAACTGACGATGCCCGCGAGACCACGCCGCCAACAGAAGATCAAGATGGGGCCAACAAAAGGAACGCCGCCAAAGACAACCCAGTGGTCAATACTGAGCCAACGGAACCGCCTGCGAAGAAGATGAAGAGAGGGAAATATATATCTAGAGCTTGGTAAGGAAGATCCACGACTTGCATAAACGCTAAAGCGGTGTCCCTAACCGTCACAGTACTTCCTGCCAGCAGCGCAAAATCAAGGTTGGTGTTCATTTCCTGCTGCTCTCCTTCAATGCCGATATGGAAGGCAATCCTGACGAGTATTATCCCACCAGTGCGAAGGAGGAGATCCATGCCGTCAATGCCTTGCGAAACAACTACCTTGCCAACCCTCTGCTCCAAGGGGCGCACAACAAGCCCGTCAGGACTTGAGGCCAGGTCTCTCTGGAGGTCAAGACCAGGTCTGCTACCCCTCAAATGATAGGTAATCTGTTTTGCGCTTGCCTCGGTGACATGAGCTTCTCTGACTGACCATGGTAGCATCAACCGCGAGGTCTTAGTTCGCCTAGAAGCTGTTGAACGCCATCTACGTCTGATGAGACCACCCACTCCCGATCTGTCCAGATCAACGCATGACTATGCATCAGTCGAAGACCAGCTCAAGCCTTCGGCAGCCAAACTACAAAGTGCCCTGGAGACAGAGGGACAAACGTTTGCAGGAGAGATGACTATGACTCCGACACTTGAAGACGAGAACGACCCAATGGATTATCAAAGCTCCGTATCGTCGGCAATGCGAATAGACAACGCTTCTCCAGCATCCTCTCTCCTTCCACCAGCAACAGCAACATCACCAAATAATACGACTGGTAGAAAAGGCGGATGGTTTGAGCGGATATTAACTCGGCACGGGGTCATGACCGATGAGAAACAGTGCAGATATCACCTACAAGTCTTCATGGACGAGGTGCACCCGATGTATCCGGTCGTTCATCCCCCGGCAGTCTGGGACATCTTCAATGAAATGTGGCAGCACCCAGCGATCAGTTCCTCGGTCGAGTCAGCACAAAGTGAGCAGCTCCGGGTCTCCGTTGCCCTGGTGTGCTTTTGCCTAGCTCTTGGAAGATGCAGCATGTCAGCAAGAATGAGTGACCGTAGCGGCGTTGAATCTTCTGGCTGGAGTCTGTACAGTGTGGGAATGAGTCTGCTTGGTGATCTGCTCGAGACCAGTAACACGGCTATAAAGTCGCTGCTCATGTTACAAGTGCTGATAGTGAGGGTGAGCTGATATCCCGGCCCCTGTATCCTACAATCCTTCTGACCCTGCATAGATAATTTACATGTTCCGACTAGACGCCAATCAGAAAGCAGCCAGAGTACACGCCTTGAGTGTATCAGTTGCGCAGACAATAGGCTTGCATCGCCAGAGCACCATCGAGAAAATGCCGGCTTATTACAACCAATTATACTCACGTGCCTGGTGGTCTTTATATCTGCTGGATCGACGACTGGCGCTAGAGTCCGGCAAGCCATACATCATTCAAGACAGCAACGTTGATACGGCTTTACCATTAGATTTGAGCGATGAGTGGATGACGCGATTTGCGTCGAGAAAGGAGACGATAGCAGACCTTGACCAAGAAATAATTGTCGAGACTGGCAGGGACTCGTCACCGTCATGCATTCCTTATGTTATTGCCATGGTGCGTTATTGCCGTATAGCTGGCAAAACGTGGGAGGTTTTATACGGCGTCAAGTCATCTACTGCTTCCATGCCAGCCATGATCCAATACGTTGATACTGCTATTGGAAAGCTGCTCAACACAGTTCCAATTTGCTTGAAATATGACCTCGATGCTCCCTACGAGGCCCAGTTTAGCCTCCATGCTCGGTGGCAAGTAAAGCAAACCTTTCTCTTCAATAATGTGAGTACCGATAGAAGGTGAAATCGTTGATAGGCCCAGGGATTGACGATACTTAGTGCTGCACATATTTGCGTCTCTTGATAAGAAGACCACTACTCCCGAGTTCCAACGCTATTCACCACACAGAAGAGGATGACCTTGAGACGTCAATCGAGTGTGCTAGCCTCGCTGCCCGCATCCTTACCACTCATCAAAGCATACAAGACGATGGACTCAAGTATAGTTTTGCACTCAGCCACTATGTCACCAGCTGTGCACTTGTCATGGTCGGCTTGGTGTCGAGGGAACCGGGCTCCAAGAGAAGGTATGGGGGTCTGATACTCACTGCCACTCAGTGTTTGAACGAGTATTGCCAGAGGATTTGGGTCTCTGGCAAGATGATGCGTTGTGTTTCTAGACTCAGCCGGCTTGTTGGGCGTGTTCTGGCTTCGGACTCGCAAGGAGGGCTGGACCGCCAGAGTCCACCGGGTATGAGGAGAAGCTCAATGGCAGATCCTTTGATGCAGCACCTGACGCCACCCCAAACCGAAGATCAAGACTCCGTGCGATACAGAACAGGGACTTCCAGCATATACCGAACCCAGACCAAAGACAAGAGAATCGACAATACTCAAAGGATGCAGAGGGATCAAGAAGTAGACTGTTATTCATTCAACAATGACTCTCTGGGCCCAATGCCTGAAGGATCGACTGCCGGATTTAACAAGCAGTCCACATCCTGGATGGGTAATTCGAGCCTTGACCGTCGAAACAGCTGGATCATGTCGGACTTCAATTTTGAGACCCTGGGAGAGCGCTTTGGTCCCAACGACGCCGAGCTGGCATCATTTATGGAGAGTGATAGCCTTGATTTTACCCGAGGCATGGGAATGACTTCGAATATTGAGAGAGGATCTGCTGAGGCGAGGCTAGGCACTCTGGGTATTAATGGTGTTTTTGATCTTGATATGGATATGTTTCCTACTATGATGAACCTGTATGGAAGTTAGTGTAGTTTTATACGCAAGAGCGATGTATACGTCAATATAATTAACAAAGTGGATTGTACATTGCTTTATCTTGGTACAGCTCTTAAATAAGATCGATGCCCTATCCAGAATCTCTGAAATTGCCACAGGCTACCTACTACTTCACATACGTTGTGCAATCCTAATCCTCTCTTGTGTCGCCTATCAAATTACACATTTTATCTGGAGACCCCGAAGCCTGCAGTAAGAGATCTAAAGGATCTTCTTTCTTTCCCTGAGTCTTACATTGAAGCCCATTTGTCGCACAAACCAAGCATTGTGAAGCTTCCATGGAGTCTCTGGATTGACCAGCTCAAGCTGAAAGAAAAGAAGGAAATTAGCTTCTATAAACAAAAACGCAGCACGGATACATAAACCTTACCTCAAAAATCCGTAGAATGGTCGGTACAAGCTTATAGAGCTCCAATAATGATATGTTCTTGCCAACACACGTCCTAGCACCGGCGCCAAAGGACAATAGACAACTATTCATCTTCTTTCGCTGTTCGGGTGTTGCTTCGGTCCATCGTTCAGGGCGAAACTCGGCGGCATCATCACCATACACTTCGGTGTCTTGATGGATGACCCACGGTGAACAACCGGCGATACTCCCTCCAGGAATAAAGTACCCAGCAAGTGTAACCCCACCCGGAGGCACCATTCTCTCTAGAGTAAGCCCTACAGCGGGATGACAGCGAAGGGCCTCGTTGATGACGGCGCTCAAGTAGGGTAGATCTCTTACTTCTTCCCATTGCACGAGCCCGTCATCCCTCGAGAACCGGCCTGCCTTGCTCTCTGTAGCGAGCTCTTTGAGAAGGCTTTCCATCTTTCGAGGGTCCTTAAGCAGGTAATAGAAGACAGCTCGCAGTGTAATGCCAGTTGTGTCAGAGCCCGCAAACATGTTAGCTACTGTCAGGGCCAGGACAAGCTGCTCAGTAATAAATTCAGGGTCTTTGCTGTGCGCCTCTTTGAAACGATTCAAGAAGTCCCTCCTCGGAGCTTTCGACGTATCCGATGCTTCCTCATGCTGACGTTCGACAAGGTGCTTTCTCGCAAATTCGGCAACGGGCGCGCTGGAGTTGAGGAAACCATATTTGACCAGCCATATCTTGATTGGGTTTTTGATGAACAGATTATCCAGGAAAGGAATCTGGCCAATCTGAAGAGGGTGATCTGTCAGTGGCTGTAGCATCAGATATCTGGGGAGGGTCATTTTACCCATGACACGTAGTTTAAGAAACTCTCCAGATCCCTGATAATATTGTCAATATCAACACCTTTCTCGACAAATCCCAATCGCTTAGAAAAGGTCAACTCTCCAATCACGTCAAAAGCGTAGAACTGGAGCCACGCCCCAAAGTCACAAATCCCTGCGCCACCAGTCCGGTCGGAAAAGCGAAGCTTGAGCTGCCTGATGAACTCGGCCGATGTCGAATCAACAAAGGGTTCGAACGTGACCAAGGTACTCATTGCATAGGCATTCGACACTGATCTTCGAAGTCTGGCGTGGTACCTGTCGTTGTCTGTGTTGAACATGGTTTCGAGCCTCTTTCCTTTAGCGAGAGCCTGCTGCACTGGGTAAAACTTCGACTACAAGACGTGATCAGTCAGCCAGCGAATAGTCATTCGACAACCCTGCAAGTTACCTTGGACCATCCTGCGCTTGGACTGTAAATAACCTTTAAAGCATCTGTATCTGCAATGGATACTGCTCGAGGGCCCAATCTGACAGCGGGCCCGTACTTCTTGTGTAGCTCGATATGAACTTCCTGTGCTCGACGACCACGAACAACGAAGAGTCTCCATAAATCTGTAAAACCAGCAAGCCAAGGGCCAGGCACGTTGTTCAGACCATGTCCGTATTTGTTGTATAGAAGCCGAGTCAAGATGACCCCCATGAACCATAGGACAGCAGTGCTGAAGGATTGAGGTAGTAGGCGTTCAAAAATCATTGTGAACTATGAGTGCGAAACCAGAATTACTATTGGCAGCTGTGATAAGCAGTGAATTGAAAGACTCCAATGATATTTCAAGATCATCAACAGGACATTTGTCGACGGTATTTCGGAATTGTCCCGGAACACTGTCAGGTGCTGCCGGTGGCTGGCAGTGGGGCTCCGGAAGACAACACCGCTCCTCGGATCGAATGTCAATTGTTCAATAGCTAGCGACTAGAGCAGATTCCGGAAGCTAATGAATTATATAGAAGTCGATAAGGGAGTCGGGGGACTTAGCAATCCTCACGGTGCTTGAACTCTATTTGAGTTGAGAGACGTTAGCAGTCATTGAGCGTTATTTATATGTAACAACCTTGCAACAAGTCCAGTTCTATTACCCTGCGCCGTCTAGCTTACATAAACGGAACCTAGGCCGGAATACTTGTATTACTGTGTTACCTCCCTTCATCGGACCCTGTGTCTCCGGTCTAGAGCTTCTAATCACCTTGGGTGTCTCCCGCTGGCCTTCGCAACCCTCTTGTGGACTTTCAGGAATCAGATCAAGTAAGCTTTCACCGCGTCCTTTGATAGAAAATGGTTAACAGATGTTATGGATAGACAAGATCTTATTATACGCACTTCTGTTGAACAGCTGCTTAGTCTTCTTACACCATGAGTAGCTCAAACAAAGAAGGCTATGATGCCGGAATCACGGGAGTTACCATTCCTGTAAAACGATATATAACAGGACATGACCTTACTACTGGACGAAGCATTTACGTAAATGCGCCTGAGCTATGCACTGCAGCCGTGCCTGGATTTGGAACAGCATCACGCTCTTATGCTACTCTAAAGCTACCTACGGAGCTGGCAGATAATCAAGACCTGGAGGCACACCTTTCGCGTGACTCTGTTACGAGCTACACACGAAGTACGGACTTTCTCGTTCCTCCATCGGTCTTGAATGACCAAATAGGGCATGGTGAGCTGGGAGGCGCAAATGTGATAAATCTTGAAATAGACCCTGGTGCAGTGGGTCACATGCATCGAACGGTGTCTTTGGATATCTCGACTTGCGTGATGGGGGAGGTATACCATGAGCTTGACAGTGGCCAAAAGGTGCTGTTGAAGGCTGGGGTAAGCGTTCACAGACCTTTCATGATCGATAGAGGGTCTCCCACGTGGAACCCCGCTAACACTCGTGTCTTGCAGGATCACATTATTCAGCGGGCAACTACGCATAGATGGATTAACGCCTCGAAGGTGCATCGTGCTCGGGTACTTGCAGTTCTTCTTCCATGCCCCCCATTTAAAGTCAATGGTCAATACATAACAGAAGAGCATAGGTTTAAATAGTTAATAACCTAATACACTTTCTGCTCTTACCAGTGCGTCTTAATATCACCTTTGGTAATAGCCAGACATATCAATAACAATAAAGGCTAGTACATTATGAGGGTAGAGTATTTCAACACCTATCCCGTCTCTTAGTAGTTGTATTTATAGTAGCAAGATCCTAGGCAACAGTGAGGGCAACGAGTATTTTGCCCGTATGTGTTTTTTTGGTGTTCTTTACCTTTGTGGCCTTGAGGCTGAAGCCTCTTTTTGACCCCTCAACCCTATCACAGTATTTATAGTAGAAAAATCCGCCCTGAATATCCATAACCTCTTTAACAGTAACATTAGGGCGAATGCCATAAGTAGTAATAACATAATCCAGAATCAAATCTTCAGTTCCGCCATAACTTACTTATTATTAAATTATTAATTAAATTACTACTTAATTAAGATAATTTTCTTTTATTTACCTAACTTTAAAAGAAAGGGCAAGGAATAAATTTAACCTTTCCGTTTTAGGAAACAATGAGTCCTTAAAGACACAGCAATCCCTGAAGGTTTAACACTTACGTCATCTGTTACCAAGTTTCCTCTATTCCCCGCCTCTTAATATCTCAATCTATCCGCCCAAACGTTCTTGGCAGAGACACTGTTATTGTCAATAATTCTACCTCACAAGATGCCCAACACAGGTAAACCTAGTCGCGACTGTCACCTTTGCCGGTCGAGACGTGTTAAGGTCAGCTTTAAATCCTCTCTCTTGAGACTTGCAACAAGATACCCCTCAAATTGATAATCTTGTCTTTATTACTGACATCTTTCAGTGCGATTTAGCCCGGCCAGAGTGTCAAAGATGTATCAAGTATGGTACTCGGTGTCCCGGCTATCGGGACGGGCTTGTTTTTCGCTCTCAACTCAACCTCACGAACTTCAGGAAGCGCGATAAGAGACCGGGTACGCTGGAACAGAGCACATCGCCATCAACTCAATCCTCATCGTCGTTGTCTCTATCATCTTGTCCTTCTCTCCAAGCTACGGATTCTGTGCCTAGATCAATGCATCAGCACTGGACACTTCATTCAATCCCCATATTTCTCAACGTCTATTCGACATTGCCGTTCTTCTATGACATGTACCGAAATATCGGCGATGGCCCCCTCGTATCGGCCACCCATCTCTTCTCTAGGGCATACGTAACTGTTCTCCGACAGCCAACAGCCAAATACAATAAATCAGTGATTGAAAATGATCGAGAGCTGACCACTCATCTTGGAAAAACCTTGACCTCGGTTCGTTTTGCCCTGACGCAGCCGGGAGGAGCCTATAGGGACGACCTTCTGGCCACTATATGGATCCTCGCCAACTATGAGGCAAGTTCCGTGCCCTATCAACTACTTGCTTTCGTGCTTGAACTAATGCTGCTATTAGCTCCTTGTTGGGTCTGGGGGAAGAGCGGGACAGTCTCGTCCTTGGAACCTGCACACTCGGGGCTTGTACGGCATCCTCAAAATAAGGGGATCAGAATGGCTTAGGATGAACACAAGTAGAACTGTGTTTTGGCCGGCGCTAAATATGGCAGTACGTATGGAATTTTGGACAAGGGTTCTCAAAGCTGACACTGTTTAGCAAATCCAAAGTCTCTCCAGTAATACCGAGTGCCCTCAGGAACTTGAAGAATGGTTCGCCATCATCAGAGAAAAGATGCCCCCCCAAGAAGCCATGGTCCTTTATGTTTCCTCCTTCATCTTCAAAGCATGTCAGGTTCAGGCTCGAATATTCAAAATTCTCAGTAGCTGCGACTATAATGCTGCAATGATAGCCTTTTACGACATTGTTGCATCAATTCGTGATGCTCGACAAGAACTGAGGGCATTCGCGGAGTCACCCCGCACAGCCATTGGTCTATTTGACACGTACATGGGTAATCTGTATGCTGGTACGTGCATCAAGGTGTACAGCCTCTTGATGGCTCTGGTCTGCTTTCTCAGTCATCAGCGGCCGCTTTCAATCCCCTTTAATGTTCTTTGGTCGACGCGTAATGACTGTATCAATATTGCGCAGAACTCGGCTCAAAATGTTTTGGACACATTGCCTCGGGCCCTCGACACGAAGGCTGGGCCGGGGATGTCACCCAAGACGTTCTTCGATGCTGTGAAGCTTGTGTGGCCGCTTCGGACAATACATGCCATGCCAGCAACATCTCCAGAACAGAAGAGGATTGCAGCCAAGACTCTGGTGTTTCTCGGACGTGATATTGGACTCAAGCAAGCACTTAACATATATGCGGACTTTTACGAACCATTGCCTTTGGAAGCGAGAACGATTTTAGAAGTAGATGGCGACCCATTAGACGAGCTTGAAAGGGTAATAAGCTAATAGTAAAGTTGTTAAAATGCTAGACTATTATGTTTCAGGCCTATTTATAATTTGGAAATAATGAGGCTATTTTTTTCTTAGCGGTTTTAAATTCTTTAATATAACATTTAGGCCACTAGCTTTAATGTAGAGGTGTCTGGCGTGTAACTTAGTTAATAATTATAAAAAGTATTACTTTATTATAAAGGGAGTTAGCTAGATCTTAATTGTAGAATATGTTTTTAGTAGGAACTATATTATATATTATCTGTAAAGCACTTTGGGAAGATTATTTAGTAGTTCTTTCTTATAAAACTCCAAGATTATTTTAGCAAGGCTTGTTGTCTGTGGCGTGTTCCTCTTGAGGGTGGCATTCAAGTTCCAGTTCCCGTCGCCTTACTAGTTATATATCCGGAAGGCCTGGCATGCCACTGGGTTTGAGCTTGGGTTCTCGATCTCGCTCCTTCGCAAGGACCCCCTCAAACGTGATTGCTGATGCATCCGCAGTGAAGGATAAGGTGACAAAGTCTAAACGGCAAGTGGAATCGCCCTCGAGCTGCTTGGCAGAAAGAGTATAATAGAGATTATTTAAGCGATTTCCCTTGTCCTCTTAGAATCCATTGGCTAGCATTAGGAGATAGCCCTTATACACAGGTTGTAATGGCATGTCAGGTTCTCTGGGGGATCTCATAGGTGGAAATCAATCTACTGAATTATGGCTTAAATCCCATACAAACTGTGACCAAGAAAGGGGCTGATGCAACGCGATGCTTGTTGCTACGAACTCTTCTGCAGGAGTAGAGAAGGATCATCCAGAGCGACAAGATGTTACGTAGACGGCCAGGAAACATATCGAGAACGACACTCGAAAGCTCAATGTAACCGCTTACTGCACCATAGTCCACGTGTTGATTGCCTTGACCAGGGTGAGAATGCCAAGAATCGTGCTAGACCAGAAGTGAAAGGCGACTTTAGCCACGGAGTTGATCGGGGAGAAGAGATTTGTGTATTTCCGGCCGATCTCATAGTAAATTCGTTGTTTTATACAGACGTCAAGAACGGCAGCTAGTTGAGCGATGCCGGGGAGCCGGGATATGGACTGCGTTACCAGGGTGGGGGACCCTACGTGACTTCAATGATTGCGCCAGCTTGAGCTGAGGACCCCACTGGTTTTCCTTCAGGGTCAATAGATGTTGGCTCCCGCGACGTATTTCACGACGAGTCTGTAGACTTGCTTCCCAATTAAGGAAAAACGGGGTGCTAGCTGAACTTCACACTGGGCTTTATGTTTTCGACGATATTGCTACGGAGGCTTGTCTGCTAGATTGCAAAAGCAGCAAAAGCAGCAAAAGCATCATGTTTCAAGCGGCTTTTTGGGGAAGAATTCTCTCTTAATGCTATATGTTAGTCGAAAATGGATCATAGAAGCCGAGTTCTGGATTGACTTGCGATATTTCCTCAAAATTTGATATAGGAATTACACTATTGAGAAATAACAATTAAACATGTCCATGGCCAGGTCCCTCTCATCGACTCTGCAATTTGTTTCATCTTGCTTTCGTGTAAGCGCCTCAAGCAAAAGCGCAGCCCGTTTTGCATTCCTTGTGGCTCCGTGGCTGATACGAAATGCTGGTAGATTTTCTAGACACTGGGCCTGAGACTTCAGCACCGGTCTCGCCCTTCCCAAGGCCTTCAGTTGTTCAATGGCCCAAGTGCGGTACTCGCCAGTCTTACATTCTGCCCCAAAAAGAAACACTGGCCACATTAGAGCAGGGTGGACTGTCTTCTCCTGAATTTTGTCGTCCGACTCGCCGTAAGAGTTTTTCATGTGTTCCCAAGTCTTTTCCAGTGCGCCTGTTACTGCTTTGGTATGTGGAAGATGCCACCAACAGATGCGGTGGAGATAGACGAATAGGATCCAAAAGCTAGCTAGATATATGTTGGATACCTCTCGTACCCTCATAGCGACGTCGGGAGCCACGGACATGGACAGTTCAGCCGAAGATAAGGATGTGACAGAAGGACACTGCGCCCATAAGTCCCAAAGCCTGCTGTGGATTCGTTTTCCCTCTAGAGAAACCTTCATCTCAGCATCTGGGGTAAACCGATTGCAGTGATGTTTGTCAAGGGAGCTGATCTGGCGGCAATACGCTTGGGTTCTTAAGTACCATTCTGCAGCTGGCTGGAGAATTGATCGTAGTATGATCTCTTTTATATCACAAGGACTCCTCGTAGGGACGATGATGCCACTATCGCCATGTTCAGAGACTTCAGACAGCGGACTTTGAGATAGTAATTGGAAGTCTTCGTCTTCGCCAAGCGAGTCTCTTCTGTACTTAGACTCTTCGTAGTCACAACTGATGATCTGTATAGGATACTGAGAAACAACTTGGAGAGCCGTAGATGATAAAAGAGTTGGGCCGCTCAAGTGAGAAGCTTTGCTATCGAGGGAGTTGAACCATGAGAGAAGTTGTCTCGAGTACCAGTTCCAGTCGTGTGAGCATGTAATAATAGTTTCAGCAAGTTCGGTAGGAAATAGACACCCACTGTCATGTTCGGCACGATCGCGGAGAACATGAGTCCATGCCAACAGAAAGATAGCAGCGAGCCAATCATCCATCTTGGAGCTGATACTGTTGTATTGAACTTGAGAAAGGTCCTGCTGAATTGCGCAGGTTGTTGTTTTGAATGAATCCCATATGTGGTCTTGAATATTATGTCTCCCAGTGATCGAGTCACGGATACTATCCCACTCAAGGAGCTTATCAAGACCTCGTAGTGCACTCATTACAACATCGTTTTGAGATGCCAAGTTCATCAGGTACTGTTGCAGGTGTCGCCACTTCTTGATGCCTCCCATGAGCATGGCCGCAGGTGGTTGCATGATCTTTCCAAAGACTTTTAACGAGTGCTTATCCTCTAGCCCATCGGAAGTTATGAGGCTGTCGAGATGGAACTGCTCGTCTGTCTGTGTCGAGGCTGCGCTGGAAATATGAGGACCGCCAATGGCCGCTCTCCAGAGAGTCGCTGCGTCATTGGAAGTTCCAAGGTCGGAAATCTCAGATATCGTTGGCACCGAAGAACCAGCTATCAGATCTGGATCATCATTTGGCCGACCAATGTTGCACAACAGGGATTTGGAGCTACCGAAAGCCTCAATTTCCCCTTCCCAATTGTTGCAAAGGGTGACGATGTCGGTGGCCATGTTGCTCTCAGACCACGAAAACGAATTGAGGTCATCCACATCTTCGTGCCCTTCCCGTAGGCAGACGAAGGAGCTTTGTCTGTTTGGTAAGGAGGAGCCTGTAATGCATGCTTTAGATGGATTGATGAACGAAGGTCCCGATACATTAGGCGAAGGAAGTAATGTTCGATGTTTTGGTAGTCCGGGAGCTCGTTTTGAGCGATGGGGATAATAACACTGGAGCTGTAACCGATAACAAGGTTGACATGATGGATATGCCTCATCGCATCTCACATGTCTTCTCTTACAAGTAGCGCACCCCAATCGGGACCGAGGCGCAGCTCTACCTCGAGCAGGTCGCTGATGCAACGAGTCCTGAGCCGACGGCGTATTGGATCTCACCATGGTGAGTCAGGAGGGATGCGACCAAAGTTGAAACGAAAGCTATGTCGAGAAGATAGATCAAGGTTCCTGAAGGTGCCAGCTCTAAGTCCTGTGTGGGTACTCATAGCAGTGCAAACGCACGGGCGGCTGTGCGGGTAGGTATGACTACCAGTCTGCCATCTATCTTTCCTCGGGGGATTCTCGGAGTGTGTACCAAGTGAGCAGTGAACTGGCACACGATGAAGCCAGTAACCCCGCACCTCAGCTATGATAACCCATCCTAATCCTGTATCACAGTCTAGAACCTGGATATCGCGGGGTAAACCCCGCAACAGGGATCAACTTGCATGAATCTTCCACCTGCTCACGAATCATCGTTCGGAGATGGCATTCTCAGGGCACTCCCTTATCACTTGACAGCCCGATTTAAGTTTAAACTAGTCATCTAAGGGACATTTGATATGAAGATCCAGTTGTCTCTTATCTCGCCTATTATGTGAACCACATGTGGCCTGACTGTGATGTCATGGTTAATTCGAATACCTTGATCATGATTGGCTGTCTTTCCGACCGTCCCAGCGGTTTCATAGAGCGATGTATAACTGTTTGGACTAAGGATTATTCACTTTGATTTATGTACTGTATCAATCGGCCAACTACATGGAAGAGATTGTTTGAGAAAATGAGAAGAAATAGTATATCTTTCAATATAGCAGAAAGACATTTGCGTAATGGAAATAGCTGTACGGCAAGGTTAATAAAATGGCTATAACTGCTGTTTATAATTATTCTTAATTAATACCTGAAATATATGAAATAAATAAACCCGGTTTGAATATGTCTCAAAGTGGTATATTGGCTTAAACTTGTGAGCGGCTTCGATATTGATTGTACATATGTTTTCCTATTTTAAGCTACTGTCTCGATCAAAAATTGCCCCTTGTATCTCATGCCTTGGCCTCTTCCTTCTGCTTATCCTCTTTATCGTTCATGAGCAGGCCAGGTACATCCTTGAAAACAGCAAAGCTAGAAGGCGTTTCTTCAAGAACTGGGAAATGGAATCCACACTGAGGGCATGTCTCTTTCAACACAGCCTGTTCCTCGGCCAAGTTGTACTTTTTGTCTTCTGCCTTATTGCATACGGGGCAGACCCGGATAAGACGAGTGCCGACAAGCTCAAAATTGGTAATGATATCTTCCATGATTGCACCATTTGCAGCCCATGACTTGCAATACTTATGATAGGTATTTTTATGCCAATCATACAGTGCCCCTCGGCTGGTCCAAAAGCTACACTCATTGTACCAGCTTCGATCATCAGGATGCTCCCACCACGTCAGATGCAAGAAACCAGGAAGCGTCATGAGGTGACGGCGGGTATCAGCGAATAACACCTTGAGTCGATTAGTCTATGTAAACCATAACGTATACAAGATATACCTTGAATTTCTCATAGGCGTCTGGGCTCGAGAAACGAACCCGTTGCATGCTTAGGTAGATAGGCATTTTGTTTTCTGTTTGTTCGAGAATTGGATGGATATGGTAAAGACGAACGTGATCAGATCTGTAATTGTTTGTTGGGATAAAGTCTAGAAAAGACCTGCTATAAATATTACCTTGTTCCATATCGTTCAGACTGGTCTTAAGATCACTTTGACCAACTCCGTAAGCGGAATGGTCTGCGCATATTGGCTGCCTGCCACGCTACTAAGTTCGGGTATTTGTTTTCCACTCGATTCCATTGGCTGCATTCCCGACGGCTTACATGTTCTGCCACAAAGCAATGTAATTTCCATTTTGGGAAAAATAAGGAATGAGGATCTACATGCTCCGGCTGTATTTACCGAAACAAAACATAAATGCCTTATCGCACTGTTTTTGGCTATCGGGGACTGGACAAATAGTATCGAAGCTCTGCTCTCTGTAACAAGCGGACATCCCAATTGTCACCATGTCGTCCCCAACCTTATTGCAGGACTTCGGCAATCGGATCTGAATGGCCGGAAATCCGTCCAATAGAGCCCAAGACACAGCCAGACGATCATTGAATACACCCTCAACAGTTGCAAAGTTGCCGCTTTGATGTTCTGAATAGGATACCTGTCCCAGCTAACACCCTCTCCAGGGCAATGGAAGCATAGCTATAGCCACGATTGAGTACAAATAGGTTCGAGGACGTCCGCTATTCACAATCAATTCTCTCTTAACTATCAATCAATAAATCATAGGACATCAATTCTACAAATCCTGTCAATCTATCTTAGTATCACTATGGCTCAACCATCTACTCACGTTGTCCACGGCGGCAAGCAATCCGACCCCAACAGCACTTGGACAAACTTTGAATGGGAAGAGCCCAAGTTGGGCAAGCAGGTCCATGGCGAGGTAACCATTGCTCGAACCTTTGGTACTTCTGGTGATCTCACCTCTGGATTCTGGAGAACGAGCGCCACGTCCCCAGGTGCCAACAGCGACGGGTCGCACAAACTCACCTATTCCTCTCCCCTGGGCGATGAGACCGCATGCGTTATTGACGGGTCCGCTACTTTGACTGTCGTCTCGACTGGTGCGAAATACAAAGTTGGCCCTGGATCAATCATCAGCTCTCCCAAAGGCCTCGAGGTCTACTGGGAGATTGATGCTCCTTTCTTCAAGAAGTACTGGTGTATCTGGAATGGCACCAGGCCTGCTGACAACCCGCCGACTGATCTTCAAATCAACCACGTCAGTGACAGTCCCGAATGGGTTGACTATAACTTCACCGAGCCCAAGGAAGGGGATCTTGTGGCTGGCGAGTTGTACTTCATCCGTAATGGCGGATCAACTGGAACCATGCTGAGTGGAGTGTGGAGATCCGGAAAAGGTATTGCGGCTTCCGATCTGACTGAAGATGGAACCATGACGACGCCTTATACTGGGGTACTTGGTGACGAAACTATCCTTCTGCTTGAGGGTGAAGTTGAGGTTACTGAAACCGTCAGCGGAAAGAAGCATAGCTTCAGGGCAGGAGATGCAATTGGCCTGGCTTCAGGAATGCATATTACCTGGGTCTCGAAGGGCCCTTTTTCAAAGAAGCTTTGGGTTATTACTAAAGATGTTGTTGAGTAAAGATCAGAATGGATAAGAATCTGGTTAGGCTACAGAGTTTAGCAGGAGATAGCAGTAGTCTAATAGTACTATAGCCTATAATTAATTCTCATGCTGCATTAAAAGAATCCATGTCTTTATCCGGAGCATATTTGAGTTCAAGGTGCGCTATCCTATACCTGCCAGCCCAATGTCCTTTCTGACTTTCTGGGCAAGAAATGAATAGTACGGTTGATACTGCCATCTTCTACCTCAACTCGATATGCCTCGTTCATATTCTCGACGCAGTTAGAAGGCCTCGATGCTTCCAGTAGCTTCATGCCGTCCCTTAATCCAGCAGCTTCCGCGTTGGAGCCAGGAACAACACCTGTGATGACCCGTGTGCTCCGACTGCATTTATCGAAACCAAACTCAAGAATTGGGATCTCAACAGGGATGAAGCATGTCGATGATTCATGGAAAGAGAGCCCGGTAAACTCCATGCGTTGCTTACCATTGAGCATTTCCCAGAAGTAACTGTCCAAAGAGAAGCTGGCGGTATCCAATTTGTTGCGGATTTGGTTGAGCCAGTCGCTAGCCTGTACAATTTCGCCGGATCTCCAACGATGGGAAAGGTCCACAACGATCTGATCCAGGCCTCCGTTGCATGATAAGTCCCATTGACCATCTTGCTTTCGCATACAACAGTCGATGAATAGCAGATAAATGCAACCTCTCTTATACGGGATCCATTCAGCATACCAATCAGAAAACATCTCTCGACCTGCTTCTCGAATATCCATGCTGATTCGTGGAGAAGAGAAGTACCCCTGGAGATGACGATTAATGCTCTCAATCAGAAAGGCTTTGCCTCTAAATCCAAAACGGTATGGTAGGTAGGCTGAGTAAAGCTCTGCGATTCCTGGACCAATATTAGCTTGATATAGATACACTACAAGGTTGAGAAACACTACCTTCTCTGAACCAGTCATTATCATAGCCATCCTCTTCGTGGCTTAGGTCAGAAAAGCTGTGCACCATTTCATGTGTAAATAGCAGCAAAAGCGAGTCGTCAGTCTCGTCGGCTACCCGCTCATCGTACTCTAGCACGTAGCTTCCTATGAACCCAGAGCCTCCAAATCCGGCTTTCGTCTTTCGGATAAAAACACGATAGGACTCCCCTGAAACGCCGAAGTGCTCTGCCATCTTCGGGTAAAGACTTGTATTGTATGCCTTGAGCCGGTCGAGATTGGGAAGTAGGCTGCCGAACCAGTAACAAGCAGCAAGAATGTCACTTTTTGGGGCGGCTGAGTCTGGATAGGAGCAAACAGGACCTATCATGTAGACGGTTTTCCACAAAGTATCAACACGACCAACCACAACGACGGGCTCAGGGCCTTCTCCGAGGCTCCAGATACATCTTGTTGACTGTGGTGCCTCCTCTGGCAAAATCCATTCGACCGTGTTTTTATGAACACGGTCAGATATGAGAAGGGGGAGAAACCAGCGGCCAACGCCCTGCAGGCCACCTTGATCCCTGCGAAGGTCCACACGGGCCCCCAACGGAGTCTTCTCTGAGACTTTGCGGGGAAAGGCATCAAATCTCAGAGAAACATGACCCTTGACTTGTCGAGTAGGGCACCATTTCTGCTGCGTGTTACGGTCCAGACTTGGAATGTCGCGGAAGACGAGCGGCAGTGGTCCGTTATCATCTGAAGCGTGGATGTCGCTCTCGCAGTACGGATGCCCAGGGACGTTATCCATGAAGGTGTCAAACAAAAACATAGGCTGGCCATTTCGAACAGAGGGATTTTCTATCTTGAGATGTACAGAGAGTGCGCTGACGCCGTCTTTGTCAAAATAGGGAGCCAGGCAAAGATAGATTGAGGGATCTTCAGAGTTTGCCATCTTGTGAGGATGTGAGAATGAACATAAATACGAGGCAATGGAGTTGGGTAGCTCGCTATTTATAATTCAAGACAAGAGCTGCATGTTCATGGGCATAGGCTCCAGCAGCTGCAAAGATCGGTTGATAACATTTGGGCCTAGTTATTACTGAAGTCAGTTACTGCTCCGTGGATTCGTCACGACACTAATAGACTATACCCAAAGAAGTGCGCGAGAACGAGCAAGCAGACTAAGAAACCCCACATCGCTCAACTTTGCACTAATCAAAAGCACGTAGGCCACGTCTCCGTTATTTCTACAGATGTCTAATGCTGTTACTTGACTTCCTCTTCTCAATTACCATCGCGGCAAATGCGCACCCGGCCGAGTGTAAAATTGTTTTCTGATCAGTGCCATGTACCGCCCAGCCCCCCCTCGACCCAAGAAAACTAGAATATGCCGTTCACGCGATGGCTGCTATACTTGTCGCCGTAAACACCGCAAGGTACGTAATACCGCACTTTCGCTCCCATCTAATGCACTTGGCAGTTGGCACTCTGCCAAGCCCACTACATGAGCGTCGTGGAGTTGAACTGATGGATCTTTCTCGGTTGTAGTGTGATCTGACCAAGCCGTCGTGCTCCAACTGCACACGTAATGGCTTAGATTGTGAGGGCTATGACTTGCGGCTTACATGGCTGCCTGCCTCACTCGGCACTGGGCATAATCCACAACGCCCAAAAAGCAAAACTTCGGCGGAGAAAATCATATCACCTCCCTCTATATCCCCTAATACCGCCACATCCGTTTCTTACCTTAACGAGCCGGATCGTTGGCTGGATGTTCCAATTGATGATGCCACGACTGTAGATGATGCTCAATTACAGCAACTTCTCACGCACGCTGTTAATAATCCACAGTTTTCGAGAGGGTTCTTACTGCTTGACCACGAAGCATATCTACTAAGCCATTTCAATCGGTGTGTGCATGGACAGTTGATGCACCTCATGGGTGACTGGCTGACTGAACTGTTGTATCACCCCTATCTCCAACCTGCATTGATCGCCATCTCAGCTTCCAATCTATTCCAAGAGTATATCTTTCGCCGAGATCCTTCTTTAGCATCCTACCACATTAAGGAGAGAAAAATTGATGCGTTGACACAGTCATGTTATCGTCTAGCCATCAATTACTACAACGATGCCATCAGAACCATTAGCGGCACAACCTCCAATGGCAACAAATCCCCGCAGCTGAACCTTGCATCAACTCTTTTACTAGTTCTTTTCGAATGGCAATCTGGCAGTGTCCACGGGAGCTTCGTCCATATGGATGGTGCCGATGCCATCGTTAAATCTTCTCTGAAACAACTCTCCCAAACATCAACAGGGCCTCTTCTTCTTAAGAGTTGGGCCGATATGCGGGCACGCAAAAACAGACAGAAACTTCCATTCAGACCACTAGAGATCGAATTTAGTAGGGCTTCCGATCCTCGACACAGAGTCTTGATGTCTCATGCGCTGCAATTTTCCTCGGTCATCGCACCTGCCCTTACAAATGCCATTTCGATGAGGGATCGACTTGTCTTGCAAGTGTGCGCGGCTTGTGAAGGTATAGATGAGAGTCTTGTACTAAGCCATTTCCGACAATGGTACTCGCATGCCTTTGACTTCAAATACTCAGAGGAGCTCTCTTCTGAGGCTGGATGTGCTGTCACCATGAAAGAGTTGATGAGCGGCCTTGATGCCACTAGACAGGCACTGCGGGAATGGCATAGCAGCCTTGACGAATCACGGCTCCCTGTTTCCCAGGCATCTCTACATCCCGCACTTGATCAAAGCTTCGAGGACCGACTGGTCTTGGTCGAAGATATCACACCACTACAGTTTCAGACTCCTGAAGCCGCGTTCGATTATTTGCGTTATGCTGTCAGCTTAGTCATTACATCGCCGCAAGTCCTGGATAGATACGTTTTCGCAACGCGGCTAAGAGCGCCTAAAACATATGTTCCCGCCGTTGTTGCTCACCTACTTTCGGTCATTGAAGGACTCGACCCAGCACAGCTTTTCCGCTACGACGTGTATGATAGTGGGCCTCTCTGGGTCCTGGTCACTCTGGCGCTGTGCGTGCCGGAATCTCACATTGTGTCGTGGATACTTGAGACTATCATGCCAAGATATGAGAAGTATGCGCATCGTGGCTCGATACTTATAACTTTCATAAATGTGAAAGATATGCTGTTGTGTATACAGTCGCAATTGCAAAAGGGTACATTACCACTACTATGCTCCTCAAGTTCTGTAATCACAGAAGATCTTATTTCTAGCCCAGTAGCACGATTTGGGCAGAAGTTTGCTATTATAGGCCGGGACACCTCGGGGTCTTTTAATTACACAATTGTTTCAGCTTAATATCAGACTCTGCTCATAGTTGCAGCGTATTAGAGCTGACATATACATAGAACTCAATACTAAGCTATCTCTTACTATCTACTAAGGGATTTTGGAAAAGTAAAAGCACATTTGAAGGAACTTGTGGCTAATAAAAAGGCGATATGAGTTTTATATATATCCCCCATATACCTTCCTGCGCAGCTCCAATATGTATACTATGTTAGCAACTCTAGACTACGAGCTTCAACTTCAGCTTATCCTCTTTCACAATGTCATCTTTCTTGGTAACAAGCTCCTCCATGTCCCATGGACAGCTTATATATCGCCCGCCAAGCCACTCCCTGCGTTCAGAAGCCAGCCAAGCAATAGTATCACCAGCTATATCTGGTCGATGAGGAAGTGCATTCCTGACAGCTTCCGGTGCTCCTTCCGTGATCTTTGTTTTAATCGCTCCGGGGTTCACACAGAAAGCCAAGAGTCCTTGGTCCCTGTACTCGACTTGCAGCGACTCTGTCCATCGTAGCACTGCAAGTTTGGAGCTTCGATAACTCCCACTACCGGGACGAACGCTCAGAGATCCTGACGACGATACGTTAATCATAATGCAAGAGCCACTAGACTTTGAGTGGCTCGATAACTGTACTGGGAGGAATGTTCGGGCCATGTTGAAGAGGCCTTGGATGTTGACTTGCCATGTCCTCCAATAAACATCTGGATCAGACTCGAGGAACGGCTTGTATGGTTCCATATGTGCTGCATTATTGATAAGAATGTCTAATCTTCCGTTGAATTCCTCGACCAGCGAGTCGTACATTGCTTTGACACTCTCTTGGCTTGCAATGTCAACTTTGTAGCCCAGCACCAGAGGCTCGTCGCGATTAGCTTCCGTTGCGGCTAATTTCAATTTCGTGATGACGTCATCAGATATGCCTTGGAGATCGCAACATGCTATGGATGACGCTCCAGCACGTGCAAAGGCCGTAGCAGTAGCGAATCCCACGCCATCCTCATGTGCTGTGCCCGTGATGAGGACGTGCTTGCCGGTCAAGTCCAATTTAAGAGGCGAAATGTATTCATAAGATGCTGAGTGGTGGGTGAGAATAAAGTCAGCACCGACGGGAAGCTTCTTTACGGTCGACATGATAAACTGGGTGTTTGGAGTTATTGATCCAAAGATGAATGCTACTGGGGATAGGTAACTAGGAAGGCGCGGTATTTATAACTTCACATGTCTACAGATAAAGTGGAGGTCGGATGATGTAGGGTAATTTATCTCTCGGGCTTTGATAACCCGATGTTCAACACTGAATAGGATCATAGACCCCACAAAGCCAGAACAAGAAGGATGGCGAGCAAATTGTTAGAGGATGAGTAAATATATTAATTCTTATAGGGACTTAATCTTGAAAGGTAAGATTGACCAGTAATGTGCATCATTTAATGGCCCAAAGCCACAAAGAAGTTTAACTCTAACCTCCATAACAAGTGTTCTTCTTGATAGCACATACCATTGTCAGCAACAGCTAATCAATATATAGGGACCCGAGTCCTGCTTTTAGTTATCAATACTATACCATATTACCAAGAATATTATACCTAGCCATTTCGTCACATATCATTTCATTTATGTACGTCGGGCAAGGGTACTTCAGGCTACTTCACCGGTGGCCTTGACCTTCGGAGATCAAAACCCCACTATTGATTATTAATCTGCATTTGCCCCCAAAGTTTGGAATAGGATCGTGGAGACTGGGTCAACAGGGGACAGGAAATGTATTTACCCGTATACAAGTATGGCTCGTTATGGATAATAGTGTGATTTTATACTTGCCTTCATACATGCATGCATTCTTCGGATGCATGACGGTTTTAGGCTTAGCGGATTGTGATGTAAGTTTTCTAGGATTTCGCAGATCATGAGTGGCCTGAAGCTTATTTTCTTCCAAACGTAACGTCCCATCGCTCCCAAGCAGAGATCCATATTGAGACTCGTTTTGGCAGAGAGTAGTTGCTCCTCACATGCTTCTCTTTTTTTTTTTTTTTTTTTTTTTTTTTTTTTTTTTTTTTTTTTTTAAAGTGCACCAGCTTTTATATATAATCCGACAGAACCGCTGGATCCGGCGAGATATTTTCTCTCGTCTGCCGTTAATATACTGATATTCGGCTTCTCTCGAGGTCTCTGGATTACTCCTCTTGCGTAGGATTCGCCACAATAGTTCCAAGCCAATATTCATTCTGATCAGGATGATCCGTCCACTCATGATCTTCTTCTTCCACATACAACCTCACAATCCTTCCATCAGGGTCCTCACAAGCCATGACCCAGCCCTTTATCCCTATGAAGATCTTACTCCTCTTCACCCCATGCGTATCCAACCACGTCCCCCACTCTTCCAGGTCTGCGCGAGTGCCCACGCCCCAGGTAATAGGGTCCCAACCCTTCTGCGTGACAGCTTGCTTGGGCACATGGCGTAGCTCGATGATGAGCTTGGTGGGTTCGTGCGTGAGCATGATGGCAAAGAGCTTGTGGTCTGGGGTGTAATGGTTGTATTTCATGATGCGTGTCATAGGAAAGATAGTTTCATAAAACTTTCCAGTTTCCAGAATGTCACTGCAGGGCAGCTTGAGATGATTGATGCCACTAAAAGATTGTGGCCTTTTTGGCTGTAGTTGCGCCATAGTGAGAGCTAAAGATAATGTTGAATGCTGTTTGTTCACGATGGATGAGTTGAATCTACCGCTTCATCCATTGCTCTTATATGATTCCCAAGCCGATACTTCCGAACTATGTTCAGATCGGCACGGGTAACATGATTGCCGCTCGCGTCGATCAATAAGGCCGAACCCGACATACCGAGCTTTTGTTTAAGTGCGCTGACAATGACATCAGAAAGCGTCTTATTAAGTTTAAGTTATGTGTGCTAATTCGAGGTCCTGGCCACTGGCCTTATCACAAATATTACATCACTCTTAATTTTGACATTATACTAGCGTTTTATTATTCTTGCTCATTTTAAGATTGATCTATGGACATACTATGTAGATAAAAAAAATTAGAAATTCTGTTTATAGACTAAAAACAGCATTTGAATAGATATCTAGCAAACGAGGGCAATCCCATCCGCGATGATTCAGTAAACCTCAACCTCCAGGGGTTCCATATCACCGATCTGCGCTTTGATGAAATCTCCCTTCACAAGCCATCTATTTCCATGAGTGCCAGCAGATCCAGAAGGCGTTCCAGTCATGATCATATCTCCAGGGTCCAGAGGTAGTATCTGGCTCATCTCAGCAATACACTCTGCTGGGCTCCGAATCATTTCACTGGTTGACCCATCCATCATCAAATCACCGTTAAGCCACAGTTTGACTGGCACATTATCCAAGTTTCCAATACACTCTCTAGGCCAAAATATGGGCCCGCACGGTTTCATTCCTGGCTGCGCTTTGCCGCGTACGATGTCCACCAAGCCTTGGGGGCCTGTCTGGAAGAGATCGCGACAGCTGAGATCAAGGCCAATAGTATATCCAGCGATAGCTTCTGCAGCCTGCTCTTGAGTCGCGTTTCTGAGCCCTTTTCCCATCACAACTGTCAACTCGCACTCCCAGTCAAACTGCTTGGTTGTCGGTGGAAGAGGGACTGTTTTTCCCGGTCCCACGATCGAGCTGGTAGGCGGACAACTGAAGAACGGCATAGGATCCCATTTCTCCGCAGAGAGACCCATCTCTTTCAGATGACCTGAGTAATTAGCCCCAACTGCAAGAAGCTTGTTGGGGTAGCGGATTGGCGTATGAAAATTTGCGTCTTTGAGCTGAATTCGGTGTGTTCCGACTTGCGCATCTCCGTTGACTACACGTGATGCAGACTGTTGCAGCGAAGAGTACGCCGAAGGCCAATCCTGGAGCAGGCCAAAGACGGTGCGACCGTGGAAAGACTCATCAAGGGATGACAGTGGGTACACCCATTGCTTGATAAGAATTGCAGCTTCGAGGTTTTCATCTGCGTTGCGAATAGTAGCGAGTCCAAATGATACTCCGTTAGAGGACATTTCAGGTAGGTATGGAAGCAGCTTGCTCTATCGGTAGGTGAATGATGTATTGACTTAAGTTGATTTGGCACTGCGGCGGAACATGCTGATGGCTAGACCTTCATGTGAGTGCCACCTACCTGGGTAGTCACAAGCATCGATAGCTGGGGCTCATTTGCTTGACGTCATAATAAAGCATTGTATCTGTCTACTATTAATTCGATCCTAGGTCTTACAGTCTCGTGTTAGAGCCTGAGCGGGAACACCGGAGTCGGTATCGTCGGCATGCCAGCAATGTGCCGTCGGTTGTATTACCAAGATGTTGGTAGGAGCGAGAGGCTAGAAAGGTGATCGACAATCACTTTTGTCGATCACTTTTACGCATGCATGACCTCTTTAGGTCTAGGTCTCACATCGGATGCATGGCCCTTTTAGGCTTACTGGAGACACAGTGAGGCACTAACCTCTACGGTACTAGGTTATGACCTTTGACCCATGTTGAACACGATTAACATCCATCAAGTCATATAAAGCATCGACAGGAATTGAGTTGGAACTAGGTATCAATCTACACATCTCTCTTTCATCACGCCGGCAAATTCTCCAAAATGACTAGCACCGTTGATTTCGACAATCCAGGCAAGACTGTCCTGAAGCCAGTAAAATTAGCACACGTTGTACTCCGTACCAACAACTTCCTCCGTCTCTCGTCCTACTATCAGACCTTTCTCCAAGCCCAAATCAATTTTGAAAATGATTTCATGCATCTCCTTACCTACGATGATGAACATCATCGCATTGGTATAGTTAACATGGACATCGCCAACAAAGACCCAAAGACATGCGGTCTTGAGCACATCGCCTTCTCCTACTCATCCCTCACCGACCTCGCCATATCCTATCTTCAGCGGAAAGAAAATGGTATTGAGCCATTTTGGTGCATCAATCATGGCCCTACTACCAGTCTGTACTATCATGATCCTGATGGGAGTACGCTTGAGTTGCAGGTTGAGAATTTTGATACGTTGGAGGAGGCGGCGGAGTATATGAAGTCAGAGGCCTATTTGACGAATCCGCTGGGTGTAGATTTTGATATGATGGATTTGATCAAGAGGATTAGAAGCGGAGAGAGTGAGAAGAGTCTGAAAGCGAGGCCGGCGAGCGGGCCACGAAGCTTAGATACTGTCCCAGTCTAGGTAACGGGTCTGTTGATTTATTGACATGCCAAAGCAATTTGTTGTCGAATCCAATTCTCAAGTCTGTACGTGAACTCTTTGTGTTGAGCTGATACTAGCTTCTCCTGCTGAAGAGCCCAGCATATTCCACGAGTATAGCAGAGAGTGATCCTTTCCTGAGTGAGACAGAGTGAGCCACAATCATCAAGCTGGATCGAGGCCAATAGCGGGGTGCTCGACTCAACAAGAATATCTGCTAAACTTGAAATTGCCGTTCGATGTATCTCAATCTCCTGTTCGAAGTCGAGTTGATCGAGAGACATGTTTTTCATCGCAAAAAGAGCCTGAATAAGTGCCGACCGCAAGGCTAGTTGTCCATGGTAGAAAAAGGACATTTGGTGCGCAATGATTGAGTCCTCGTAAACCAAGATGTAATCTGTGAAAGGAAGAGAACGTGCTATCAACGCCTGCAGAACCTCGCTACTATCAGCAAGGCGGATACGTTTCGGCACCCATGATTCAGGTAGGCAAGTCTTCCACTGCTCATACTCATCCAAATTCATCTTGATTTGGGAAATCAAATGTGACAACTCTTCCCAATGAAAAGAACCGAAATCTCGAGATAGGGCGAGAGCTTGTTGAGCTCCAAGTTGCATCTTGCTGAGACTATATGTTGGCGTGGACAGATCCAGTATATCGATACAGGCCAGTTGCACTGGTAGAGGTCCGAGTCCGAGGCCGAGTTGTCTGACTTGCAAGCGATGATTTGCCATTCGATAGAGGGCGAGGCCAACGTCGGATTGAATCTGATTAGCTCCTCTTACCGCAAGCAAATACTCGATCGCATTGTTATGAAGTTTGAGGGGCTCTTCTCTAACCATAAAAACAACCTAGAGTTGGTCGTCAGTCTTCCAATGCACCGCTCTGTTCAGTTCTCAGCGTATTTACCTCAAACATATCGATAGTCATGATCGCCATCAACGTAGCATCATCGGCGACGAGGGTATGGTGCATGATCGCCTTTCTAATAGACGCCAGCGCAGCACCGTATCTCGACAATGCCATCTGCTTTAGGTTTCCGTGACATGTCATGGAATTCCCTGCATTGGCTAACGCAAAAGCCTCAACTGCAAGGTTTAGCGCAGAGACTGGAGCAGCCTTGGCTTTCATCTCGGGAAGCAAATCTAGATACCCAGGATTCTTCAGCTTGGTACAAGGTCTCGAGACCCATTCCGCGTAGAATATATCCATTATCCTATCCTCGAGCCTGAATAGGACAGGGCTGGGAATGCCCAGCCAAGCTTTTGGGTTAGCTGCATTCCGTGCTTTAGCAAGAAAGCAAAGAGGCTCACAACTTTGCACGGCGTCAACATCCAAGGCACGTAAATCATCGTCTTTGGTAGCACCATGAAGACAAAGCGGATTGGCTGCACGTTTCATACCACGACGTGCTCGCTCAGAATTGAGTTTGGCCGTTGCATTTTGATCACGAAACATGTAGTCAGAATCCGACGCATGACCGCCACAAGCGATTTCACGCCTCGAGCAGAGGCCACATGTCGGTCTCTTAAGGTCGCACTATGATGATCGTCAGTCAGGATGGTTCAATGCAGGCCCAGCGGCTCTCACCTTTGTCTTGGCGGTTCTGCAAGGTAAACAAGCGCGGGAAGTAACCATCATGCAGCTTCACATGCGGAGTAATCCGAGCCAATATTTCCAGTCAAGTCTTAGTAACTTATCTAGGTGGGAGACGTTATTGCAAAAACTTGCAATAGTGGGAAAGGTCACAAGTTTCTCTGCTGAAGAGTCCATCGGCATTCGCGGTACTGAGTCTCCCCGCTCCAAATGTCAGCCTTACGCCTCTAGTCTACGCCTCTAGTCTACGCCTTGATGTCATAACCGCGCGCGTAAGCATCTAAATTTGAGGCGACTACAGCTAGGCATCTTAGATTCACAGTGAGTAAAGCTTTATACAAAGAGTAACTATATATAAAACAAAATAAATAGTTAACATATAATACTATAATAGATCTCTTTATAAGTATTATAATAAATATACTTAATAAATGTATTATTATATCGTTCCTGATTAAAAGTGTATTATATTACATTTTACAAGTAGTGTAGATGCCAAAACCATTGCAGAATCTCCTAAGCAAATGCATCTGATCTAAGATCCAAGCTCATATTGGCACTTGCTGTAGCCTAGCACTACCGGAAGTGTTACTGGTCGTAGCTCTTTGCCTTTGTTTTGAGGCTGAAGTTTCTTTTGACCCCTCTCGTATCACCGTGTCACAACCGTTGGCACCACCATCGGACAGCGAAACCGAGGTGGCGCACTTGTAGTCTATGATTCATTCATGAAACAATGTCACCTGCCACGAAATCGGGTATTGAACCCGATAACGCCCTGCTGCTGCGGGCTTGTGATACAATTACGATAAGAAGACGTTCGATGCCTAGACTCAAATCCCATCCATCCCTTAAGTTCGATATGCGTAGGCACGTCCGATCGCCCTATACAAAGCTTCTTTATCCATAAAAACAACCCAAAAAGTGATGAGCGATCCAACCTCGAGCCCAGGATGAAGGAGAAGGAGGAGCCAGTCAAACCTAGCTCACTTTGTGCTTTGCCTAAGATCTATCGCCATATTGATCCAACCAAGCCGCGAACCGATACGCTGAAACCTGATGGCTCTGAGAACAACAACGACCGAGTAGACATTGGACCGACTCCGTTGGCTTTCAGTGAGTGGGAACAGCTGGGTCTGGAATTGCCCCATCTACCAAGAATGCGTGCCTATCGGTTGCAGCGCATTCGCGAGCAATTGATTGCCCGCGAATTGGGTGGCATCCTCCTTTTCGATCCGCTGAACATTCGTTATGCCACCGACACTACAAACATGCAGCTGTGGACCGCACATAACCCTGCCCGGGCCTGTTTTGTTGCGGCGAGCGGTTATCTGGTGCTATGGGATTTTCATGGCTGCGAGCATCTCTCTTCGCATCTGCCTTTGATCAATGAAGTACGCGCTGGTGCTTCATTCTTCTACTTCGAAACCGGTCCCCGTACCAATGAACACGCTCAGATTTTCGGTGCACAAGTCGATGAACTACTCCGAAATCATGCTGGAGACAACCGCCGGCTAGCTGTGGACCGTATCGAAGCTGCGGGACTACGTGCCCTCGAAGCCAAGGGGATAGAAGTTTGTGACGGGCAGGCTGTTACTGAGCACGCGCGGATGATCAAGGGCCCTGACGAGATCCGGGCTATGCGGTGTGCCATTGCCTCCTGTGAAGCCGCCCTCGGCGAAGTGCGTCAGGCAATACAAGCTGGCGTTACCGAGAACGACGTCTGGGCCGCTCTACATGCTGGAAATATCCGTCGTGGCGGTGAATGGATCGAAACTCGTCTTCTTAGTTCAGGACCTCGCACCAATCCCTGGTATCAAGAATGCGGCCCGCGGGTCCTTCACGATGGAGACTTGGTGGCTCTCGACACTGACCTTGTTGGCGTTTACGGTATGTGCGTGGATGTGTCGCGTACCTGGATATGCGGCGACGTGGAGCCTGCAGCAGAACAGAAACGTCTTTATCGCATCGCACTTGAACACATCAAAACCAATGCCGAGATGGTCAAGCCCGGAGTGAAATTCTAGGAACTGACACAGAATGGACATCGTCTGCCTGAAAGCTGCCGCGCCCAGCGCTATGGCGTCATGTTTCACGGTGTAGGGCTCTGCGATGAGTATCCATGCATTCGTTACCCTGAGGACTTTGACTCATATGGTTATGAAGGAGAACTTCAAGAGGGCATGGTGCTGTGCGTAGAGGCTTATGTTGGTGAAGTCGGCGGCAAGGACGGAGTAAAGTTGGAGAACCAGCTGCTTGTGACCGGTACGGGCTATGAACTACTGACTCATTACCCATTTGAAGAAAGTTTCCTGCGCGACTAATCCTAAGTGGCTAATATTATTCTATTAGTATAACTCTTATATATATTATTAATACTTTATTTATATTAATTATTCTTTTTACTACTGACTCTATATCGGTTAGGATAATTATTCCAAGTCTAAAGTTAGTTGTAATATATCTAGAGTCTAACTCGCTAAAAGTTTTAAGATAGTCCCCTGCTGCGGCAGCGTTCTGCGGCAACGTACCGCGGCAGCGTACTAATGTCGGCTGTCACCCTTTTCGTATTAAATACTGCTTTGGATTGACATGTAAACCTCAAGACAATTAAATAGATCCTGTAATTATTAGCCTCACAGTCCATGTCTCAATCACCCTTACCCTCATCTACAGATATGCCTGTTGGGCAGTTTATGGCTAATGGCCTAGGCACTGATCAACCCTTGACGCCAGATGATCCTACAATTGGCTACAAGTTGTTCCACGTCATGTTACGCATCCGAGATCCAGTGAAATCCCTACACTTCTATATCGACCTGATGGGGATGCGAACTGTTTTCACCATGAATACTGGCCCCTTTACAATTTATTATCTTGGTTACCCTCAAACAGAAGAGCATCGTGCAGATCCGGCCAAATTTGGCCGTGATACTCTATCTCAGCTAGCCTATACCCCAGGACTTATTGAACTATACCACGTGCACGGGTCAGAGAATGAGCCCGAGGGTTACTACAGTACTGGAAATGAACCGCCTAATCTGGGCCTCGGACATATCGGGTTCTCCGTGCCTGATGTTCCTCGCGCTATTGAACGCTTGAGAAATCACGGTGTCGCGGTACTCAAAGATTTAGGCGCTGCCACGCGACAAGATGTTCCACTAAGCCAATGGGAGGCGAAAAAGAAAATCGGACTGGGCGATCTTCATCCTGCTTACCAGCTTGTATTTGAACAGATTGCATTCGTGAAAGATCCAGTAGGTGACAAATTCTGCCACAAGGCAGGCCAGTACGGTTCAAAGTTCAATAGCTAACGATTATGCCTAGGATGGATATACTGTCGAGTTAGTTCCTCAGAAGCTTCAAGCGCAATGACCCGATATGATGACGGGTCTCACGCTCCCTTACCAGGCAGCAAGGTAGAGAGTTATTCATTCATAGTTCACTCATGCCTAGAAAGTAGCAAGTTCAAAGGCTTTTTAAGCAATAAATAAATAACTGTCTTGTGATAGGATCTGTTTGTGAATTTCACTTTAAATAGGACGGAACTTAAGTTCAACCCATCGCAGCGGAACATAGAGAAGGGCTGCAAGAACCAGCTCAACCTCAAACCCAATGTCACCGGTTGTCATAGCAATAGGACCAGTATACCATTCTTGCGACATGCAAGGAACTGTCAAGCCAAACGCGATTCCCATAGCACCAATTGCCGCAAGTCCTGTTGGCAACTTAGTAGGCTGGTCCCAGTGATCTGGGTTGTACCTCGAGAAATCAGCCCCTCGGAAGACAAAATGCTCGGTAGCAATGACAGCCACATAGCCAGCAGCCCAGTAGGAAATGAGATACATCAGGTTCTCTAGGCTGTCGAAGAACGACTTGGCGGCTTGTATAGATACCGGGATGGCCACAACAGTGTAGACAATGGTGAAAAAGCTGCGCGGTACCTTGAGCATGAAGGGGGCCAGCAGCTGGAAGTTGAGTGAGATACAGTATATGGATGCTGCGAGGTTTCCAATCACAGACAGCGACAGCAGCACGGCGACAAATCGGCCAAAACCTCCAGCGGGGAGAAGCATCGCCTGCATGACACCACCCACGGTGAATCGATCGTAGCCGTCTTTCCAGGACACAACGTTAGGTGTTGCTCCGCCTATGGCAGCTCCCAAGACCATAAGCGTAACGACAGGGAAGAATATCCCGGCATATGTGTAGGCAAAAATACGCCACGTAGAGACTCTGGGATGGCAGTAAACGGAGAAGTCGGCAGCCAAGGCCTGTTATCAAGAGTCAGTTATGCTCATTGTCACACAGGCAGTGGAGAGTTTGTTTGTGAATAGCTTACAGAGAAGGGAATAATAAAGCCTGCGATAACACCGCCGTAGCTAACAATCGTAGATGCTGATGCAGCTGGCTGTTCGACTTGATTGCTTAGGTGCTTTCCACCAACACCTGTGGCGATGATAATAGCTACCAAATTGAATATCCACGAGTAGCGTTCATACTGATGGAGGAACTTGTATCCAATAAAAGATACCACCATTGCAATAATCGAGATGATGACAATTCCAACAGTGCTGCTGATGGAGCCACTTGAGACGGCAGCAAGAGTTGAGCCGCCTGTGACAGAGCAAATTATGCCAAAACCGGCATTTGTACACAGATTGAGGATGACCATGATGACGATCAAATAGTATCTATAGTAGTAGGTGTGAGAAGATAGACCTTGGCCGTTGGGTTGAATTCTTTACCTACCCAAAGGTGAAGCGCGAAATAAGCATCTGTCGCAGACCAGTCTGAGAGCCGAACGTGCTGCAGTACGCCGGGAATGCGCAACAGAGCATACTGAAGAATAAGATGAGAAGTGAGCAGTCTTTTAGTGACAGACCGAAGCCCAAAGTTCCAAGCATGCCTGTGACAATACTGTGATAAACGCTGTGATTAGCAGTTGTATGTTAAGAGACGTATTCCTCAGACTCACGGCAGGATGTTGACGTTCATGGTGAACCACAGGAAAAATATGTTGATGAAGCGAGTATCAGTTCTTTCTTCCAGGGGCACTGGTTGCATTCCTCGCGTTTCTAATCCCCATCTCTTTAGTCGATCGAGCCATATGGTTGGACGACTTAGGGCCTGGGACTCTGCCTCGGACACGTCTACTGGCGGATCCGCCGCGGCGATATTCGTCTTTTCTGACTTGTCCATTTTTGTGCCCGTCACTAGACGTGATGGATGTTAACAGGGCGACAGGGCTCAAGTATAGAGGGTTGAGCTGGAATGGAAGGTCAATTTTGAAACCTGCCAGACCACTGGGTTTTAGGATTCGGGAGAATCGGTCAGGATATAGCAGATGCACCTTAGATTCCAAGCTGAGAAATATATGTATGTCGGCAATTTGCGGTGGCAAGGGAGTTACGTGCTCGGAGTGGGCCGGTCACCGATTTGATAAGGTCCACGGAGAACGGAGCACAAGTCTCAATGTCTGCCGTCGTAGCCGTTAGCGCAACGTTGTTCCACCACAATCAACACATCAACGAGTCAGAAAGGTGCGATAACAAAAGATACCGATACAGGTGCCGAATATCCATTTAATTATTGGGTTTGCGATAAGTGTGTAGCATACGTAACAGCCATGATCCAATAAGTTTAACCCGTCAACCTTATCAGGCTTATCAGATTTCTCCTTGATACTCATGTCAAGGATGAGGAATAAGTTCCGTGTTAGCTGTAGATGGCCCAGCCAGGGCTGTATGTCACAGCTAATTCTTGCAGTTCTATAATGCGTCGACGGATAGACTTTATCGCCCAGCTTTGCGGCAATCCTTTCACAACAAAGTAAAAAGACGTTGTATAGCCAATCGGAGTCTCATAGATGGGACTTAAGAAACCCTCCAATAAGGATGATTTATTAATTATAATACGAACTAAAATGAGAAACTATTCCCCAGAAACACACTTCCCGAGACTTATATCATTTGGACGATTCCTCAACGTACTTCATAGCAGAAGAGAGTGTTGGCTTTTTAAGGCTGACAATGGGAGCAAGGGTTGCAACTGTAACATGAGGCCACTTGAGTCCATTGAAATCAAGCATCACCATTTGAGAGTACTGAATCTGGTCATACGCGACAATCACAGACTTCTTGGATGATGGAATCTCAACGTCTTCGTCGATGAAGAACTCCGGCACAGCGTCTCTGGGGCCTTGAGAAGCAGGAGAAACCGTTTGGCCAACTCGCATGGAAGGATCAAGCTCAACCTCAGCACGGATCTTGGAGACCCAGTACTGGGCCGACACGTCGACAGCGTTGGCATTGCCACTCTTCTTCTCACGCGACGCGTCTGCCTTTTTGCCCTCATCAGAGCCGATGTTGAACCCAATGTTTGATGTGCCACCGCCAAAGGCACCGGGAGGAGCATTGGTCGAAACGATAAACATGGTGTTCTGGATGATATCCTTGCCCTCGTTGGCCTGTCTCAGGATAGTGTTCGGATCATCGATGATCTGCTGGGTGATAGTCCCATTGGCAATGAACTTGCGCAGATCTTGGGGAAGGCGACGAGTAGTGTCTTTGTCGGCGTCCTGGTTCTCGAATCGCTTCTTTTCCAGCTCATTAATGGCCTTCTGGGGCTTGATGGGAGGGATGCTAAGTTGCGGGATCACAAGTGGAGTGATATCAGTGGGATCAATATCAGGGGCGCCTTTGGAAGTACGCGCAGCTTGAAATCCTTGAGCGTTGATGGTTGTTCCGTGGGGAATAGAACCCATGCGGCAAAAAGAGGCTGCAAGTTCCGGCATGTCCTCTACCTGGGGTACGCGCATCCACAGTCCAGGCTCGAAGTGAATGACAGGTGGGGGGTCGGGGAATGTCCCATCTTCGTTGGGCATTGCATCGACAATGGACTGCGTGTATGGTCGACCAATGAGGTCAATGTCGGCCTGATCGAACAGACCGCGATTGGGCACGTGCTCCAGTAAAACCTCACTGAACACTTGAGTTTCACCAGTCAAGTTGAGTTGCAGTAGATTGCTGGCGCTTTTATCGGTTGGGGGCTTGGGAAATTTCGTAATAGTCTTTGGATTTCGGCTCAAAGGCCTGAAGATAGTGTTGAAGCCAAAGCCCTTAAATGTGCCTTTGAACTTGTCCAAGACATCTAAAGGGGGCGGAGGAGGTATCCCAAGTCCATTACCATTCTCATCGGTGACGTCTGAGTAACCCCCATTTTTGGAAGTTTCGTCATACTCTTGAAGAGTTGGTTGAAGAGCAGTAGGTCCATAGCTAAAGCCTTCTGGGACCTTGATACTGACGACAGGAACAGCAGGGGCAAGATCTTCGAGGGAGATGCCCATGGTTGCGGTTCAAGAGAAAGTAAGTTGGTATTGATAGAACTTGGTTGAGATAGTGGCTTGACGAAGAAAAAGTTTTATAGGATTTAATTAGCCTTTTATCTTCCGTTTATCGATCCGCTCGATGCACTTTTTGTTGGCGATTATACTGCATTCCTACTTTCAGCAAGTTTAACCATCGTGGACAACAATGGCCTATAGGGTCTAGGTGATTTGTTTTACCTTCTTCATCAAAGATTCGGTCCAGAACATGCTTTCACGACTTGTGGCTGGCTGATACAGTAAAGTGAAGATACATGGGAAGCCAATCTGGGAAATATTTACCTTAGGCTCTTTGCCCAAGCCGATTTAAAACATGCTCAAGCATGGAGATTCGGGATTCTCTTAGTGAATCACAGTGTTTCAGAACCCCGCAGTTGCAAACACGAGTGAATTCTTTGGGCAATGGCCATAAGTCTTGAATACTAACATCACAGCCTCCGAGAGTAGTATTCCGAAGTTCTAGATACCTTTTGAAGACCTCGTAAATTTCGGGCGCTTTGCCCCGAAGGGGTTTGCTAGCCGCCGGAACTGAGACATTGCCTATCCGCATCTGGGCCGTTCCGGGACTAGACTCTTTTTCAGCATATCAGCCACAAAAATAATCACCAAAAGCTGCTTGGCACATTCAATAGCTCTGCACTGTAGCGGGGTAGTACGGCGGCATGCAGACAGACCTTACTGGAGTAGATATTTCAGCTCTTTCTTTCAGCGCCATTTTTATAACCTTCGAGACCAGCCACGTCTGCGTGCTACAAACCTGCGTACATACAGCAATATCGATGCCAACATGCTCGCACCACGAACTATTCCTGCAACTATAATTGGTTCTCCTGCAGCAGGATCTAAGGGCTATGCATAGTGGTGCATATATCACAAATATCAAAAAGGCTATTGGTCAAACTTGGTAAAATGCAAAGCTTATTGACTGTGCAGTTTAAGACATCGTTTATGAGGAATGAATATGTGACACAATCCTCTACAGCTATCCTCTTCAGCCAGCCACATTATCAGAATCGTCACGCTCTGGGTCCTCGAATACGAATAAAGTTTCAGCCACCATTGAGGCCTTGCAACGAGAGGTATGTGAATTCTGAGATATGCGGTATGTTCTTGATGAGCGGTGTGAAGGAAGCCAGTCTCCATCCACTGACCTCAGCTAGCCACCTTTACATTGAAGGGCATCAGCAAGCAGAATCACCCTATAGGAGGCAACTTCATTCTCTCTTTCCAGCAGTCCAGCCCAGTCAGGAAAGGCCAGGAATGCCGCTGCAATGTTTCAATTCAGCCAGCCATTATAAGTTAAGTCACTAGCCTGTAAGGGGATGCAACAGATGATTCAACAGAAAAATGCAGTCGTCAGAGATAGGAAGAGTAGCTGAAAGTGTATTGAGTCTCAGGTATCCACCCTCGCGTTATGTTCCGCGATATGCAGCACCTCATTTGTGAATGAAAGAGTGTAGTCGCTGAAATGGGAAAGGTCTATTGGGAGCATCCTCAGAGTCAGCTAACCATCTTCTCGCCACCTTCGGCATGTGTGTTCAATACGACACTACAAGTCAATGAGGGGGGGTTTGGCTAAATGTCAAAGCGCGGGTCTCTTGAATCAGGAAACCTGACGTGAATTCATAAAGGACAGACCCTATGCTGGATGATCAAACCAATATTCTCTACAGCAATCACTTCACACCTTTTACCTCAGTTCCAAACATTCAGTTCCCATCATGTCTTCGCAAGGTAACTTTACAGAAGTCCATCAATTCACAAAGTCCTACAAACATATGTGGGCTCGTGATGTCGCCAAGGCGACGATGGATTATGATCTCAAAGGTCTCATCGAACGCCTGAAGGAGTCTGTTCCAGCTGAGTTCGATGCAAACGATAGCATTGGTTCAATCCGAGAAAAGACCAAGGAGTCCACCGGCCCAGGTTACATCCCTGAGGAGCAGGGTAAGATCAGCGTCGGCATTGTCGGCGCTGGCGTGGCTGGCTTGTTCGCTGCCCTACTATTTGATTGGCTGAATGGCCATGAGGAACTTAAGGGAAAAGGACTCAAGATCAGTTATGACATCCTCGAGGCTGCTGGTGCGGAGAGACTTGGTGGGCGTCTATACACCCACCACTTCTCTGATGAGGAGCACGACTACTACGATGTCGGTGCTATGCGCTTTCCCAATAACACTATTATGAAGAGGTAAGCCAAGTTGATGAAAAGGAACGGAGAAATCAATGTCTAATATTCTCAAGAACATTTCAGCTGTTCCACTACATCGGAATTACCCAGGAAAGCAAGCCGGGCCTGATTCCATATTATTTAAAGGACCAGCTTGACCAATGCCCCGCCTATTTTAACGATATAACCACCCGAGGTAATGTCTGGGATCCAAAGAAAGAGGCGAATGACCCGTACCAGGTCAACGAAGGCCTTCCTCCGAACGGCAAGATCCGACCAGAGTGTGTCGCCAAGAAAACATAAAGTGCTAAGGATTCCATCTGACCTCTGCATAGGCGCCTCCTTAAGACCGACCCCAGCGAGCTAGTCAGCGAAGCGCTGAAGGTCTTCACAAAGGTTGCAAAAGAGAAGTTCAAGGCGGCAATCGCTGAACAGGAAGAGGAGGAGAAGCAAGGATTCAAGAGTGTCGGTAAAGACGGGGAACGTAGGCCGAGAGGGCCAGCATCTCAAAAATTATGGGATCTTCTCATGAAGGCCGATCATATGAGCGTTCGGCAATTCCTTGGCTCGTAAGTATTCCTCGCTTATTGAAGGCATTTCAAAAACTGACTTGAGAACACAGAGGCCGACCGAGACAAGAAGGAGAAGAGCCCGAGCCTCCAGCCGAAGATGAGTTCCCCCAGGGCCCTGGTTTTAATTATAACACCATCGAGTATCTCGAGACGATGACCTAGTAAGTGTTGCATCAAAGTTTCGATTCTCAATAGCTCACTCCTGGTAGTGGTACAGGCTGGTATGACCAATCCCTCACAGAGTGTGTCCTGGAAGAGCTCGATTTCCATACACCCGACATGGACAACAATCCAGCGACTAAGGACATCCAGTATTGGTGGTGCGTTGATGGCGGCGCTCAGGAGATTGCCAAGCGTATGGCTTTGAAGATCAAGAAGCGCATTGAATACAACACCAAGGTTCGATCAATCGACGCTCAAGTTCCGCTTCGTCGAGAGCGCAAAGCCGGCGAGTATACCGCCATGAAGATCAAAACCACCAGAACAGATCCAAAGACCAAGAAGGTCGAGACCAAGGACAGGGAGTACTTTGCCATCTTCAACAGCACCACGCTCGGTGCCCTTCAGCGTATGGAGCTCTCTGAAGCTGGTTTGTCTTGGGGTACTAAGCAGGCCATCCGAGCTCTTGGTTATGGTGCCTCTTCCAAAGTCGGCATGAAGTTCCGAACTGCATGGTGGCAGACGCCGCCATTCAACATTGCCAAAGGCGGCGTATCGAGAACAGACTTGCCCCTGCGCGTCTGTGTGTATCCATCGTACAATATTAAGTCAAACGAGGGTGAGGACAAGTGGGATCCTACAAAGCCCGCCGTGCTTCTATGTTCGTATACCTGGGGTCAAGATGCCCAGCGTATTGGTGCCCTCTGCTCGAACAACACAACACAAGACGACGCGGAGCTGAAGCGACTCATCATACACGACCTCGCCCGACTTCATGCTCGAATTGAGTTTCCGTTTGAGAAGTTGGTCACATTCCTTGAAGATCAATACATTGACCACCACGGCTACGACTGGTATAGAGACCAACACATGTCAGGAGCATTCGCTTATTTCGGTCCCGGGCAGTTTTCCAATATGTGGCAAGAGATCATCAAGCCTAACGCATTGGGCCAACTGTATCTTGTCGGAGAAGCAGCCTCGTCCCACCATGCATGGATCGTAGGTGCACTAGAAAGCGTTGTCCGAGCCGTGTACGTCATGTTCCAAGGTCTCCAAAACGGCAACGAGAAGTTTGAGGCGTATGACATCGTCCTAAAACTTCTCAGGTCTGGGTCTGATAGTGACAAGAACGTCAGCCTACCTTTGAAGAAGGACGGCGATATGCCCACGGGCTTGCCTTTCCATCCTCTGCCTGAAGAGATGCCTACAAGACAATTTTGGACGACCAAGGACCAGGAGTTGACTGCTAGCCCTGAGAAGGAGGCTAACGAGGAACATGTTGACATGACCTACGGTGCTGCTCTGGCTGTTTTGAGCTTAATTGAGAGTTTCTATGAATTGGGAGTGGATAAGAAGGACACGTATCAAGCTTCTTAGATTTATGTATTCCGTTATCAAGGATCCAGCTCCAGACTACATAAATACTACCACAATTTGTTGTTTAGCAGACTTTAAAACAGATTAGCGATTTCCAATAGAGAGGTAGGACGTGCAACATACTACCAATGACACCGTTGACGGGAATGTCAATCGAAGTGGTATAACTAGCAGCATCACTCAGGAGGTATACATAGGCACCTCCCAGTTCCTGGATCTGAGCTAGTCGGGGCATACCGCCATAGTACTTGAGCTGCTGCTCCCAGTCAGGTTGTTGCGGCACCCAGTATGTCATAGCGGTATCAACTAGACCTGGAGACACTGAGTTAACACGAATATTATACTTTGCCCACTCCATGGCTAGGGTGTGAGTCATGTTTCGAATGCCAGCTTTGCTTGCCCCGTAGGGAGCTGAAGGTACGCGCTGGTATTACAGTGAGCTCCTATTCAGTGTATACGGAGATTTATATAGTACTGACTTTATTCGGGCGGTATGAAGCCATGGATGCCGTGAAAACAACAGCGCCCTTGATGTTGAGCTTGATGAAGGCGCGTGCTGCCGCTCGAGCGCAGTAAAACGCACCAAAGACCTGTGATACATCAGCGTTGCCCGGACAGTAGCACTGGGTATTGGGTCGCAAGCACGTTAATGTCGAAAAGATTACGAATCTCTTCCTCGGTGAAATCCAAAGCAGCTTTATGGTTTGTTCGGCCAGCGTTGACCACCATGCCATGAAGAGCACCCTCTGATTCAACGATCTGGTCGACCGCCGCTGTGACCGTAGCCTCCTTTGTGACGTCGGCTTGGATCGCCTTGAGTTTTCCCTGCCATCTCTTTTGCGCTGCGGCGAAATCTTCACCTGGTTCGGCGTAGTCGATTGAGTAGACAACTTGAGCGCCGTTGTCGAGGCAAGCCTCAGCAACGCCGAGACCGATACCGCGATTGGCACCAGTAACTTGAACGAACAAAGTTAGCTGTGGCCCATATGAAAGAAATAGACCAGATGGTGCCTAGGCTACTCACTCGCAATCACCTTGCCAATTAGCGTGACTTTGGTCTGATGCTGCTGGGCGACAGTAGTGGTTGGCCCTCCAGCGGTCTCGGCCTCAGTGACTGACGTGCCCATTGTGTCTAAAGTGCGGGGCTTGCTTGGTGATTTTTCAAGCAATGAAATAACCAGTTTAGAGGGCTTGTACTCCGGCATAAGAGACGAATAAGTAATTGGGTTTTACAATCAGGAAACCTCTTATTTTATACTTGTCTATTTCCCCGTAAATCATTCCATCGATCGTCTGAATACGGAGCGCAAGATCATGGAACCTTGCCAGTAACTCGAGACGCGATATTATGTGGATCTCGACCTCGTCTCGAGGCACATGCAACAATCATTGGGGGAGATGTGCCAGGTTCTGGTAAATGTAAGCTAAGTTTGATGACCCCCAGCCGAAGGTATCTTAGAGGGAAATAAAAAACGACCTCTCGATGGGTGAAACGCCAGCGAATTTTGGTGTATTTGGGGTCTTTTAATTTTTCTCCTCAAGCGGTACCCCATCAGGAACCAAGCCCCATTCAGAGTAAGGGCAAACCTGGGGAGGTTGTTGGCCCTTGCTTGACAAGATATCATGCGGGGTAGTTACTTTCCAGAGCTCGAAAAGCAAAGCTAGCCTTTGCCAATTTTGACATCTTCACCTTGAGCCGACCTACCACTCTCCATTGGCCAGATATGATCCTACACTGCCGTTACAATGTGCCGTGTTGAATCATATTCAGTCGGAAATATGGGACTATTAATAGAGCAAAGACGGGCTCCAATCTTGGTTACATTACCGACGAGCCTTGCTCTTTGACATGGGAGAGATTATCTCGCTGAAAAGGCTTGCGTAAAGCAACAAGATTGTGAGTATATATATGTCTAAGCTTGTCCCGACACTCACTTGTGAACTCCTTCAGTCTATAGAGCATGTCGCAAAAGACCCATCGACTTGCGAGTACAGCCACTGCTAGTCCAGAAAAACAGGATCTATCTCTCCTTGCCCATTTGCAACTAGCCTCTGAAAGACGTTTTTAACGGTATGAGGAACTATTAGGCGCAAAAAAAGCTAAAAGGCGCACTCTTGGAGTCTAGAGCTGATGTTAATGTCACTTCCATCATGATGATGGGAGCCAAGGCGGCTTTGCAGACCTTCACCACTTGCGGCGGGAAGGTCTGCTGTCAAAAGCTGGAGGCTGCGCTGTTTTCCGGAAACTTGATGCTGGTCAAAGTCATCACTGAAAAGGAATGAAGCATCGAACAGTATTTAAAGCAGTATCTATAGCATTACCGAAGCCTTTTGTGGTACCGGCCCATATCAATATTCACCCTGGACTGATGTAAGACCCATACATCTTGCTCTCAAGCATGGACAAGTTGAATTTGATATCGAGATTTTCAAAACCCTGATTGAGTGGAGAGCAGACGTCAATGCCTATTCAGTGGTGGCAGGGCATCCGCTACAGACGGCTACTGTGAAGGCTCGGGACCTGCTTCTTCTACAAGCTGGCGCAGGCCCTGGACGACTCCCGAATCGTTGAAACCGATGACAGAACGCGAAAAAGTCACCAAATGACAAATCGCAGCGGGCTTGGTAGATGCTGAACATATCCGACTCTTGATCTCAAATGGCAAAAATGTCAGCGAGGCAGCCTATCGCGACGGTGGCATGACGGATTTACAACATGCATCTATAATGGGCCATTTCAACATAGTACACTTGCTCCTTCAGAACAGAGCGGATGTAAAAATGCTGAAGGGGCTGTGAGAAATGGTCGTATGGCACTCTAAGGTTCTGCAGAGCATGGAAGACTTGATATCGTGCACATGCTTACTATCGGGTAGGAATATGCAATGCGATTGCCTGGTCAGGCATACATATCCATAAGTAGGAAAAGGAGTCCAAGTAACAAGGGTTTAATGAGCATCGTTTCACATTCAGCATCGGATTCAGCGGCTGACAGTGGGCACGGTCGCTAATAAACGGCCTGAAAATGACAGGTAACCCCATCACGTTACGTCAGTAGTTCCAGTGTTTTTATAAAGGCCAAGTTGATACACGTGTGATCTTTACTGTCGCTAAATAAAACCTCAATCGCATGTCAAACCACCATGACCAACTCTCAGTTTCCTCCCTACGAGGGCACAGAAGTCATTGGCTTCCAATTTTCGAATTCTACTGACCCTGCGTCACTCTCGGATGAGAATACCGAGCTCGGCAAGATATGGGCGGCCACGCTAAAGACGTATCTCGACCATCCAGAAACGGGCATCGTCTGGTGGGGGATTGTGCATGACCCTCCGAACAAAGCTAAGCTGTTTATCGGTAAGTACCGTGAAGCAGCTCGATAAGAAATTGTGCTAACGAGAATCTCCAAGATTGGAAGAGTTTAGCTGATCGGGCTCAGTTTGAGGCCAGCCAACAAGCAACGGAGCTTGCCAGCACCTGGAAATCCGTCACTGTAGCGCCAGCCAGTAAAGATACGTACAAGTTTACCTCCAGCGACGTCGCTAGGCAAACGGCTTTATGCAGCACCTACGACACAGTCACAGCTCTGCTCAATTTCCGATTCGCCAATGCGCTCACTTCCAGCGAAGTTCAGCAATTGGATGCCATACTCCAAGAGCTAGACCGCGCCATCATGCTCAGCCCAGGCGCTGTTGTCGCCAGCTACTCAGTTGGAGGATGGGGCTCAGACTGCAGATCATACTGCGCGGCGTACCGCTATCTTAATGCTGATGCGTTGAGAAATTTTATCCAAGGCGACAACAAGGTCAGAGGGTTATTGGAAATTTTGCAGTCTCGCGCTTCTGGCGGTATGCAACTTGAGTTTCTGGAGACGCGAGTCTATAAACAAGGCTGGCAAGGATCTGTTACGAAGACAGAGCCTGATAACCCGACTTTATCGGGGTTCATGGCCGAGGCGCAGGCCATGTTTACGTTCTAACTCGGCTGGTGCCCGATCCAAATAATGGCCCTAGGGTAAGCCTGGCTCCGAGCTCGGGGGATCGCTCCGGTTATTAAGTCGCACCAGTTAGAGAGAGACGGACGACGTCGACTGTCAACTATGTATGATAATACTGTAGAAAGAAAAACGACAATTGAGCACTGCGTTTGTAGTCTGAATCATTCAATTTCATGTGGAAATCGCCTGGCTGGTAATTGGTGACTGAGAAGTCATGACAGCAAGGAGGGCTCACCATTGGTGAAACGCCGAGACTAACTCCTCATCGCCCACTTCGCGCTTGGTAGATTGAAGGGCGCATCGCAGGCCAATGACTCACTGTGTTCGGGAAGCGTATTTATAAGCATAAATCCTCATCTAATATTCATTTTCTCTTATTATCTATCGGTCTGCCAACGAGAAATTCAGCACGCCTCAAGCCCATTATGACGTCGCTCAGATCAAAGTTCCAGTCGCGATCCTGGCAAAAAGATCAATTCACCATCTCAACAGACCCCAACCTATTTCCCATATCCCATATTGCGGGCATTTTTAATTCAAGCGAGTTCTACTGGGCCAGCGCTCTATCACCTGAAGCCTTCAAAGAGGCCCTTCAAAACTCCCTTTCTTTCGGCGTATATGACTCGGCCCAATCCTCCGGCCCCGAGTCACCAGGCAAACTGGTTGGTATCGCTCGGCTCGTGACCGACTTCGTCACATTTGCGTATCTCACAGACGTGTGGGTTGATCCGACGTATCAAGGGAAAGGATTGGGGAGCTGGCTTGTTCGTTGTATGCGACAAGTGCTGGATGAGATGCCGGACCTACGAAGGGCTATGCTGCTTACGGGTGATTGGGAGAGGTCTGTGCCGTTTTACGAGAAGCTGTTGGGTATGAGCTTGGTTGAGCCGAAGAGGGGTGAAGGACTTGCTGTTATGGAGAGTAAAGGGAGAGGGCATCCGAGCTATGGGAAGTCAGGCTTAGGGTATGACTGAGGGTGACAAGCGACTAAAGAAGTACTTGTTGTTCAGAGACTAGGCGATTGGAAATTGACGGATCTTTTGCAGAAATTGTCTTCTCCTCGATTAGACTGCGGTTGGATATTCGCATGCGTCTCTCAAGTCACACGGGTTTGTTCGCCATTAGCGACGTAATCGAAAGAGCTTGGATGAACTTCTCGGCACCGAAAGATCAAAGTAATCCGAAATCAGTGTTGAATTTATGATCCCTCCTCTATATCGAATATCTGATCAATAAGCCACCGATCTACATATACCAAAGCTTCTGAAACCATGCGAGGCGGCTGTCAACCAGAGCCTTCAACTGTTGTACCACCCTCCCATCTTTAGTCCCTTTGTTCGGAGACCCTGCACTTGAATTCGGTCCCGATTTTAGTTCCAGATAACCGTCGACCACGCGGCATTGTCGCACGAATAAGTAAGAACTGATCTGTACTACCATTGCCAGCCGGAGATCCGCAAGTCCTGGCGTGGTGTCTCCTTGGATGACCTCAGCGCCATCCTGCAAGGCACCCAGTACAGCTGCAAAGCTTCTGAATAGATGCATGTGGCAAACAACCACTAGATGATGCGCCACAATGTTGTCGCAAACAGCACTATTGGTTCGGGTTCCGAGTTCCTCATGGAGTGACTGAGTAGCCTTTGTAAGTGTGGCTGAGCACGATAGCAACTCAGCGACAACCTGGTTGTTACGTAACTCATTCTGAGTACTCGAAACAGAACTGAGAATGCTGCATTCATCGTTTATGTCTTCAGAAGGGTTAAAAAGCCATGCCATGACAAGCTTGAGGACAGCGTCCTTGAGCAGCAACATCGGCGAACGTTGGTCAAAATCCCCTTTCCCGTGAGACGGCCCCCAGTCATCGAAAACTTCTTGGCTCTTATTGTTGAGGGCTTGGACTCTGGGTGTGAGGTGACCAAGGGTTTCCACGGCGTTCTTGAAACTGCAAAGTGGTAGTTGTCCCACTTGCGACAGAGTTCCCCTTGTTTCCAAGTGCCAATCACCTTGGAGTTCAGGGACACATAAATCTCCCATAGCATCATGGAACCCAAGTTGCATATTCATCGAGGTGTTGAACATTGATATTGATGGGTCTGTGACCTGGTATCTTGCATGCATAGTGTCCCACGAGTAAACTCCCGGCAGTAGTGCATAATTAGGCCATGCTTCGGGCATCAACTCCAAACACGGTCCCGGGGCTAAGACCGGCTCCGACTTAGGTTGGCTTGGAGCAACGGTTCCAGAAGCATGAGGTGGGGCTGACAGCAGAAGACTATACGTAAGTCCAGGTTCCTGGATACTCGCACAGTCATACTTCTCAGGCGTAAGCGGTGCCACAACAGCTTCCCTGCGACTCATTGGAGGCATAAGCAACGTCTTGCCCTGGTAGTGGTGCGAACTCGGACGGCCCTTGGGACGGCTAAGACTGTACACGCATTGAGTGCCGTGTCGAAAGCAACGACTACAAGCTCCCATTCTTCTTCCTCCAGGAGGAGTGCATCTTAGCTTTTGGCTATGACATCTATCACATGACTGCCGGCGTGAAGGTGCAGTCGTAGGCTGACTTGGCAAGGCGGGTGGGGATAATAGATCAAGTGGACTGGCGGTTGCGGACATTCTGCAGTGGTGAGACCATTCGGCGATCAGTTGTGAGAAATAGGGTAAAGATTGAATGAACCGTAGTTAGATACGGTCGAAGCATACTATGAGAAGAGACGACCCTGGTGAATTTATATCCAAGTCTGTTTCAAGACAACTTTCCATAGGCCATTTCGTATGTAATGGAATGCCAGAGCCCAAGATCCTATGACACACCTTTGCAAACCCTGCATGCAAATAAGCAGCCACTTGCCCACCAAGATCAAAGTCTAATCCGCTTTCCATCCCTTCCTTGTACGACATTTCATCAGAGGTTCTAGACTCACCATCAACGCTGAGCTGATGTCTGGTATCCTTTTGTGTTTCTGATGATCAACGGTGGGCCTTATGTTTAAGTGATATGCGAATATCTGATATTGCATGTTTTTCCAAGCTTGAGAGCACAGTAGCCTGAGGGAAAGGGATACGTTGTGTGAGGGAGAACGCCATGATATGTACATTTTCGTACCTGATAGACACGACACCAAACACAAGGAGAGAAACACGTACTACGGCCGTGCTGGATAGGATGCGGTAATGACATAATTCGGTCTTTGGCTCTGGGGGGTGTGACATATCCATAGTGAAAGTTGACAGATTCGCGATGTAGGGGGGTCCGTTGGAAGATTTTCAATATTTTAAATTGAGAGTGTTTTGGATCATGCAAGAGGCAGGATTCTCTCTACCTATGGGGTCCCGTCAATCTAGCTAGCTGTAATGCCTCATGCCCCTTCCACTCTACTATCTAAGCTCCCGGAGTAAAAGGTTTAGATAATATTCTTATAGAATAACCCACTGAATATTCAGTCTACCTAAGTCTCCTTAATACTCTCTTCTTCATCCTCTTTGATCTCCTCCCATTCACCTTTACCATCAACCTTGCTCGTGACATCTTTTGGCAGAGGAACAATAATTTGCGCATCAGTATTGATTTCCCAGATTTTGATCCAAAGTAAAATCTGCGTTGCAAGAATAAAGACACCAGCACCCAAGACAGCTACCCAGGCTAGCAAGATGATAGTAGCAACTGGTGAGTAGAGGATAAACCCCAGTATCCGCGGCTTGAGAGAAGTTGGGTATGTGCGATTGACCAGCCCGAAAGAAATTCGCCAGGCAGATTTGATGACCCAGGAACCATGGAGAAGCAAGAGAGGGAACATAGATGTGCAGGCCAAAAGTGCGAGATATTTGCGAAGCCGTGACGTAATGCGATCCTTGAGCCAAAAGCCAGGACGAGGCTGCGGGGTTGCAGTGCTGGATTCAATGACAGAAGTCTCTTTTTCGTCCTTTTTGTCATTTTGGTTGTCTTCATCGGGAAATGAGTCGACTTGCTTGGCTGACCACCAGCAATTGACTATGATGAGGACTGCGAGTGTCCAGAAGAGGTCGCTCTTGAGGTACTCGTAGCGGTTGGTGTCTGAGTACCACCAGGACTCATAATGTGAGCAGTGCTTGGCAGTCATTTTGACAATTGATTCAGATAGTAGTAAGAGGAATTGAGATAGATTACGGATCAGACGAAGGGGGAGAGTGTGTTCTTTTATGATGAAGGCTTGTGTTTAAATGGCTGCCTGGAGCATCATTTGCTTCCCCACATTCCATTGATTTGCTTGTTGTGATTGGCTTTGAATGTTGAGTACTGGGGCTATACAGTCAGCATAGCAGTCAAGGATGATTTAGCTATATATTTAATTGCTACGTAATAAAGCGACTTAACGACTCAGCCCCTTGGCTTTTGGCCACGTAAATGAATGTAACATCTTCCGTCCGTACCCAAATAAAATTTCAGCTATCAGATTGACCGAGTTACCAAAGAGACCTTGGTGTTTCTTGTTACCGCACAGAAGCGCACCAGACCTTAGACCGATGAAATCTCAGTACGTCTCAGGTTATCGTGAAACTCAATCGTTAATTACTGGTTAGAGCTCCTCGCTTTACGGCAAAGCTACCCCTGGTTGCATTCTGGGTTAGGGCTGGTATTAGGAGGGCCAGCCTTAATTTTGATGTTGACCGTGCCACTGGGCCCACTGATATCAATTGAAACCTCCCCAGCTTCAGTATTCTGGTCAATAACCTTCTCAAGGGCCGTGCGAATGATGTCAGCCTGGGAAGTGTCAGGAGGCTGAGTGCTGCATTCCTTCTTGGTAGCCTCGTTGATCTGGCCCGAGATAATACCAGCTATGGCAACGCCACCGGCATTGGCGACGAAGGGTTTGTTGAGAAACTCCCAAAGATTGCCACTGGAGACATACTCAGCAGTGCTCAACCAAGCGCTGTAGCCTAAGAGTAAGACGTAGTTGGTAGCTTTGACAACGCATTTCTGGCCAGCCCTGCACGTGCCTACAAGGTCGCGCGATTCAAGTTGAGTGCCATCAGATATAGTACTGTTGCCAACGATCTCGTTGATATCGAGCTCAACGGCAGACCTCTTATGGACTAAGGTTTGTCAGGACCAGAACGGACTGTATCGATTGATGTTCTCCTTACGTTTGTCGTCCCACTCATTCTCAGGGACACCTGTGAAGACGCCCTTGGCAAGCTCTTGCCAGCGAACGTTTTTGCCATCGAACTCGCTGATTTCACCGTGCTTGACACCGAGAGCTCCTTGGGCTCCAAGGAGACCGGCTACGACAGCGGTAAGGAATTGCGTGTAAAACATAGTGGCTAAGTTTGAGACAGCTTTTGAAGAGAAGATGATAGGATATTGCGATGAATGACACTGTATGATGTTGTTTTCCAATGCCAAGTTACGCCATAATTGTGCGGTTTTAAATAGTTTTCCTTTATACACAAGATCATTTCAAATAAAGTCAAAGCCGGATATCACAATTCAAGGCCTTGCTCCCAGGTATCTGTGGACACTCGGAATCCCGTTTCTTCTGTCGATCTTTGTTTTACAGTTTTTGAAGTCATCCTTCGCGAGTTCCTCCTAGGCATCAATAAACTTCTAAGGTTGATGATCAGCCTGCTCCGCCTTGTTTAGTTAGAGTTTGTCCATAAGCAAAGGATCCAGTTGCTCGTATGGAGGGTTAAACGGCCCCCAACGTCAGCACTCGGATGATGAGGGAATTCCCGCAACATGCAGATCAATGACGATCAATAACCCGGAAGGCAGATCTCAAACCGAAGGATTTATTAAGTTTCCGAAATTAGACCCGGAACTTGCCAAAAATCCGCAGTCCCTTTCTCATAGAGAATTAAATAGATACACTGACGTAATTGATTCTGAGGCGCATGAAGTAAGCATCAGCTGTGAGTTACATCAACTCAGAATAACACTCTTATGAGAAGCCCGGGAATGCCTTCGACCCATAATTATCTAGAGAAGAGGTTTCTTCGCTGCCTGATTATTGATCCTATGTCAGAGATCATCAAGAAGGAATATCTCAGGATCAAAGGATTTTCTGACTTTCTGAAATGGAAGGTCGGCATCTCCTTGAGAGGCGAGTTTCCAGTTTACGGATAGAAACATTGACGTAATTGTCTGAAGATCCACTGCAGTGCCAAAACTTCCTGCGCAATGGCTCCCCAGTCTATGAGAGTTTGCAAGTTGCAGGAACGTATTTCTGTTTAGATGGGCTCTCTGAAGAAGTATTAAAGTCCTGCGTCCACCCACTGATTCAACTCTAAACCATTCTCATCTTCATCTTATCTTCACAACCTGAAATCATCAACTATTAACACTTTCAAAAGACTTTCATCTTCTATATTAACTCTTTCCATCATGATGTACTCCCTGACTGTCTTGATCGCAGCTTGCACTGCTTTGTCTACTGGTTCACCCACACGACCCAACTCGGCTGGTCTTCAAGCTCGCGATGACCTTCTTGGACCAGCCACTTGTCCAGGCGGTGACAGCTTTGCCCTCAACGAAGAGGATGCTGCTGCTGGCGCCGAAGGGTTCAAGTTGTGGGTTGAGCAGGGTGCTGATGGAAAGATTGATCTCTCTGGTAACTTCAAAGGCCAGATTTCGGTATGTTAGCATCCTTTCCTTCGAAGTTCATAGCTAATCGTGGAATTAGAAAACTCACAAGGGCGTAACCTTCTTTGCTTGTGATTACAAGAGTGGAGGAAAGGGCAGCTATATCAATGGCAATTTGGTCCAGTCGGTCCTTCGAAAGGATGGCTATCTCGATAGCAAGTGCGGCAGTGGCAGAGGTGGTTACGAGAGCAGCAACGATCTCAGCATCGGCCGTACCTTTGTAAGCCCAGCACTACTATATCCTTTATCAGCCTATTACATGTCTAACTATTTGAATCCTTAGAACGGCGACCACTATTGTTAAAGGAAGCAAGTTACTGGGTAGCCTGAACTCTATATAGTTCTCTGTGGAGTCCTATTTGGCAGATTAGCAGTGTTAGAGGAATGCTAAGGGTATATATTTAGCTAGGATACTGTCTTTACCTAAGGCCAAAGCCAAGGCATTTTTGCAATACATTCCTTAACAACAGATACGTATCTTGAGTGGTCATGAAAAACACGTTAGGTCTCCATGATAGTATATTACTTAGGGATATTGCCTCTTCCTGTTTAGAATATCCAATATTGACTGATGCCCATATCTCGTGGCAATTGCTAAAGCTGAGTTCCGTTTACAGTCTCCACTGGGAATAACATAGCCAATATCAGCTCCCTTTTCAATGAGCCAAAGTACAACAAACTTATGCCCCCACAATGTGGCATGGCAAAGGGGCGTAAGACCCAAATCATCAATTGAATCCGGGCTGACCTTGCCCGTTTCTAACAGTTCACGGATGACACGTGTATGACCCTTCTGGTAAGCATATGAAAGAGGTGTGCGCCCATCCTCATCCATATGGCCGGGGTCAGCCTTGTACTTCCACAGCAAAAGTCTAACCACAGACTTCAGACCCCTTTCTGCGGCATACGAAAGAGGTGTCCTCCCTTTTAAGTCAGCGGAATCGTGGTCAGCTTGGCCAAGTTCCACCAGAGTTCGGATGACACCTACGTGCCCGTTCCTCGCTGCATATGAAAACGGTGTCAACAGGACAAACTCGACTTTAGCGGTGTGTATTATACCCAAAGTTGCCCCATTGGTGATAAGAAGCTCAACAATTGTCTCATGCCCATTCTCAGCTGCGAACGAAAGTGGCGTTCTCCCATTGAAGAATTGTGCCCCCCTGAATGTCGCCTTTGCCTGAGTATTAGGGTTGGCCCCCATATCAAGGATAGTCCTCATTGTAGTTTTGTATTCATGCTGTGCCATGTGTGACAATGGTGTACGCCCAAACCTATCCGGTCGGTCGATGTCAACATTTCCAGTTTCAAAAAGCAGTCTCGCAATTTCCTCATACCCTCTTGCTGCAGCAAACAATAGTGGTGTAGACATACTGTGAAGAGGATGCCGTAGTCGACTGCGGTGAGCCAGTCGAGAATCTTGATATCATCCTTCTTGTTCTGATTAGTTCTGATCTCGGCGACATCTTGGCGTGTTTCGGAGACAAGTGAGTGGACTGTCCATAGTTAGTGAGCAAGTGAGAGTGTACAATGCAGGCATCTTACCATCGTTCAACGCTTCTTTCAGTGGACGCTCGCCCTTCACGTCAGTTAACTGCACATACTGTAAGAGCTCCTTTGCGAAAGCCGAGGCCACAGTAGCTGCGTGTTCCTGCCAATCCTTGTTCTTGGCATAGTCACAAATACCTCGTATGACGAGACAAGGAAAGTGATGATAAGACCTGCAGCCGCCATTTCGATGCAGAGGATTTGTCCCCCTAGGTCTTTGTTGATTTCATTCCGTGATGCAGCGTCTTTGATCAACTTGTCACCTGATGCGATTAGACAGTAGTGTATGCGCATTCCTCTATCTTTCCTTTTTACAATCATCGATCTATCACAGAACTGACAAGGGTCCTGCTTTTCATCCTCGCTCTCATCTACATTTTCATCATCCGTGCTGCAAGTTGTGCGTCTAATATGATTATAAGACGACTTAAACAACACGTCTTCAAGAGACTCGTTCCGTAGAGATGCAGCAGCAAGCCTTGGCCATTTCTATTTCAGTTCTTCGAGATAATCCGGTATCCTCGTCCCGACCAAATTGTGTTGTGTCTCCAGTTGTGTAAGAGCTGTTAATAACGACTGAGGTGGATTTTTGAGTGATCCAGTCCGTTCAAACTCTCCCTGGCTATGTACCTTACCAGCATCCCACTTCACTACTCCTGGATAGCCACCAGAAGATGTACCAACAACAACATCTCCCAGATGGACCTTGTTGGATGGCACACCACCACCAATACCTACCATGAGACCGATCTTAATAGAGGGGAAAGTAGTGACTAGATGACTAGCAACTGTTGCTGCTGGGACATTTCCAATCATACCCTTTGGTAAGCAAGTAATGGCAATGTTGTAAGGCCCAATGGAACCAAGAGTATACGAGTTGATATCCATTCGGGGCTTTGATAGTGCTGGGTGCTGATGATCCAGCATGGCTGTAGCGGCCGTTAACTCCTTGGGCAGGGCGCTGACCCATCCCACGGTATATTCATTATGCGTGAATTGGTCCTTGTTCCTATCTTGACTCATCAGAGCTTCTGGTCCTGGCTTTTTGGGCAAGCGCGGATGAATTGGTCCAAAGAGACACACAGAGAAAAGAAAAAGAAGGCTAGCATAGGGCTTACGAAATAAGCAGCCCCCGCCATCAGGAGATGCGATTCCGAACCAATCGTAGGCTCGGGCCGTCTGAACTGACCTGCAGCTTGCACATGTGCCCTTGTATCCTTATATGGGGGTGTTTACTATCTTGGTCTCGAAGTAGGGGAAACAACAGAACTCAAGACTATGACGAAAGAAAAACATTACTTAGATGAGGGATACTAAGTTTGGACACATCCAGATGAAGAAGCCTGAACTTAGAAGATCCTTTCTTGGCTCGTCTTCGTATTTTATTTTTAAATCTTTAAAATACCCTGCTCCCTGTAGTGGCTCTATGCTTTACAGCACTGAAACTGGTTGAATTGAAGCTTGCCTAAGTCATGATCACCGTAGAAGAATGAAGAACCTGACACCGAGGTTTGTTGATAAGTATTTACTATTCTCTCCATATGTACCTGAAAACTATACACGGTGAAGCTCAAACATGGCGATTATTTGTTATCGAATCTCGAAACAAGCACGGATCCACCAAGACTCTTGGTAGCATAGTTAAGAATACCATAACGGTGCCCAGGGAAGAATTGCCAATCATTGCCAAGTGAGACAGTGGACCCGAAGTTGGTAAAGCTATTACCGTCGGTGCTATAACTGAACACAGCAGATCCAGCAGCACCAGGGCTGATATTAGCGGTGACACGGAGATACACCTTGCGATAGGAAACATTGTTCTGTCGGGCTGAGACGCTTCCAGTGGACTTGGTGGTCCAGTCAGTGTTCATGCTGAGGCCAGTGTTGAAGACGAGGTTGAAGTTGCTTCCTTCACGTTCGATGCCGATCCAGGCTGATGAGTCGCGAAGAACGGCAAGACCCGTGCGATCCCCATCGGCCATCTTGGAAAAGTCGATGAGCACTGTACCGGTTCCTTGAGGGCCGCGTATTCGGTGGGTGAGCGTGTTGCGAGCTTGATATAGATCCTTGGTTACAGTGGCAGTCTTCAAGGTCAGGCCGTTGTTGACAGTAAAACTCTTGGTATCAGGGTTATGGTTCCATTCCCAATCTGCGCGGAGGTTGGGACCAGTGAAGGTATCAGTACCAATAGGGCTGGGAACTGTGCGTTTAGGAAGTGGGTAGTCGTAGTCACCCCATTGGCCATTGACGAGAGTGATCTTGGGGAAGCCATCGCTGCCCCAGGTGATAGGCGCCAAAGCTGGTGCTCGCCCGCCAGGGTACATATCCACGAAAGACATGTAGTACCAGTTGCCGTTGGGTGTATCGATAAGGCCGCCTTGGTGAGGTGCTCCAGCTCGAGGCGCAGTGGCTAGTTTGAGGTTATCAGCGATGATGCGGAGGTCATAAGATCCAAAAGGTCCGTTGGTTGATTTGGCGATGTATTGTCCGGTGGCAGGGCGTGTCAGGAAGATGTACCAGTTGTTGTCTTTCTTGTACAAGCGAGATCCCTCAAGTGTAAGTGTCGATGGCGGTGAGAGAACAACCTGTTCCTTGACCTCGGTCTTCATATCCTTGGATAGCTGGGCAATGTGAAGGTCACCCCGTCCAAAGGCCACGTAAGGAGTGTTGTCAGTATCAAAGTGCAGACCAGCATCGTAATAGCACTTGTTGATGGTTGTGATCTGAGACCACGGGCCAGTTGGGCTCGAAGCACTGTAGACATAGGTCTTGCCGAACTCAATGCAGGCAACGAAGTAGAACTTTCCGTCGCTCTCTCGGTAGCGGAGAGAAGAAGCCCAGATGCCCTTGACGTAAGCTCGCTGTCCGTTCTCAAGGCTGTACTTGGAGGACCAGTCGAGAACAGGGACGGAGTGACCGATGTGCTCCCAGTTGACGAGATCGTATGATCGAAGGACTGGAGCGCCGGGGGAGTAGTGGAATGTTGAAGCAGTCATGAAGTAGGCATCTCCCGCCCGAGTAACTTCGACATCAGAGAGATCTTCCCAGATAACAGGGTTCGTGAACTTTTCTGCCATGGCGGCAGCGGCCGAAAAGAGGAGGCCAAGAATAGCACGCATTTTGAAGCCGTGAAGAATTAAAGAGCGTTGCCAAGGAGAACTCATCTACAGTGTTTCTCACTAAACTTATAAGAAAACGAGCGGCATTCGAAATTGGAATTTTGACATGAAACGATTGGCGCGCTTTAGCTGAGCAGGGATCAGCGTCCAGACTTCTTAGAGTTCTCACGGAAATATATCCTCCTCTAGAGCCACGAGTAGCAGCGCGCCAATGTTTATTACAGGGTTGGACCCCGCATTATGCACGATGCGACAACTTCAGGCTGAAACAAACGTGGTCAAACAAATCAGCAGACGCTTCATCTATTCGTCACTACTCGAATAATTAAGGGGAGCTGAACGCCATGACTAGCTGTATTAGCCTAATTTGGGCGTGTTTTATATGGATCGCTTAACGGAAGATCGGCACTTGCAGCATTCGGCATTTGGTAGATGTCATCATGTCCCCTTTCTGACAAGCGGAATGCCTCTTCCGTTACCCCAGATGAAGAACGGATACACCAGATGATTTGCGTTCATCTCAGCCCTGACTGAAACATGACCCAAAGTGTCTTCTTGTATCCGTGCCAATCAACGAGCCTCCACCGATATGCTGTCTGTTTCTAGTAAATGCTTCGTCATGTTCCGATTATCCGGGTTCTGCTTCCATGAACAGCTGTGGTCTAGCGATGCGCACAAATGGAAGCCTCGAGGTCGGTGTTAAGGATGGCTTCATGCCCGCATACTAATTAGGCGCGCAAATTATTTGTTCTCATCTTGCGAAGACATCATAGCCTATTTGTGTAAATACGGGAGTTGCTCGTTTAACATCGTTTAACCCAACGCTAGCAATTCTTAAGCGAATTTGAGTTGTCACCTTCCCCATAGGGGAAGTGAGATCTACATGTCAGCCAGCACAGCATCAGATACTTAAAGGCGACCACAAACTGATTATAAAAGTCCCACTATAGAATTACTCTTATTCAAGAGCCCGAGTTGGCAAGACATTGATTCATATTAACAGTTGCTTCGAGACATCTCCAACATGTGGTGGAACACCCCGCTGCTGTTCGTCAGCACCCTCCTGGGCCTCACCGGTCTTGCTCTAGCAGACAACCCTATCGTCCAGGACATTTACACTGCAGACCCAGCACCAATGGTCTACAACGGCCGCGTCTACCTCTTCACTGGCCATGACAACGATGGCTCTACTGACTTCAACATGACCGACTGGCGTCTCTTCTCGTCAGCAGACATGGTCAACTGGCAGCATCATGGTGTACCCATGAGCTTGAAGACCTTTAGTTGGGCTAATAGCAGAGCTTGGGCTGGACAAGTCGTTGCCCGAAACGGGAAGTTTTACTTCTACGTTCCTGTTCGCAATGCAAAGACAGGAGGAATGGCTATTGGCGTTGGTGTCAGTACCAATATCCTTGGGCCCTACACCGATGCCCTTGGAAAGCCATTGGTTGAGAACAATGAGATTGACCCAACTGTGTACATCGACACTGATGGCCAGGCCTACCTATACTGGGGTAACCCAGGCCTGTACTACGTCAAGCTTAACCAAGACATGCTCTCCTACAGTGGGAGCATCAACAAGGTGTCACTCACAACTGCTGGATTCGGCAGCCGCCCCAACAACGCGCAACGCCCTACAACCTTTGAGGAAGGGCCATGGTTGTACAAGCGTGGCAATCTTTACTACATGATCTACGCCGCCAACTGCTGCTCCGAGGATATCCGCTACTCGACTGGACCCAGCGCCACTGGGCCTTGGACTTACCGCGGTGTCGTGATGAACAAAGAGGGCCGAAGCTTCACCAACCATCCTGGCATCATAGACTTTGAGAACAACTCGTACTTCTTTTACCACAATGGTGCTCTTACCGGTGGCAGCGGTTATACTAGATCTGTGGCTGTCGAAAGCTTTAAGTATGGTTCGGACGGTCTGATACCTGAGATCAAGATGACTACGCAAGGCCCTGCTCAGGTCAAGTCTTTGAACCCATATGTCAAGCAGGAGGCCGAGACCATCGCTTGGTCTGAGGGTATCGAGACTGAAGTATGCAGTGAAGGTGGTCTCAACGTTGCTTTCATCAACAATGGTGACTACATCAAGGTCAAGGGAGTCGACTTTGGCAGCACCGGTGCTAAGACCTTTAGCGCTCGTGTTGCCTCAAACAGCAGCGGCGGAAAGATCGAGCTTCGACTGGGTAGCAAGACGGGCAAGTTGGTTGGTACCTGCACGGTAACGACTACTGGAAACTGGCAGACCTTCAAGACAGTAGACTGCCCAGTTAGTGGTGCTACTGGCAAGAGTGATCTCTTCTTTGTCTTCACGGGCACTGGATCTGACTATCTGTTCAACTTCAACTGGTGGCAGTTCAGCTAAAGGATTTAGAATCTGGATGGTATGAGAGTTTGCACTTCTTGTAAATAATTACTCCGAGGGCTACAGTATATAACTCTCATTGATTACGACGAGTGGCCATTTGCCTCAATTTCCAGCATCGTAATATTTCCCATGCATGTCTTTCATATCATCCAGTAAAAAGAGTTTCATTACCTCACCACAACTGAAGCCATACACCTTTGTATCAACCCAATAACAAGAAGGCTGTGCAGGGTTGATAAAGGCTTAGGTGACGTAAGGCTGGTAGGCAGTACCATTCTGTTGCGCCTCTCGCAACAATCGCTTGTTGGAGCGGCTGAGCCAGATCTTCATAACGATAGCGCAGGCACTAGAGGTTAAACCGAAAGCCATCATACCGATGAAGGCGCTGATGTAGCGAGGCTCCTCCTTCGTCACGAACATGAAAGGAGCAGTAAAGTTTCCTATCGGACCTTGTTAGCTATGGTTCAGGGATTTGGGTCGGGGTAAACTTACCGATTTGAGACAGAAGGTTGCAAAGTGCAACAGAGGCAGCTCGCTTTTCGGGAGTCTTTGCAAGAGCACCTAAGAGATAGTTAGGACCATATTCAGTAGTTGAAGAGCATGGATAACATACCGCTGACATAACCCATGATGAGAGGGTTGGCGATGTACATGCCACCAACGTAGATGAAAGAAGCTCCGTATCGAGCCTGGGGGTTGGTGGTCGCTAAGCAGACAATGAAACCGATACAAGCGACCGCAACAGGGATGGCATAATGCAGGCCACGCTCCTTGACCCTGCAACACAGCTATTAGTAATTGCTTGATGCATGAAATCAGCCGGGACTTACTTGTCAGAGTGCCAAGCGTTGACATATGAGCCGATAGCAGCAAAGATGTAAGGCGGCGCAGTGAGAACAAGGGCGATGACAGAGCTGTATCCCCAATCGGCAGCCAGACCACGAACAATGGAAGGGTAGAAGTTGGAGAAACCGTAAGCAGCAGAGATGGTGATGTTCATAAGAGTAAGGATGTAGAGCTTAGGGTCACGAACGCTAAGCTTCAATCCTTCCCAAGCACCAGTCTTGGCCTCGGTAGTAGAAGGGCGATCAGCGAGGACACGTGCAGCAGCAACCTTTCGCATATCTTCAGTCATAGTCCACATGGCGCTGCCGGTAGTCGAGTCAGGATAATCGGGGATGAACCAGATGCAGATCATGGCAGAGCCGGCTCCAGCGGTGGCGAGGATGATGAAGAGCCACTGCCAACCAGCTAGGCCGTGGGCCTTCTCAAGAGTGGCGTAGGTGGCGGCGGCGATGAGACCGGCTGAGCAGAAAGCAATGGTCTGGGCTGAGTAGAGGATAGCCATGCGGAAGGCGACTTCCTTTCGTGTGTACCTAGAATATTGTATGAGCTTCCGGGGCTGATGATGCCATTTGAATGGATGAGCTTACCAACAACCGAGCAGGTAGATAGCGCCAGGAAGAAGAGGTGCCTCAACAAGACCAAGAGCGAAGCGAACGCCCATAAGTCCAGAGTAAGACTTGACTCCAACAGTAGCGACACTGACACCTGACCAAACAATAGCCATGAGGCAAAGGTAGAGACTGGGCCGAATCTTGGTGATCAACATGTTACTGGGGAGTTGGCCAAGGACTGCAAAATGTCAGTATTGTCTCAAAACACCAACTACGCAGAGAGCTTACCATAACCGAGAGAGAGAATAGAGACAGCCGAAGAGAAATTGGCACCAGTAAGATTGAGATCTTCGTCAAACGTGCTTAGTCTAGCGTGACCAATTGATGCTCTGTCAAGGTAATTGAAGAAGTAAAGACACCAAACACAAGGCATGAGAGTCATATCAAGACGACGAACAATCTTCTTCTCCAGCTCGCGCCAGTTCGGAATACCAAGAGCGTCAATCTGCTCCTCGGGGCTAGGAAGACGACCTTCATTCTTGACATACCCCTCCTCTACCATACCGAGCTCCTTCTCAATGGCAGAAGCGGTATCGGCCTTCTCGTCAATGGGAGGCTTGACATTAGAACCCGGGGCCTGAATGTCTTGCGGAGGCGCATCACTGCCCGCTTTCTCATTGGGGGTCGTCATATCTTGACAAATAACGCGTAACAAATAGGGGGACAACGACGATTTAATTGGCAGAGAAAGGGAGGGCTTGCGATGTCAACCAAGGTAAAAGGCTGAGTACACGAGAACAAGACCGAAGACAAAACGAAGGTAGATGGCTTTTTTTATAGATGAGCGAGACACAAGAGAGAGAAAATATTGGCGATGGGAAAAGGGAAAACCCCGCATCTCTCCAACGTTGGCATGGCTGGGCAAGCTGGGGAAAGCCGTGTGTCCCCAGATGGTTGCATGTGTGAGCCAAGAGTCCGGGGCGACGAAGAATTCATCTCTATTGAAAACTGGAGAAGAGAAGGGTTCTGGGGCAAAACGGTCTTGCGTGAGAAAACACACAGACTGGATCGGACCCCAGATGAATTACAGAGATCGGCGGTGTCAAATGGTAATCAGATCACATCACTTTGAATCAATGTGTCTTTAGAGTCCTTCTACTGGAGTTCAATTACTACGCTATGATGCATTGGCGGTTGTTGAAGAGGCTGAATGAGGCTCTTTTTATCAGCGCTGTATTGCCGACCGGCCGGTAGGTCAACAGGCCAGTCTCAATCACTTTAGTGTCTTAAAAATGCCCATAACAAATCTCGCGTGCTATGATTATACCACGCTTTCATCAATCTGTCTAAGCAAGACGGAAAAAGAAATCTCTGGTATGTTTTTCCCGCTCTAGCAAACCATACGCCAAGCTCACAGAATCGCAATACCTTCATCATCTTCCCCAATGACTTGGCTTCAGGAGGGGTCAGCTCCCGTGTCTCCCGTCCAGCCTGGGCATGTTACTCCAAAAACGCAGAAAAAGGCCCGAGTCTTCCCGTGCCAAGGGCGGAGAGTCGATTACTGCGACCTGTGCTGTTGCTGCTCCGGGCATGACTACCCACTATAGTGGATTATTCCCGCCTGGGCAGTACTCCACCATCATGTCAGGGCCAAGCATTATGGGAACCAATCTCGCCAAGTTGTTGTTTTGAAGTGGAAAAAGGTTATTCTTAAGCTTGTTCAGGACCTTGGCGGATGGGGCTGTCGTTACCCGCGGGATCAGGCGTTCTCCGGATCCGACACTTTGCCGTGCCCAGCCAATCCCGCGGGAGATTTTCATGCGATTACTTTGTATACCAAGGAATCTGGCATTTTTCGGAAGTAATTCTGAGATCCTGTTATATGTACAGGCATGGATATCTCCGAAAAATATCAGATTTATTTTTGTTTCCCGCAAATATCAAGCAGATTTTTCTTCTGCATCGATGAATTTTGAGAGAAATCGGTCATAGCGCTGCCCGCCATAGTTGTAGGGCACTTACAGCGAAAAAACCACTCGACAAAAGCTAATGTTTTTCGCAAAGCTTATCAGCTGGATTACATACATACACCCGGCACTTGTTTTCTTGGCTTCAACCTGCCCTTGGCAAAGAAGTAGTCCGACTCGGATGTTCGTTCTCCGACGCCATGACCGAGCTGCGCAATTGAGATGGTAATGAGCGTCGTGGAATAATTGAAAATATAAGCGTACGCGGTAGTGATGTAGCAGAACTGCAGAAGTTGCTAGGACGAACAAAGAAAATATTGGGTTGACTCTGCAGCTACCGTCCCCTTGCAAAACGAGAAAAAAGAGGATTGTTGAGTTCCGATTGCCATCCAACCACCCTGTTGCGACCTGAGATACTCATGCATCCTTCGCCCATGACTCCCATTCATAAGAAGCAAGCATGAATGGCCCTACGCCATTTTGGCCATTCTCCAGCTTTGGTCTGCTGACGTAGTACTATTCCTGTCAGTAAATGAACATGGGCATTAGAAACGGTATACTCACTTCAAACGTGACATTTGAACTAGTCAATCCGCATTCAGCGACCGTGCTATTCAACACCAGTGACCCATCGTCGCCTTCGGTGACAAAGTTGTGAATCAAGCTTGTGAAAGCATCTTTAGCAGTTTCGAGATATTCATCCGAGTCGAGATATCCCAAATCAACAGCCTTCAGTAAGCCCCACGTAAACATGGAGGAGCCGCTACTCTCGATAAAGTTGCCTTCGCGTTCAGGGTAGGGCTCATTCATGACTTGCCACCAGCTGCCAAGATCTGGATCACGGGAGTCCTTTAGACCATTTGCAACAGACCCAAGGTATCCGAGTAGCTGGTCATACCCGGCATGTGACGTGGGGAAGTACTGCAATACCTCGACGAGGGCCATGAAGTACCAGCCAAGAGCACGTCCCCATACGTTGGGCGCTCGGCCTGTCTCTGGATCGGCCCATGATGCTTGGCCTTCGACCCATCCGTGCACATGAAGGCCGGTTGTCTCGTTGATTGTATGCTCATGTATGAGCTCGTACTGTAGAAGTATGTCGTCCCAAGCTGTGTCATTGTCTGAGTCGTAGAGATGCGTCCATCTGGCATAGAATGAATCGGCCATATAGATACCATCTAACCACATTTGATTGCGAAAGAATTGTTGATGCCTAAAAGCCGTTGAGTATTTGTGACGCGACAGTAGTTAGTTTGACATGTCTCACTCACCAGAAGCCCCCCGAAGGAGTTCGGGGATAAGAGTCAAGCATACGTCTGACTGTATTAGCAGCCGTCTCATATTTTGTTTCTCCAGTTTGATTGAAAAGATAAAGGTAGTTGTGCCCCATTCGGTACTCATCAAGGATATACCGCGATGTGTTGAGACCTTTGATGGAGCCATCCTCTTGAACAACGGGGCCATCGATCTGGCCGATATACCAGTCCAGGTATTTCTGATCTCCAGAAAGCTCGTAAGCCTTTTCGAATCCTAGATAAAGAACAGCATCTTGATACCCAAGGTCGGGTGTTATGCCCTTTGCGATCATGGTGTCTGCCATCTCCGTCAGATAAGAAAGGCAAAACTCAGCTCCGATGAGCATGATGACGAGAGATCGCATCATAAGTCGCCATATGTTAGACATGGTAAGGGTCTCTAATATCTTTCGCTGAATGACTATCTAAAATGGTTCAGTTTGATCCATCAGATACACAGCGATATATCTACCATATCCATCATGGCCACTCCTATAGCTCATGTAACCACAATACTTGATCACCTGGAAGGCAGGTAGCAATGGCCAAACGTCATACTGTTGGTCAATAAAGAGGTTTATGTGACTATGCACTTGTGATCAACTCTTGTTTCATAAAGCCTTGTTTCTTTATGCTTTGTGAGGTCACCAATGAGGGGAAACAATATGCAGCGGGTTACAACGCACCATCGTACCAATGGGATTCTAGCAATTAAGCCGGGAATAAATCCTTATGCATAAGAACATATGATATGCTGCCAGCATTAGTATTACTTTTTGGTCAATATTGAGTGGACGTCATTAAAGCCCCGTTTTAAGTGGGATGTTGTGATGTAATGGGCTTTACAGGGTAGCTGGTGAGAATGTTGTTAATTATGGCAATAAATTGTTATGTATAATATAAGGTCATAAATATCTTGATCTCTGGCAATAATTGACTTTTGCGGGCTAATCTCGCTGCAGTATTGCACTTAACTTTCTCATGATAATCTATTTGGACGATGTATTTATTGCCATCCTTCCAGTTGACCGGAATATGACTTGCAGATGGTGTTGTTGCCGTAATTGACGTGCATTTGTTTTCCTGCGGCAGCTACGGCCATTGTGTTAAGGATGAAAACGGTTAGAAAGCGCATTGTCTTGGTAGCCGTGTGGGTGGCTATTGATCACGAGACGATATAGAGGGGGCATTGATTGGGACGCGTAGTGACCTACAGACGAGGGCTGATTTGTGGTGGGATGAAGATCATTAACTGGGTTGGTCGCTTGGCGGAAAAAGCCCCGATGTTGTACTTTTTACATCTCAAATCCTCTGAACTATTCAACTCCTCAATCGTTTGCTGGCAAAGTCACATGGCTATAGTCGATACATGTGTTGAGGTAATATCGATATCAGGTTATGATATGTTTGAGAATGATTACAAGGGTTTATGATTGGCAAAGGATAGTCATGCAAATGAGATGGGTCAAAAGAACCTCGCATCACACGAAATAATTCCCGGTGGGAGATCAGCTCGCCAGTCCCGACTGAGCGGCCTGCATACACGAGGTGGATGTCTATTGATCAGACGTTACATACTCCCTCCCATCCCATTTTGGAAATCCGGAACCAGCGCCGAACCGATACCTCCACAAGTAGATGCAGCTCCCTTATCGGTACTCATTACCGCAATCGCCCATCGTCTCGAACATCTCGGCTCTGTTACTCCGGTCCAAGACCCGTTCAATCAGCCCACGATCATCATCATCCAAACTCCAGCCTAGAGTAGTAGCATTGTCACTTGTATGCTCACTCATGCCGATCCTGGCACCGATAATGACTGCTCCAACATAGGGAAAGTCCAAGACCCAGCGCGTCGCTATGTTGGAGATGCTGACTTTGTGCTTTGTCGCGATGGTGCGAAGGACGCTGAGCAGCTCTTGGAAAAGATCCCAGCCGCCCCAGCTGCATATCATTCCGTAGTACTTACGCCATCATTAGTATGTTAATGCGAGAATATGACTATTTTGCTTACCTTTCTCTGGCTGGGAGTAATGTTGGTGTCGTAGACATCTGGTTCGGGTTGATTGAGCCACTTGTCTGCGATGAATCCACCGCACTGGGGAAATGAGTTGTTAGTGGTTGCTTGGCGAGATATATCAGGAGACGCTTACCAAAGTTCCGTATGTCAAGAGCTTAATGTCATGACGCGAGCATGCATCTGCCATTTTGAACGTAGGCCTCGAGTCAACTAGCGAGAACTGCATCTTGTCAGTGCCAGCTCAACCAGTGATTGCTGAAGTATCAACCTGGACTTGGTTTGTGAATATCTTGACACCGCTCTCGATGACTCGCTCAAGATGTTTTGTATCAAAGTTGCATAAACCAATCCGAGCCACTCGTTCGTCTTCTGCCAAATATTGTAGCGCGTCGATATACTGGGGACTATCCCACTGGTACACTGTTAGTAGGATCTCTTACGACCAACGGGCATCGTGACTTGCAAGTTGCCAATGGAACTGAAGCAGATCGACCACCTCTTGCTGTAATCTATTGCACCTCTCGCTAACGTTGGCTTGTACTGCTTCCCGGGAAACAGTCATTGGATGAAACACGCAGTACTTCGTTGCAGTAAACATCTCGTTTTTAAATGGATACAAAGATCTAAAGCGGCCCTTCCGTCCTGTAAGTCATTGTCTAAAGGCCGTGTAGGATCTTGTAAACTTACATATAAAACTTCAGCATCTCCATAATGGTCAGCCATGTCGAACGCAGTGAATCCACTCTGAACATGCGTTGAGAATCCGTCGATGATCTGAGACATCTGCGCGGAACCCCAGGCTGGACTTGACATCTGCCATAGACCTGAGAAAATGCGAGGCAATATTCTATCACCAAGTTGAAAAGTTTCCTTGGCCGGCAGAGGCCGTGAAATGTCCGAAGGGATCTTATTCAATCTTCCTTCTGGCGGCTCCGGCGAATCAACACCCAGGATGTTTGCCGTTGTCAGCATTCCCCTTCCATAGGGAAAATCTATGCCTGTGTCCTTCAGCATCCGTTGACACTGCACAAGAGACTCAAACAGTGCTTGGATGATATCATGTTCTTTTGGGGAAAGCGCTCGTGCCCCCGAGCTCACAGCAAGCTTCTTCGTCACAGCTGTCATTGCCTGGACCAAATCACCATCCAAGGAAGCTAGGAGTGAATCAACTCTGAGTTTCTCGGTTTCTGGTGAGTCAAGAGCCATCTGAATACCGCGAACAACGAGTTTGTCGAGAATAGAAACACCATCAAACGCTTGCCCAGACCCAAGCATACAGCGAGCTATCCTCTGGGTCTTCTCCAATCCTCCAACATCAAGACCGGCAATCAGAGATTTTGACGTCTTTGTCTGGGCCTGAGCGAGGTATTGTCGCGTTGCGTCTTCAAAGCTTGCGGTGATATCAGGGTGCGATGCCAGTAGTGAGCGTATAATAACTCTCAGACCATCGGGTGGCAGGTTCGCTATAACGCTGTCCGTCATCATATTGACGTGAGCGGTATTGCTGCTGCCATTGCGAGAAACAGCCATATTGGTTGATTGATCTAAACAAAGTGGCAAAGGCTTGAAAAATGACGATCGGGTTAGATATCTCTGTGACTTGCAACGTTAAAGATAACGAAAGTACTAGTCTTGATAGAGCGTGATATAAGCACTCGAGTCTTGAATATGACGACGTGGAAACAAGCCACCGGTGTTCAAGGCTATCGTCGGCGTTCAAGAACGCAGCACCGGCGTTTTAGATACGGCTTAGAATGCCGATATAGCCGGTGTGATATCAGTAAGCTGCTTATCAGCTTCATCACCAATCAGCATCATCTCCCTTATCGAGAGTATCCACTACGCTAGTTACCCCGGATTTGGGCGAACAACGCGATTGATTGGGCAGGCAGAGTTGTTGACGATTCCTCAACCAGGGTCGTACAGGTGCACGACAGTGAACGAAGCACACATCCCCACGTCGCCAACATGTCAAGTCCGTCTCTCCAGAGTGCTAACGTGTGTATACAATGTCGAAGAGTAAAGATGAAGTGCCGTCCAATGGGACAGGACACGTCTAAATGTGAACGGTGTACCCGAAAAGCCCTTGACTGTGTTTTCAGGGAGCACCGTCGAGGCCGCAAGCCGGGCACAAAGTACGCAATCTAGCCCCGTCATCTTGTAACTTTTGTTGACATGGAGTATAGAATCTCGAAAGTGAAGCAAGTCCCTAGCATCTCACCACAGTCGATTCCAAGCCTCGAGAGTCCAGTGGTAGCAGGGGCCCATGTCCCAGAAACTGAAGATGATACGAATACTCTACAGCCATCAGGACTACTCAACCACGAGGCTTTAGAGGGGAGGTTCTCCCTCGGCAATATTCTCAACGCGGAAGAACCTGTGCAGCGACATCGAAGCCGCGATGAGTCACTTGAGGATCCCATTGAACTTGGACTGATCACTCCATCCCTAGCCAAGTCTCTATTTGATAGGTGAACAGAATCATTGATTCCCACAGCAGTGTATATACTGACATCTAAGCAGCTTCATAACGGTTCTGAATCCATACATCAGCCAATTAGATCCCTATCTCCACACCTTTAGCTACGTCCGCTCCAAGTCAGCATTTCTCTTGAGCTCCATGCTGGCCATGTCAGCAAAGGCCTTCAACCACGTCCTGTATACTAAACTTTACGACCATGCTCAAGATTTGTTTGCCAACGTCTTCCGACGAGGCAGCAAATCAGTAGAGGTCGTGCAAGCAATCCTCATCCTCACCTATTGGAAAGAGCCGCAGGACACAAGAGTCTGGACATCTGTCGGCTATGCGATTCGCATATGTATGGATTTGGGATGGCATAAACTTTCAGCTTGCTCTCTAGAAGCATCTACATTGCGATCTGAAATGGAAAGACGAGAGCGACGAAATGTTGAGAGAACTTGGTATGTTCTCTTTGTCTATGATCGAAGGTATGATATGCCTATCCTGCCCTGGTACTTCCATCCAGCAATCTTAAGTTTACTGAAACTTGCTCAGCATAAGCCTACAGACAGGCAGACCATGGATGATTGACTGCAACGAGTTTATTGAATCTATAGAAGAATGGTGTGACGATCCTTTAGCTATCGATAATGACCAGCTTCTCGGGGCCTTCACCACTTTAAGGCTGGTGACCTCGGCTTCCCTTCCACTACTTACAACTAAGTCGCAGCAGAGATCTCTGTCACATCACGAGAGTTCACCACTTGTCAGCCTTCTAAGTAGTCGTATCCAGAGGTGGGAGGACAAGTGGACCACCAAGCTTTCCTTACAGCAAGAGAAGACATGTCATGAATTTTTGATCCGCTTTTACGGAACGCATCTACGTCTCCAGATTCACACGCTACCATTACATGGGATCCTTGTCTCGAGTCAGTCAAACGGTAGCCCGTATCTTGATACAATATGGATATCCTTCAACAGTGGACTGCACATGTTGCGGCTGATATCGCAACATGCGGATTATGTCTCTTTCGCCCAAGACTCCGTTCACGTCATGACAGCGTATAGTGCTGCGTTTCTTGCCAGGGTTAGAGCTATGTCCGCCACCTACTACAACATTGCTAAATTCCTCCTTGCAGATCACATTTTCGTTTCCCAATCTCATCTCGAACGAGCTCGAGGCAGGCTGCATTGAAGCTGTTGAGAGCGCTGCAAGAGTCTTTTCCAATCAGACAAGTTGCATAAGCTCCAGTTGCAGCTTGCAGGCAAGGTTTCTGACCAAGGTTGGCATGAGGCTTGTCGAAGCCCGTAACAAACGGGTTGCTACTCAAAGTGATAACACGCAAGAAGATCTCGTCACATCAAGGCTGGATCCAGACCAACATAGTCTGAGTAAAGGTTCTCATTCCATGGCAGCAAGCGATACATCTTTACAACATACAACTGGCCTAGAAGGCCTGGACATATCACTATTATCACAAGAGAGCCTGGACTTCCCATTCGAGTGCGATGATATGTGGGCAGAAATGTTTGGAATGAACCCTCAGGATGTTACCTTCTTCCCACAAACAGATTAATGAATATCATACATCTAACGGCTACCTTTTTCGTCATGCCTCATGACCCCGAATTCCCACTCAATGGAACAACAGTAGTCTCAGCGTGACTGAACTTCCGAATCCCTTCCTTTACTATCTTCAGCTGCGAGGGACAATTGGGATCGGGGCAAGCTATCAGCGCATCTGTAGTCATCCAGTCGTTGGGAGACGTCACTCTCTGCTTGGCTGGGAGAAGCGGAAGCACGGATGCTACTCCAGTCAGCCCGGCCCAAGTTATGGAGTAGTTTTTCGTATCTTACCGAGGCTATAGATACTGATCCCTTGATCGGGCGGGAGGTAAAGCATTTCGCCTTTTAGCGTGAAGTAGTCTCCTTCTTTCGCTCCACATATGATCTTCTTGCCTGGCGGACAAACGACCTCGACTCTCAAGTCAAATAGCTCGAAGGAATCATCATGGGTAGGGTTGGTGTTGGTTGAAGTCATGGCTGATAAGAAAAGGGACTAAAGAAAATACCCAAGATGATATCTGCTGGCATCGACGCATGAAGACATTATAGTTAAGTTCTGGAATGGTCTAGGCTCCGAGGTGTCACGGTTTATTGCCCACGGCGAAGTTCCCCGCCTCCACGGACCGGCGTTCTAAACATCCACCGGCGACTCAAGCTAAACCCCTGTTTCCCCTCATGATAAACGAGCCCTACATTGCGATAAGCCACTGGAGTCGGGCTCCATCATAAATAATGGAGAAGATCGGCCGACTCAGATAACATGACTTGAGTCACTGTAGCATTGAGAGAATATTATTATTATTTCCCTCGATCGACACTTATAACTGAAGTCTCTCTGACTACTCTTCGACTCTAAGGTCCTATATGGCACTCAATTTATGATCATTCGACAACAAGCAGACAGACAATGGATAAAGACGAAAAGATTGTCTGCAGCGACATGCCGGCGGACGTCGAAATGGCCAGCGGAAACACAGAGGTCATCCCGTCCAGCGGCCTCAAGCGTGAACTAGGCTCTCGACACATCAACATGATTGCCGTCGCTGGCATGATTGTAAGTTTCCCCCAAGCTTTCCCTCTCGCATAATTGACTCTGGTAGGGAACGGGACTCTTCCTCAGTTCTGGTCAAGTCATCGCGACAGCAGGCCCAGTTGGAGCTCTTCTAGCTTATACCCTCATGGGTTTCGTTACTGCGGGCGTTGCTTATACCACTGGAGAGATCACGGCGTTCATGCCATCGACTGGAGGTTTCGTTCGTCATGCGACCAAGTTTGTTGAGCCTGCGCTTGGTGCTGCGACAGGCTGGAACTTCTGTAAGCTGCATAATACCTATGGAGGACCCTTTCAACGTTCTGACTGGAGTAGGGTATACAATGGCCATCAACATGCCCGCCGAGATCAGCGCCGCAGCGACGCTCGTCCAATTCTGGAACACATCCATCAACCCTGGTGTCTGGATCACCATCTTTCTTCTCTTTATCATCGTCGCCAATCTTTGCGGAGCGAAACTCTACGGAGAGTCTGAAGTCGTATTTGCCTCCCTCAAGATCATGCTCATTATCGGTCTGATCATAGGCGGTCTGGTCATTGATCTCGGTGGAGCACCGAATCACGAACGGCTGGGCTTTCGGTACTGGATCCATCCAGGAGCCTTCAATACTTATATAAAGGACGGTTCAGGTGGAAGGTTCCTCGCCTTCTGGAAGGCAATGCTTCCTGCTGCTTTCAGCTACGGTAATATCCAAGTCGTAGCTATCTCAGGATCCGAGACACGTAACCCCCGGAAGCTCATCCCAGCTGCGACAAAGAAGACATTTTACAGAATATTCTTCTTTTACTTCTGCAGTATTTTCATCGTTGGTCTTATCGTGTGAGTACTTCATGTGGACTGGCAGACCTACAAGGAACTAACAATTAACATGATAGACCTTACAACGACCCAGCTCTCGGTGTCTCTACCGGAACAGCTTCACAATCCCCATTCGTCATCGCCTTTCAACGGTCAGGCGTATCTGTCGTTCCCTCCATCATCAACGCTGTTGTGTGTACATCGGCAATAAGCAGCGGATCTGCTTGCATCTTTATCGCCTCTCGAACTCTCTTCGGTCTCAGCTGCGATGGTCATGCTCCCAAGTTCTTCCAGCGCTGCAATAGATTTGGCACCCCTCATTATGCGGTTGGCATGAGCTGCCTCTTATCGCCACTTGTGTATTTGACAGTTGTGAACAACACCTCCGTGGTCTTCTCATGGTTTGTGAACATCACGACTGTTGCTGGTCTTATCGGCTGGGTGGTCATCCAAGTGACCTATCTCCGTTTCTTTGCTAGTCTCAAGAAGCAGGGTTATAGCAGAGAAGGTATGCTTATCGACTCGTTTCCTAGAGAACTTCTCTAACGCGTCTAGAACTTCCATATAAGAGTCCCTTCCAGCCATATGTGGCCTGGGCAACATTACTTATGGTGTCCCTGGTAATCCTGTTTTGCGGTACGTCATAGCTCTCGCATCTACACTCTTGAATGGTGAATGTTTGGCTAATTGTATCTCAGGTTTTGACGTCTTCGTGAAGGGCCACTTCACTGCTCAGGGATTCATCACATGCTACATCAACATCGCTATCTTTGCTGGTATGTCTGAGCCCGCGGTTGTAGCAGCTATTCAATAATCTAACAAGGTGACTCTAGTACTTTACGCAATCTTCAAGATACGACTGAGATCGAAAGTCATACCAACTTCACAAGTTGAGCTCAGTGAAGAGTTTCGATCAATCCGCGATGAGAAGCAGGCGGAGGAAGCTAGTCAACGGCAGAAATGAATCGCTTTCAATTTCTCATATATAGCTACAGCCAAGATATGCAATTTAAAAATACCGATATTCAAAATAATACAAACTAGTCCCAGTCTCTCGCTAGACCAGCTTCGTTCATGCACCCTTCTCTCCAAAGTCCTTGGGCACTTCGGGACCCCAAACCGAGAACGGTCCAACAACGTCTCTGTTGGTACCTGTCGCCCGATTGACGACATCACCATCCGCATAATGCTCAATCTTGAAGCCGCTGGGATCAGCCCAATAGTCAAAGATCTGGCTGCCCAAAACATGTCGTCCGACACCCCAGACACTCTTCCAGCCTTTACTAGCTAGATACTCATGTCCAATGAGCTGAGTATCAAAGTCCGCCACCTCGAATGAGGTATGGTGGCAGTATATCTTCTTGACATGGGGTTCGGCTCTCTGCATGAAGAAGCAGTGATGGTCGGAATACTCATCGCCAAGGTCCAGGTGCATGAATGTGAGTACGTCCATGTTAGAGAAGTCCCAGTGGTACAGGATATCTGAGGGGACAAAGTTGAAGTTACTTGTGTACCATGCTAATTCGTTGTCAAAGTCGGGGACGACGTAGCCGAAATGGCCGAGTTTGTGGACGAGAGCTGGGCCAGGATGATATCGCTGGTATTTTCCTATCATGAGTCAGTGGATCAGAAGCTGCGGAAGGTGAAATACTGTTCCCACCTCGTCTTGGCTTTGTAAAAGGTTTGTTGTATGGTCCCTGCTGCTCATGTGTTGCAGTGGGTTCTTCCGAGTCAATCTTTCTCTCTTCTTGACCATACACAACATGAAAGAAGGTGTTATCCTGTCGACTGAACTTGATCATCCTCCCCCCACCAGGTGCATGCTCGAGAGAAACTCGCTCAGCTCCTTCAAGAGAAGCTGCCTTCTCAAACTCCTCTTCAGAAGCAGCGACAAAAGCTGGTCCCATGAATCTCTGCTTTCCATCTTTACTCTTGGTTGCAACATAAACAAATGGATCTATACCGTACCCACGATAGTAAATGGTGTCTCCAATCTGAGCTTCTTTGACAAAGCCGAAATCATCTGCAAATCTGTCGAATTTGTCCAGGTCTGGGTGTTCGAAGTAGACGTGGGCGATGCGGGACAGCTGCACCTTGGAGGGGTCGTTAATGATTGTGGGGATCCGCATGTCAGGCATGATGGCTTCTCGTAAACACCTGGGCAGTTTGGTAAGAACAGTTAATGCGACTTTTAATGCCAGCGACATAGTAGATTGTCGAGAAACAATTTTCTACCTCTTTGTTATAGACTATCGTGTTTATTCTTCAGTGGCATTTATAGAGCCTGCTGGTCCAAGTGCTTCTGTCTAGAATCTGGGGCAGCAATTAGCGACTTGCGGGGACAACCTTTGGCGCTCTCTAGACCCTCCGTGACCCACTGCCACTGTTGCTGACTTCGGAGGAACCTAAGTGAGCTTCGGAGGATCTACCATCAACTAGCCAGAATAAGCCAGGCCCCGCTCACGATGAGAAAAATGTCAATCGGAGTGATACTTCTTTCTTGGAATATTTTATTTATAATAACTTCAATCTCTATAAGAGTGCCAATGTATATAGACTACCAATTTCCATATCTGAAAATACCATGCCATATCTCTTATCTGCTTTCTTGTAATATGATCTGTTGGCATCTACATACGTGTCTTCGTGACGGGAATGAGTTTCGTGGTTGTTGATAATTTCGATGAGAGTCGGAGTCGACGCTGTTGTGCTGCATGATATCCGATATAATTCCATGATCATGACGCTTTCATCATCATCATCGGCCAAGTCGGAGTTTTCGGTGAATGTCTCAGAACTCTCGTCTAGTGGCGGGATATCTGGGTTCTGTAGGCTAGAAGCAGAATACGACCACCGCGACTTGGCGGGTGGTGTAGAAATTGAAGGCTCCAGAGAAGGACAGTCATCCGAGCGTGCATAGCTACGAGACTCCACGTCGCGGCGGTCATAAGCAGTAAGCTCGCCCCGTGAAACTGCCTCACTAGCAAGTCCTGTGGAATGTGTCTGGAGAGGCGCAGTGTTGACGTCATGTGTTGTAAGGTATTGCCGGTTGTGCAATCGAGATGGAGCCCGGGCTGTTGGGCTCCAGTACCCAGAACGAGAGCCTTGGCTATGAGGAGAGCTACTGCGTGGTACTGCTGAAGTGGTTGCTGAATGACGAGCAGACATCGGCGATGAAGAATGGCTGGGTGATGAGATGGATGACTCTGCCGTGTGGCTGTTCCTCTGTTGGCAGCATGAACAGTGGAACGAAACCCTCCATCGGGCTGCATCCACGAAGGGACCAGTGCTGCGTATGGATTTTTGCGGCATCATGCAAGCGATCGAGATCTCTGATCTGTGAAGGTGCAAAAGATGCAGGTCTCTAGTGGGTTTATGCGCTAGTATGCGATTTATTGACGAATGACAACTGATATATGACTGTCGATATCAGAATAAGAATGCTTTTAATGGAGATGCGAGTAATGGACCAATTTGAGGATTTGAAAGCTCGTTATTGTCTTCGCAGAACGAGGCTGTAGCCTCTTTATCTATACAATTAGAGCCTGTCCCTACACTACAATCGGGTTCAAAGCTTCCGAACCATAGATAGCCTCTTCGATTCTAGGTCCATACCTCAGCAATTACAATCGAGGTCCAGACTCTGAACTCTTTTGGTCTCGCATTGGAAAGTTTCGAGGTTAGACCACCTAACTATACCTCGACCCAAAGTCTGGTCAGTGAATAGTGGCAGCTGATATCAGAAACACGGCAGAGGCGCTAATCGATTGGCCGCCCTGTCTTAGCCACAGATGAGTTTCGATTGCCACTCTAGTCTTTCAGCTGTACCTGCTTTTTTGGGGTCTTAGATCGACATGAGATTATGAGTTTTTATTTCCCCCTGCATATACAGTAAGTATAGAACAAAGCTTTGCCCATCTCGGTATGGAGTAAATTATCTAAAAGGCTAGTTGTAAAAACCTTTCTCCATTCCCTCAGAAATTCTTTTTAGTTATTATATACTGGAAATATTCTATTAGAAATTCAAATCAAAGCTAAATATTTTCATATTTTAATACTTTAGTATTCTATTATTTTAATTACATATTTCTGACGTTCTAGACCTAAGAAGCCCAGAATGGCATTGCTGTCACTCTATACATATTAGTGGCCCACACTTATCCTTGCCTTTCTGTGGCTTTTAAATTCCGTGTCTTACAAAACGGTGTCCCCGTATCCCCACAGAAATTACGAGCCCCAGGTGATCTGACTGGTGCCTGTATTCAGCACGATATTCCATGACCCCTATTTGCAGGCGCCTGAATTATCTAACCCCTGAGAAGGATCAGAAAAATGAGATAGCTGCGAGAAAAACTAGGCTTGGAAGGGTTTACGGACATCACGCAAGCAAGGGAGAAGCAAGGCGCTCTCTTTACAACCCTGGTCCATTTTCCAAAACACACCCTGCATATCATTTGGGTGGGGCCAACGGCTCGTAAAGTTAGCGTCGGAGGATCTCAAAGGAGTCGGGCCCGTCCAACGTCCAGACAAGAATCAATCGGAGAGTCGTGCTTGACCGTGCTTCCGTGCCTTGTGATTCCTGCGAAGTTTTAGCCTCGGTATATCTGAAACTCGCTGCAGAAATCCGGGGCAAACTCAACTGCAGGGTAACTTCACCTCGTGGGTCCCAGTTTTGCATGGCATATAAGATAGCAAACAATACGATTAATCCTTATCCCACAACCGTGGTAACCTTACTATGACTGCCTCATACGTACCGCCTTTTGCACTTGTCACTGGCTGTAACAGTGGCATCGGCGAACAACTTGCCATCGCCCTCGCCAAGAACAACTTTACAGTCTTTGCTACAGCCAGACGTGTTGAGTCTTTGGACAAGCTCACAGATCAACATGCAAACATTATTGCACTACCTCTAGAGCTTGGTGAGTCAACGAGTATAGAAAGACTTAGAGACTCGGTCACCAAATACACCGAAGGACGCCTGGACCTACTCATCAACAATGCGGGGATGCACTACGCGGCACCAGCAACGGACATTGACGTCGACGAAGTCACGAAGCTATTCACAGTCAATGTTGTAGCTGTCATGCACATATGCCAGGTATTTATCCCGCTTTTGCGAAAGGCTCCTCGACCACGCATTGTTCAGATTGGGAGCGTCACACGCGATGTTCCTGTCGTATGCCAGTCGGTGTATAATGCTTCAAAGGCGGCTCTCAGCCAGTATACAAAGACTCTTCGAGTAGTTAGTTGGCCTCCCTTTACTTGCAACTGAGAGTATCTCACACAGTCTGACACTGATCCTCGAGTCTAGGAACTAAGGCCTCTATCCATCGAGGTTATAGAGGTTGTGACCGGCTTTGTACGCAGCAACATCCTTCGCGACGGTGTTCTTATCTCTGAAGACTCATTATACCGACCTATTAGAAGTACTGTCGAGGATATCAAGAATGGAGGAAACAAGAACGGCATGCCCGCAGACGAATATGCTCGTGCTGTTGTACGCCAAATCCTTGGCAAGACTTATAAGCGAGAGGTATGGGAAGGTCATCGGTCGCGAATATTACGCTTCATGATCACATTTTTCCCGTTATGGCTGATGGTATGGAAGCATAATTGATTCCAAGTTTGACTGCTGACATAATTGATAGGAGTTCACCCTTTTCATGTCCTTCAAGTTGCATCTTGTGAGGTCTTAAATGGTGTTCTTTACCTTTCTGCCTTGGGGCTGGGGCCTTTTTGAACTCCACACTTATCCCGGTATTGCACCTAAAGCTAAATTCTTAGGGTGGAAGGTTTGGGTGAATGGTGTTAGCTAATATCGCAACGGGCCGTAGAGAGAGAGAGAGAGACTGGGGCAATGGTCGGTTGACCCACAATCTGTGGATTTCGACCAGTTGACCTTCCTCCATTAATCAAAGCGACTCCAAAAACAGTTGACGGCATACACTATTGATCAGTCTATTGACGGTATCGTTTAAAATAGGCTAGCATAGCGATAAGAATTCACCTTTAGAAATCTATGTACCCTAACTGTGAAGACAATTGAGCATACTACTGGCCGAATGAAGGATGTGATACGCGCGTCACATACGCGCATCACAAAACTGGGAGTTACAGACTGAATATGGTGCGATTCTTGCAGGCAATAGGCAAAAGAGTACACAATCGAGGGGCCTGGAATACTGTTTAACCAGATACTCTTCGTATAGCATCGGACATGACCGTCTATTGCTTTCCCTTTCACACCCAGGATGGGTAGCACCTCGTTTTCCGTCCCCACATTGAATGGCTATATATGCCTTGTAATAAGTGACTATTTCATTCTCCTTTCTATTCTATTCGTACCATAAAAAAGTTCGAAAAAAGACCAAAAATAAACATGGGACTTGACGAAGTGTAGGATCATTCCAATCTGGAATGTAAAGCGTTTGCTAATGAATCATCAATTGGTCGCACCTCAAACAAGCCGTTGACCCCACTGTGTCCCCGGCCCATGCTCTGACGGACCATTCCAATGGAGGAATCTTCCCTTTCCATATTGTTAAGGAGATTCTCCGACATCCTCTCTATAACATTGGCGTTGCTGGGAAACAAGACAACGTGATTGCTCATGCAGCACCCAGTAAGAATGAACCGCTTCGCGATGTCTATCTTGGATCTCATCCAGTGGGAGGGATGATCAGCAAGCTCATCGGTGCTGTGGCTAACCCTTGTGTGTCTGTCTCACCTTCCTTGGTTTCCTCAAACCCTTCTCCAGATCCGACTCATCATTGGGCCGTCATGGTCGGAGATTACTATCACGAGCTGGGCGGTGTTATTGATCTGAAGGTTCTATATAACAATGGCAAGAAGTCAGAGCAAACCTTCATCGGTGCATGGTAGAAGCCTATGTTGATCGGTAAAACTAAGTTCAACGATGAAGCTATTCGACAGGCCGGTAAGCAATCTTATCATACCCCAAGGAGCCGCATGTTAACCTCAGTATAGCCAAGGAGGTGATCGCGTCAATGGTGCCAGACGACAATGTTTATAACAACAATTGCTAATTGTTTTGCCTGTGTTTGGCGGACATGATCTGTGAGGGTAGCCATGTTATGCCACCGGCGAGCCGGCAGCTGATACCTGGCTTACATATTGCGCCAGCAGCGAGACGCGCAGAGCGCTCAGAGCCAGCCGGCCGTGCCTGGGACATCTTGGTCGAACATACTCCATTAGTACCTATAGGTATACTAGCATAGTCAAGAGTATTGTGTAGCAAGGATGCCATCTGCATATAGTTACAAGCGGAGTAAGGCAGAATTGCTCAAATAAGGTCCGATAACTTATAGAGCACCTCAAGTAAATGAAAAATGGTTGTTATTAACTCCAAACATAGTCCCCTCGCCTGATCTAACCTCTGTATTCAGCTGTGTCTTAAACGGGCCTGGCTGTTTCCCCACTTGGTGCCATTAACGCTTCATGTTGCCCAACGTGCTCAGATCAAACTGTGGGGTTCTTAGCGCCAGTCTGCTAATCGAGAATCCGAACACGAGACAACATCTGACCGTGAATTTCTTCCCCTTCAATCGCAGTCTTGACGCTCTTCGAAACCTTGATCTTAGCCCTTAACTCAGCATTCAGACTATAGATACACGCTCGCGTCATCCCGTTACATTGTTGTTACATTTGACCTCCTTCTACCCCATAGTGCTCTTTCCCTAGACCCATATCACGTAGCACCCGGCCCAGCATTCACGACTGCACAATGTCTACAGCACAAGCAGCACTGCAACAGAAGCTGACCATCACGCCCAAAACAGCTTCTCTCCTGATGCAAGCTGGTTACAGCGATTATCGCGAACTCAAACATGCCACGCCGAACGGTATAGTCGAGCAGTTCACATCCAAGTTCGGCATTCCCAAGACATCCGCCTCCGCTTATCGGCGTGCGTGTCGAAGGCTGGTATTCCTTGGAACACAAGAAGATCCCGAAGAACAGGAGAAGGTTTGCGCTGACTGGACCAACAAAGCGCTAGCCGCTCGTGGAATTTGGCGGGCTGACTTTGATGATCTAACGGGCGAGCAAATTGCCGAGTTGCTTATTGGTACGGAAAAATGATATGTTTCCGGAGGTGTAAGGGCTGCGTCACTCTGGAATAAGATAGCATGCTATTTGGACTACGGCCATATCCCAGTGGACGTAGATGTTGTCTTCGAAATATCCATCTAAGATATCTTTCAGTTCTGAATGTAACATTCGTTAGTGAGCATCTTCGGTCCTGGTTGTTTCATAGTTGGGTCAGATCTTACCCTCCTGAAATGAGGTGAGGAGCACTATGGCTCAGAATGTCTTATTTTAGAGGTATAAGGTTCAACGAGCTCTCGGCTTGTACTTATCCGCTTAGCATATTATCTGTCATAATGGCATTTTACAAGTTAGCATGCAAACTTTCATCAAACCAACTGCTTCAACTTTCCCACTCCAGCTCTCTCCATTCTTACTCATACTCAACCGACAAATTCGAACGCAAATCCAATTTAGCCATAATTATAATTGGCCTAGTCAGATCGCGGCCGAGACGGTAGAGGACTATAGACAAAAGAAAACCACGTCCTGCTCTTATGTCTTACGGAATCTATCTAAGATCTCTGGCGCTTTGCCGGTGGTTCCTGTCCATCATTATATACCCGCCAGGAATTTTAATGACCTTTTCTTGCAGACGTCCATTCCATGTTACTAAAGGCAATGTGCTGCAGCAATAGCTTAGCATAAGCCGCTGCGGTTGCTGCTGCGTAATTCTGCCATGTCTTGTTCTTATAAGCATCTGCATAATCGCAGATACCACGGATAACAAGGCATGGAAGAATATTCATAACCCCCGCTGCTTCCATCTCAAAACACAGTATACCATATTCTTTTGCCCAGCGATCACGCGTACTGGCATCCTTGAGAACCCTGTTTCCGGATGCAATAATGCCGTAATGGATTTCCGGTAGTTCTGTCGGTCGGGGTTCCCTGCGCTGCACATGACTCCCTGCGTTAGGACAGTCCCGAAGTGCAAAACAGGTTGAACAAACTGCTTTAAAGAGGTGGTCATTCCCTTGTCCAGGGTGGCTGTAGTCTGAAGTAGAGGAATGCGGTATAGATCGGGCAATCTTTTCCAGATTTGGTTGAAGCGAACTGGAAGACGCATCAGGCTTTGAACGAAGTGCACTTATAGCGGTCCTCAGGAAACGTGGGGGTCCCTGGAGACTGCCGGTAAGCTGAAAGGTATTTTCTCTATACTCTTTGCCTCTATCGTATTGAATGACACCGGATGATGTTGATGTTGGATGACTGACCACAACATCTCCAAGACGAATATCTGTCTCTGAGGAGGAAGCTCCGCCACCTATACCGACCAAGAGACAGAACTCAACCTCGTGATAAGTTCTTCTCATGTTAGATGCGGCGTCAGCGGCCGCGTTTGTTCCATACTCGCCTGATGGAAGACATGCAGCGATTATCATATGCTGCCCTATCGTACCAAGTGCATAAGTGTTGCTATCCCCTTTCATCTTGGTGCGCTGTGTTCTGTATCGAAAAGTGCTCGGACCGCCCGGAGCTCCAGAGGAAGCGCACAGATGACGCCCACAGTGTACGCAGAATGAGGGTAAGATTTCATATCCAGCGCATGATCCTCTATATCTATGTCCATACTGGAGCCCTCGACAGAATATCTTGGGACGGGAGAAGACTGTCGAAGGTCCACGGAAGTAGATTTCAGTGTGCTTGTCACTGACTCACTCAGAGACGCCTCTGATGTCAAAACACCTATTGTTGCCTTGTTACAGGCACTGGACTTCCGAATCAAAGACTGGTATGTAGCAACACTGAGCTCAAGATCAAAAGTCGGATTTACGGTTGAGTTGTCCTGACATACGCAAACAGGGTCACAGATCCTCGGGTCGACTATTCTAGGTCCAGATAGCAAACCAATCGAAGAGGCTATCGAGGATTTCGTCCAGACACTGGAGGCAGTGTCCAGCGAGATCACAATACTCCACAAAATCACAAACACGATACGCCGTGCTAGTAAAGATGCGCAGAATAGTCGAGCTGCCGAAAGATTCAAGATCACAGATGACCAAGGCAATGATGTGGGGCCGTTCTTTCAATCTAACTGCCTAAAGTACATAAACGACAGGTATCATGTTGCCAGCGAAGAGATCCGCCAGCGCCTTGCAAGCTCCATGGTCCTTCGCCGCAAAAGATTACCTTACCGTCAAGATCGCTACGGAAAAAGCCCAATATATCTCCCTCAGAAAACATCTGCCCCGGGCATCTTACGCCCTGAGTCAGAGATCATGACAACGCTGGGCGATGCTGAAAGACCTGCCAAGAGAAAGATCATCGCAGCACCATCACACAGCGCCATGCATTCCGCTGAGACTGCGACGCCATTTTCACCCGAAGGTTACAAGAAGGCTGCTGCTCCTTCAATAGTGTCGATGTCTAAAACAGTCCAATTGAGCAGTGAGGACGAACTTGCATTTCCTCCTGCCCCCAGTGGCGCATTTCAGCGAAGATTCAACAAGGCGAAGAAGTATATTGAAGATAGGCACAAGCAAAGACTATCTAGAATCGACAATTACTATCAAGGCGTCGATATGACTTCCATAGCCCCCGAAGCTAACCTGGCTATCAATGATGCTGAAGCTGCACGGGACAGAGCATTGGCTAAGGCCCATGATGATTGCATCACGGCAGTGAGTGAAGTCACTTGTCCTTATTGTTTTCATGTGCTACCAATCAGTGAGGTCCTTAACGAGTTGAAATGGAAGTACGCATGCCAGTCTTGGGTACCGCAACATATTCATGCTAATCAAGAATAGATATCATGTCAAGAATGACCTTGAACCTTACGTCTGTTTATTCGAGGCTTGTCACACATCTGGGCAACTATACGCGAACAGCAGCACTTGGATAAATCACATGTCACAGCATACTCTACGATGTCGCTGTGCATCGAAGCGGCATGGCGAATTTGTGACTGACTCCAGAGACCAGTACCTTGATCATATGAAGCATAGTCATCCAGGCATGTTTGCCGACGATCAGCTCGGGATTCTGGCTGACCAAAATGTTCGCACGGCCAGTCCACTCTTCAAGGCTTGTCCACTGTGCGGTGATGAAGAGGCAGATCTATCCCTGATAGATCACCTGGTCGGCCACATGCGATTCTTGGCCCTCAAATTCCTGCCACCTTATCAAGATGATAGCGATGATTTGTATGAAACTGGCGGCGAACAGGATAATTGGAGTTGGCCTCGACCCTTCAGCAGAAGTACTATCGAAGACGCTTCGGAGGACGATTTCACGTTGTCATTCACTGGTATCCCAGGCGATTTCCGTGAAGGCTTCTTTACTTTTGGGGATTAAGTCTTCGAAAGCACTCTTCACTGCACTGTCGCCAAACATTACCATCTGGGTCGGCCCTGGTATCACTGCTCTTTGTATTCAATTATATAAGCATCAGCCAGAACGGTATCGAACTCAGGGAATCTGCTACGGTTAAGGATGGGAAACAGTACATCGGGACAAGGTAGTATGTCATTCCTACCAAGAATAGTATCTGTATCAGAGGTTATTCATAGCTGCCACCCAGTATTTCTAGATATTGTTAGTTGAATAGTTACACATGGCAAGTAATGATAAGACAAATTCGCTTCAATCAGAGGATGTGAACTTACAGTCTCGGCGCCTGCTCCAACGGAGCGTACCTTAGAAGCCAACCATCCACCGCCGGGAGCAGACTCCACATCAAATCTTGCCTCATCGTCGTTGATATTTTCATTGAACATAATCTTCCTCGGTAACTCTGGATATTTCACAGCTGGTCGCCCTATTCCAACGAGATCACAAGCGCTGCTATCAAGAGCCCCAGCAACACCTTTTCGGCTTCTGAACCCTCCTGTCACAAGCAGTGTAAGATCAGGGAACCTGCGACGAATCTCTTCACTCGTGCGGAGGAAGAATCCCTCACGAGCACTTGAGCGAGACCTAGCAGAACTTAAGTTCAGGGATGACTTGGTGCTCATCATCTGAGGGTCCTCAAAAGACCCGCCACTGAGATTGATGTAGTCAATTTCCTCCTGCTGAATCAACTCAACTTGTCGTATCATCTCAGCCATTCCCTCTTCGTCCTTGAAGTCCGCCGAATTGATCTTTACACCAACGCAGAATGACTTGGGGGCTTCTTTGCGGATGGAACGGATGATACGAAGAACTAGTTCAACGCGCTTTTCAGCTGAGCCACCAAACTCGTCATTGCGTTGGTTACTGTTTGGTGACATGAATTGAGACAAGAGAAATCCATCTGTGATACAGATCAGTATATGTTCTTGTTCTCTCTTCCATACCAAAAGACTTACGTGCTGCATGAACCTCAACGCCTTGAAAGCCAGCTTGGTAAGCCAGTCGAGCAGCTTGAGTGAATTGCGCGATGACAACATCGACATCATGTCGCGTCATAGCCCTTGGGGTTCCGAATACCAACATTCCAATCACTTTTGCTACAGCGTTGTCTCCAAGGTTGATGGGAATAGCACTCGGGGCGATTGTCTTTGAGAAGATGCTTCTCTTACCGGCTCCAATTGGAGATTGGCGTCCTGGATGATTCCTATTGCATTACTCCACTTAGTCTCGACGTCTTCCAGCCTCCAAGAGCCTTAGGCTTACAATTGAGCAATCATATGACAATTCTGGTTTCTGGCAGAAGCTGTCCATTGTGACCAGCTTTCAAGCAAGCTTGACGTTGTGCCGGTGACTGCGACGTCTTCGTTGCTGCCAAGATACTGGTCTGAGACCATGATGTTACCTATCCATCGTCAGAATAAGCTTCTTTACGTATAAAGATAGCTCTTCGCAGCAATTTACCCGTGATTAGAGCTGCCCATCCACCTTCCGCCCATCGCTTATACAATGCTCCATGCTTGGCAGATGGCAGTAAATTCTGGGCCATCTTTTCAGACATCCCAGTTTTGACAAGCCTGTTCTTGAGGACAAGTCCGCATCGAAGTCTAAGCTGAGAGTTAGATGCGGAGTTCATTGTTGAGATTGTTGAGATTGTTCGTGGTGATAGGTTGACTCAATCCTGCGGTTGAACTAGACTTAGTGAAAGGACTTGATTAGGATAAATTGGGTTTTTTGCCAAATATCGATCAGACTTAGGCTTCAGCAATAATTAAAATTTTTTTTGCATTAGCAAATATTAATCTATTTACCGCCTAGTCACTTTTTATAGCTCAAGATGAGCATTACGAGATGTTAAACTGGCCGCGGAGGAACTCTAGGGTGAATTGTTGCCCAAATCCTCCGACGCTAAATTCATTTGAGTCACAGACCCCACAATCACTTCCGTGTTAGTGCCGCCGAGGATTTCGGCCGGGAACAAAACCCAACAAGGGTCATTCCCATTCCACAACCCTTCGGCCGCCATCACATGCACGTCTTTTCAAAAAATAGACATAATATTTAGCTTAGATATAGCCCAAAACAGTTCTGAATCTTCACCACACCCGTTTTGTCCTCTTCTTGGCCGTGTGCTCAGCCCTCTCCCCTGAAACACCACCTGCGACGTCTCTCCCCCAAAACACAATCCCCGACAAACAATTGGCTCTTTGACAAAAGGGTCCTCCACAGATCTCGGAACTTGGCGACGCAGAGATACGATTGGCTCCTCAGGAGATACACGAGGTCTTGGAATCAGTTACAAACGTGCCGCTTTCGCCGTTCGCCATGACCTGTTTGCCGATCATGGTCCGTGTCCGTAGCTCCCTCTGTTTTAAGTGCAAGTGTTTTATGGTTAATGAGCAAATCGCTGTTTAGCAATGGCTGTTTGACGTTTTGTTTGACAGAGTGGCTGTGTTCTTCGGGAGACGAGGATTCCGGGCCTTGGCTGGGCGGGAACCGTCAAAGCGTAGGTGAAGAAGCCGTGCGGTGCGTGATATGTTTGTCTGGTGATCTTTGACACATTTTGAGGTTGCTATCGTGAAGCTGTTGACTGTCTCGAGAGTGTCTTGTGTTTTACTTGGCTGCTTCTTTGGTGGTGATGTATGTGCATTTTAAGAAGGCCGTAAGAGGAAACAGACTCGTTGACTTTTGTATATAAGCTTGGTCATCTTCCCTTCATGGTTCTCATCATCAGCATCAACAACCAGCATCAGTATCATCTTCTTCCCTTTTATTAACTTCTCTCCTGCCGGTCAGGTCTCTATTTACAGTCTCTCTGACTAGTTTACTCTTGTCTCTTTGCGTACCTTTCTTCTCAGTCTACATCACAATAATATCACACTCTCAAAATGGCTCCCATCAAGAACCTCCTCCTTGCCCTTTTCGTCGCTGCCGATCTCGCAGCAGTCTCAGCCCACAGCGTCATTACCAATGCCGTTGGTGATGCTGGTGGCTCTGGCATGGCACTTGGAGTCGATACCTCTACTCCCAGAGACGGAACTCGAAGACGCCCTTTCCAGCAAGATGCAACCCGCTTCCGAGGCAACTCCGCTGATACTGTCGGCGAAACCTTGTCTAACGGCGATAACGACATCGAGCAGGGAACATTGGATATCATGGAAGAAACAGGTAAGCTAATCCCACTGGCATCGATAACGATTTCAGAAACTAACACTCAAATCAGGAAGCGAGCTCCCTCAGGTCAACCCCGGTGGTAGCCTCGAGATGACGGTTCATCAAGTCAACTCAGACGGTGCTGGTCCATACACTTGCATGATCAATGCCGACGGCACCGGTACATCTTGGGAAAACATCCAGGTGACGACCAATGTCGAGGGTAATGAGCGAGGTCGCAACCGGGACGGCGAGATGGGAGACTTCCCTCTCGTTGCTTCTATTCCTGCCGGTCAAAACTGTACCGGAACAGTCGCAGGTGAGGACAACGTCTGTCTTGTCCGCTGCCAGAACCCTGCTCGTGCCGGCCCATTCGGCGGTGTGGTTCCGGTCCAGATGGCGGGAGCCAATGGCAGCAATGCTGGAAATGCTACTGAGACTGGAAACACTGGAAACGCGGGCAATGCTGGTAGCGGCAACGCCAATGACAACACCAACGACACTACCAACGATACTACTAACGACACCACTGATGATACCACCACCGGCGGTGCCAACGGCAACGCAAACAACAACAACAACAGCGGCAACGCCAATGGTAATGGCGATGATGATGAGGAGGATGAGGATGAGACCGATGTTGGCACTCGCAACAACCGCCGTGCCACCCGGTTCTCCGCCTAAAGAATAAGCTGATGATGACTGACAACGCAAACTTGGAAATGAAAGACCGGACCACGGACACATGAGACTGGACAAGAGGTTGGATGGTGGCAGGTTACCTACATAGTATATTGAGGAGGGAGATAGTACAATAGAACCTTACTGATTAAGTCTCGCTGCTGTATCTTGCTGGTGATTGAGAAGCTTGCTCGATTGGCACTCAAAAAATAAGATGGCTTTAGAGGCTGACCAACGCCAATAGTCCCGCTCAGCTGGCCAATAGAGATGCGCCATTTGCAGTTGAGGCTTGTAGCTGGGAGCTGAAATCGGCGCAGAGAACTTAGATAGCCAATAGGGGCCGTGGAGCCTTGCACTAACTGAGATCCGGTAGTGGACTTCATGAAAACATGGGGTATATATTCTAAGAATTGCCCATCACTCTTGATACATGCCTTTCACATACTCAGAAGTTTCCAAACTAACACTTTTCTACCGTCTTCCATAGGCATCGTCATGTCTTCAACAACCGCAACTATACCTGCTTGGGAGCAGAAAATCCGTGATAATGCAGCGCTCTCTGCTCCAAGTCACGGCATGATATCAATGAACTCTCTGGACACCTCTGGCACCACTCAATTCGAGGTATCGATGTATAAGGAATATTATCCGGGGCCAGACAACGTCAAGAATCAGCTTATCAGCATCCATATAGTCTCAGTTCAAGATACACAAACTGCTGCCAAGATATGCATCGATAAAATCCAAGGCCTAAAGAAAACGTAGCCCGACAAGAACGTCTGGGACGGTATTATGAGAAATGCTCGCGAGACCGCTAAGCAAAGCTTTTCCAACCGATTCGACAATGCCTCACATGAGGCTATCGATATAATTAACGGCCTGCCTCCCGTCCAGCAGGATGGAGCCGCCAATTTCTTCAGCCACGGCTTGGGCATTGTCAGCAGGGTTATCAATGAGGTATTATATAGACTTTCGGATTTCGATACCAAGGACCTTCTGGAAGGGAAATGGAATAAGCTTGCAGAAGTGGATAGTAATGTTATGGCCGGGTGCAGTGCCGCTATAGATGCTCTGAATTCGATGTTCTAGTTTGGGCTCTTCGGTTTGTACTTCTGTTATGTAATTCGATGATACCACGGCTCGAGCTGTACAGTAGAATAATTATTTGAGGCTGTCGGTGGTGAAATGTAGTCTTCAACTAATAAATGATAGAATTTTGCAGTGTATTTAGAAGCTACTATTAAAACCTAAGGTTTAATTGTCCGTCAGAACAAGTACTTTCATAATTCAGATCAGGCTGAGCTTCAAGATATAGAGTTTTCTAAAAAAGAATTAGCCCACTAGTTGCTTCGCTTTGATAATCGTAACCTTAGTCTGGAACTTACTGGGTCTTGGTAAGCTTTGGCGGTGTATTCTGCTTCCGTCTTGCCAATGATTCTCTTTGGGAGGCCGGTGCTTTCTACCATGATCTGCACCTCACAAGATCGCTCTAGGAGTGTGAACAGATAACCTGCTTCGTCAACAGTGGATCCAGTAGTAAGGAGACCGTGATTTTGCAAAATCGCAACACGATTACTCTTGCCCAGTGCCGCGGCAATTCTTTCACCCTCATCGCGTTCTAGAACAATACCTCCGAAGTTTTCATAGACAGTCTGGATACCAAGGAAGGTACAGGCATCTTGGTTGATGATGTCGAGAGGACGCCCAAATGTTGACCAAGCCTTTCCAGCAGGAGAATGGGTGTGACAAATAGCATTAATGTCAGGCCGAGCTTTATGGATGGCTCCATGGATTTGAAAACCAGCTTTATTGACAGCAACGCGATTTCCGCCGATAACATGGCCATCCTCATTGATCTGTACCATATCCCTTGCTTTCAGCAAGCCAAAGTGTATGCCGAGACTAAGCAAAGGTCAGAATCATAGTCTAGGCACAAGGCGAGAAAAGTACACTTACGGGTTGATCCAAAAGGTATCTGGTTCAACGGGGTCGCGAACACTGATATGCCCAGCTGTTCCTTCTGTAAAGCCTTTACGTGCGAATACTCGAAACACAGCAGCCATGTGTTCCAATTGCCACTGTCGCTTTATGTAAGGGTCGCTGAATTCGGGGACACTTGGGGCCGGATACCCTCCAGTTGCGCAGACCTCCTCAGGCCTGTCCTCTGTCTTTGTGGTAGTGGAGAATTGATCGCCCTCGAGTCTTACGGCTTGGACGGTGGTTGTGACAGACATGATGGCGTTGCGTATTTCCCCAAGATAAGGATGTATGTGTAATTTGTCGACTTTAGCTATTACCTCATTGGTCGCTGCTGGTGATTTTTCTAATCAAGCAGTGATCTAGAACAACACATTCGGATGAGTTATGCATTGATATAGTCGTGTGACTTTCAATCGTCTACAGAGCTTAGCGGCAGGCTCTCCACGTTTGCGCCCGTTGACTTATCAGGTTACGCCTAGCTAACTAACCCAACGTAGTAAAATGATACGACCTTAGCAAGAGGCCAGTGGATTCCATAACCTAGAACGGACTAGGGAAATTCGTACTGTAGCGATAGCCTCTCTACTTCTAGATTAGCCATGAATGCCTGTGCAATCCATAACTCTTTTAATACATAGCCAATCTATGTTCCTGACAAGAGGCACAAGCGCAAAATAAGACATATATACCAGTGCAGCTTCAGTAAACATATTCCTAGATCATTCCAAGATTCATCTCTCCTGCACCTATTTCCAACATTATTCCTTTTGCCAAAAATGGATTCTAGCTTACAGCAAGATGACTCCAAGAAAGTCGCCCTTGATACCTCAGGACCGACGAATGCATGCGACACTAGTTCAATTCAAAGAGCTTCACTCTACATGACCAACGAGCAAACCAAACGTGGTCTTTCTCCACGTCATGTGCAGATAATGGCTATTGCGGGTAGCATTGGCACCGCCCTTTTTGTCGGTATTGGTGGTGCACTGTCTAAAGCCGGCCCACTCTCTTTGTCCCTTGGATATGTATTCTGGAGCATGTTCTTTATCCTACCATGCACACTCAGCGTTGCAGAGATGTGCGCGTATCTTCCTATCCGGGGAAGTATCTTTGAGCTCGCCGGCCGCTATGTCGATCCCGCTCTTGGCTTCTCCATGGGCTGGACGTACTTCTACGGCGGTGTCATGCTGGTTTGCGTGGAATACAGTGCTGTTGCTACGGTGATGCAGTATTGTATGTAAAGCCCTTCCATCTAGAATCAATTGTTCGTTATCCTTCTGACCGCGATTTAGGGAATACCTCCATAAATGCAGGTGTATGGATTGCCATGGCTCTTGTCGTCTGCTTCCTGCTGAATGTGATTGCCGTCAAGTGGTATGGAGAGTCAGAGTTCATTATGGGATCAACCAAGATTATTCTGATCATTGGCCTCATTCTGCTTACTCTGATCACCATGTGTGGTGGGAATCCTCGAGGCGACGCTTACGGTTTTCGATACTGGGGCAACGGAAACGCCATGCACGCCTATTACACTGATGGGGCAACTGGTCGATTTCTTGGCATCTGGTACGCTACACGAGCATACCTAAATCATCTTTCTTTATACAAGTGCTGACTTATTGAATCCAGGTCTGTAGTTATTTACGCTGCGTTCACCATTGGTGGCCCCGACATCATCTGCTTCACGGCTGGCGAAATCGAGAATCCCCGAAACACTATACCCCGAGTCGCTCGCTTAATATTCTATCGACTTGTATTCTTCTATGTTGTTGGAGTCTTCGCCGTTGGAATCATCTGCTCAAGTCGCGATGACCGGTTGCTAAGTGCTATAAGCAGTGGCGCTTCCGGAGCAGCAGCTTCGCCATGGGTTATCGGTATCCAGAATCTCGGTATACGCGGTTTACCTGATGTGATAAATGCTGTCATATTGCTTTCCGGCTGGTGAGCATGCCTATTATGAACAGAGACCTTTAGGAATATACTGACTGTATGCCGAAGGTCCTGCGGGAACGCGTACTTGTACTCCACGTCTCGCTCCTTGTATGGGCTTGCTCGCGGTACGTCATTCAAAGACGAAGATGTAACCATATGCTAATAACAGCTTAGATGGACTCGCTCCCAGGGTATTCACGAAATGCACCAAGTCTGGTGTACCTATCTACTCAGTCATAGCTGTCACTTTACTCTCTTGCCTGTCATTCCTCGTCGTTTCAAATTCCTCTGTTACAGTTTTCTTTTGGGTAAGTTGCATCCTCCAACTTCATCGACACACAATATTCTGACATCACTTGATAGTTTGTGAATCTTACTACGGGTGGATTTGTCTATGTCTACACTTGCATGCTCTTAACATTCATAGGGTGGCATCGCGCCTTGAAAGCTCAGCCAGACGTTGTCCCGGAGTCGTCATTGCCGTACCTGTCACCGTTCAGGCCTTATGGTGCTTACATTGCTTTCGTTCTGGGTTGCATATTTCTTATCTTAATTGGCTGGGACACATTCTCGCCTTTTGATGTTAAAGGATTTATAACCTACTACTTCGCCACTGCATTCGGCCCGTTGATGTTTTTGGTCGGAAAGCTCTTGAAGAAAACAAAATGGGTGAAGCCTTCCCATGCAGACCTTGTCAGTGGAAAAGCCGAGGTTGACGAAGAGTGCCAAGTATGGGAAGACCCTGCTGCAGTTGAGAAGGAGAGACTGCGCTTGCAACAGATGAACTGGCTTCGAAGATTCTGGGAGAGGCTTTGGTAGATATACACCTGGGTTTGTTCACTCTCATATTTATATAAGCGGCACATCGTCCTACTCTCATAAACCTATATCGCGATTTGAATAACAAGCTGCCCTTCTGGGCCAACTATTTTGTGCACGTCGGAGATAGTATGGCGTCTAGAATGACAGCTATTCGGCAGGAGATGTAGCTTCTACTCCTTGTTCTTACAAATAATAGAAGCCCGCCGGTAACTACAAACAATATTGGAAAGCTTGAAGAACAAGAAGGGTATTTGCCTTAGTATTTGTAA